CACACACACACACACACACACACACACACACACACACACACACACACACACACACACACACACACACACACACACACACACATACACGGAATGGAGAGAGGATCTTGTAAGCTAGGCCGCGTTACACATGGACTGGACATGATGGTGCGTCATGATGATGGAAGGATTCTTTCTCTCTTCTCTCTCTGTGAAACGCTCTCCCTCTCTCACAAACTCTCAACACACATCCTCTCAAACCGACCCAACAGCGAACGCTCTCTCTCTCTCAAACTCTCTCTCTCTCTCTCAAACTCTCTCTCTCTCTGATGTTCACATGTCAAATCCATGCTCGAAAGGGCAGTGGCATTTGAAGAACAAGAATTCCGTTGGCATATGCACGACGCAGAGGAGGGAGCTTCATGGCAATAGAGGCAACGGGTTGACGTGGAGGCACGACGCGTCAAGCAAGCTCATCCTGTGGACGCAGGCGTTGGCCTGATTCGGCTTGGGTACACGATGCGGCAAACAAGCCTCCTGGGCCTTGTGGCCCTGCTGCTGTGCGGGCTGGCCACGGGGCTGCACTCGGCGGAAGATACATCGACAGATGCTGCAGCGACGGCAGATCGGGCACGAGCCATGCAGATGCTGCCGGCCAAACGCTTCTCCGCCAGTCATCCCGCTGCGCTTCCTGAAGTGCTGAACAGCCACCTTCGTCGCCACGCCGCACGTTATGGGCACGCGGTGCGCGCCTGCGAGGCCTGGTCGACCTCAGACCTCAACGCCGTACTCGCAGAGTTGGTGCAGCAAGGTTTGGCTGACGACGGCGCTCGCTCGCTTCTGGCCCTATACGCACAACGAGGCGAGCCACGGCGCCTTCGCCTCTCCTCCCTGGCCGCCTACTCGGCCGCTTGGCAGCAGGAAGAGGAGCTCATCGACCGTCTAGGCGCGGCTTCTCGCGAAGCCCAGCTCCTGCGTGCCGGTAAATGCTACGAAGCCAGCATGCTGTACATCCATGGCGCCTCCTCCAAGGTCAAGCAAGGGCTTAGCACGGCCTTCAACGTCCCGCTTCTACCCGAGGGGCCCCTGGCCACGTTGGTCACTGATCACATCTCGGCCATGCGTTTGACCCCCACCGCCGACCCTGCCACATCGAGCCCGATTGACTCAAATGTTCTCAACACGGTTCAGGACCAAGTTGTCTGCGTCCGTTGTCACGTCACGCCCAACGCCACCTTCTCGCCTCGTCAATACGACGTGGTGGTCAACGGCTCGCACCCCCTCCTTCGCTCCCCCCAGGTGCGTTTCTAGTGCTCATCCGGCCTGAAGAAGCACCGCCATCCTGGGTCGTGCAGCCCGCTTCATTCCGCCTCACCTCTTCTGCTTTTTTTTTTTTTTTTTTTTTTTTTTTTTTTTTTTTTTTTTTTTTTTTGTCCTTCTTGCTCCTGCCAACTCCGCTTGACCACACTCGTGTCTTTCGCCTTTTAGGTGTTGCGCTCCGCGCAGGGCGTGCTCAACGCCACCCTCGACGTGGGCGTGGCTCGGCTCTCGGGTGGCCCCCTCGAATTTAACGTGCGTGCCTACAATGGTGGCACCCCTGGGCCCACGCTTTGGGTCCAGCCTGGTGACTCAATACACGTGACACTCAACAATCACCTGGAGGCGCCCGACGCTTGTCAGGCCGGCCCATCGGGAGCCGGCCCAGACTCCAACTTTTATCGCTGTCCCAACACCACCAACATCCACTTGCACGGCCTCTGGGTCACCCCGCACGACGTCTTTCGCGGCATCGGCCCAGGTGGTCGTCTCACTCAAACCTACAGTCTCACGACCGACCATGCGCCAGGCACCAATTGGTACCACCCCCATTTTCACGGCTCCGTTTCCCTCCAACTTGCCATGGGTATGGCCGGTGCAGTCGTGGTGGATGACCCCCCCAACAGTTTGCCCCCGGCTCTCGAGGCGCTTCGAAGCCGCGACCACGTCATGCTTCTGCAATCCATCGAATACTTCAACTACACGCAAGATGACATCAACTGCCCCTATGAAGATGGCCTCTCTCATTGCCACAACATGGATGGCGCCGGCTCGCTCGCCACCCTGCGAGCCTTTAGCTCTGACGCCCTGCCGCTCAATATGGAGCGCCGCGACCCGGGTTACGGTTATCCCATTGATGGCGTCTACTTTCTGCTCAATGGCCAGTTTCAGCCCGTGGTTACCATGCAACCCGGGGAATATCAGCGCTGGCGCCTTGTCAATGGCGCCCATCAGGCGAGTCTCTCCCTCAGCGTTCCAGGATGCACCGTTTGGCTTTTGTCCATGGACGGCGTGTACCTTAGCAGCCCCCGTCTCAAGAACACATCTTACCCTCTTGTTCTTGCCCCCGGGGCGCGCGGTGACGTGGCCGTATCCTGTGCAATGCCGGGCCTCTTTGAGCTTCGGTCCAACGAGAATCCAGACGTGTGGAACCTCGGTGCTCAGGAGGGCTTCAACACGGGTGTCATCGCCCTTGTCAACGTTTCGGGACCTAACCTCAACATGTCCGCGCCCACACGCTTGCCCTCCCGCCCAGCTTATCTTCAAGATCTTCGGCCTGCATCGGTTCCCGCAGGCAACACGCGCAACGTGTCCTGGGATCTCATTCGCCTCATCAACAACACAGCTGGTTTGACCGACGTGCCCATTTACGGCGTTTCGCAGCAAGCTTTCAATGCTTCAAACCCTTCACGAGACTGCATCAACGCTCGCAGTGGCGTGCAAGAATGGCAGCTTGTCAACCCAATCTGGATCTGCAATGCCTCCGTCACAACGTGCCTGTCCACCATGGACCGCAATGCCGCTTCAGGGGCACTTTTACGGGACTACCAGGAGCCCGTTACGCTGTCGCACGGCTTTCACCTTCACACCTTTAAGTTTCAGGTGGCCAGCGATAGCAACGGTGGAGTCAGCGCCGACTATGAACTCGGTGACTGGCGAGACACGGTCACCACCCCACTCGCGGGGTGGGTCCGGATCCGCTGGCAGCCCCAAACGTTTGAAGGTGTGATTCCCTGGCACTGCCATATGTCGGTGCATTCAGACCGCGGGATGATTGGAGCCTCTACGGTGGCATCGCAATGCCCCGCCGCACCAAATGCCGTGTCCCGAGCACGAGCTGCCGCTCAGGCACGCGCGCGCCCTGCCATGGCCCATCTCGCCTCTGGTAATTGGGAACCTCGCTTGGGTAATTTCACTTGGAACGTCAGCACGCACAGCCCAGCCGCGCAAGCCCTCTTCAACGAGGCCACCATGATGGCATTTGGTTTCGCCCGCGATGCCGCCAGTGCCACCTACCTCCGTGCCTTGCAGGCCGATCCTACTTGCGCCATGTGTGCCTGGGGCGTGGCCTATGCCAACGGACCCTTCTTGAATCATCCGGAATGCAGCAACGCCACCTGTGGACTGGGCTTTGAGTATGCAGAGCTAGCTGCGACGCTGGCTGCTAACCACAGCGTCACTGCCGCCGAAGCAATGCTGATCCGGGGCATGCAACAGCGCTACAGCCAGGATCCAAAGGCAAATCAGACGGCCCACTTTATGGCCTATGCCCAAGCCCTCAACGCCACTGCGCTGGTCCACAGCGACCCCACACTTGCTGCCTTTGCAGCGGAGGCGTATATGCTTCTTCACTGCCAAGATGACGGCTATCATTTCAACTTTCCCAACGGGACGCCTGTGCCAGACTTGGCCTGGGTAATTGACCTGTTGGGGTCCTATCTCTTCTACCCCAACACCAACGATGTCCTGCCGGGCCCCCGACACCCGTTTGTGTCGCACCTGTACATTCATGCCGTCGAGCCATCCGGTGCAGGCATGGGTCCCAATGCCGCGGGTCGTGCCTTCGGCGTGGCACAGCGCCTGAGCTCGGTGCTTCCCAACGTCACCAGTCTCTGGCAGCACCTGCAGCACATGCCGGCGCACATTTTCTTGCGCACGGGCTACTATGGGTTGGGTGTAGCTGCCAACATGATTGCGCACGCTTCGGATGCCACCTGGCTCAACCACAGCCTTGTCCCCTACGGTCCTGGACATAACTTGATTTTCCTCATCTATTGCGCCTGCATGGATGGCCAATCAAGCACTGCTATCCACTACGGCGAGGTGGTGCGCCAGGTGTACCAGGCTGCTCCAGGTAGGCACGGGACTCTACTCGTGTATTGCGGCATGTATTTGGTTAATGCCATGTGCTTTGTGATACCACGTTGCTTTGTCGTGGCGAACCTTCCTTGTTGCCCCATCTCTTCCTCACCGAGTTTGCCTGGTGTGCCTATGCGTGCCGCATAGATCGCCCTGACGGACCCGGGGCAGATCTGGCGTACAATTGGCCGGCCACTACGTTTGTACGCTTTGGCAGTTGGGACGCCATTCTGGCTGCTGACTGGTTTACCATGCCACGCCCATTTCCGTACCAGCAGGCTCTGGCGCACTACGCCATCGGACTTGCGCAAGCCCACACGGGCAACGTGACTGGCGCACGCGCCTCGCTTCAAAACTTGCAGCGCGTCCAGGCTACTCTGACGGGACGAGCGGCCACGTATTGCCGTGTTGCCAACTGGACGTTGGGCGCTGCAGTGGCGCGGGCCACGGGTCCCGCAGGTGTGCCCACCGCGTTGTCACTGCTCAGCACAGCCGTGGCTGAGCAGATGGGCTGGCCATATGATGAGCCTCCAGACTTTCATCAACCCATCCAGCAGTGTTTGGGACAGCTGCAGTTGGAGCTGGGCAACTATTCGGCCGCCTACGACACGTTTCAGGCCAATCTGGCCCACTATCCCAACAACGGCTGGGCACTCTGGGGCTTGCTACAGGCAGTGCAACACCTCCCCTACGACCCCAGTCGTCCCAGCGCCGCAAGTATTACAACCCGGCTGTCAGCGGCCTGGGAACGTGCCGATGTTCCCCTAACCAGTGCCTGTGCGTTGATCCACTTTCCATAAGCCTCCCACCTGTCACAACGAGTCGATGCAAGCAGGCCTTCCCCCTGTTCTCGTTAGTTTCTCGTGCTCCCTTTTACGAATTGACATGCGCGTGCACATTCTGTGGCGTCACGGCGATCACCTGCGTGCGCCCCATCGTCGTCTTTATGTCTCCTCTTGTCTGTACAAAATGTCAAGGTGACAACGCCGCGTCAATTGCTTGACGTTTTCCATGTAATCTTCTCTCAAGGATGAAACGACAAGAAGGGGGAAAAAAAAATGCCCACACACTTTGGAACAAAATTTGAAAGACCTGATCCGTTTTTTTTAGGCATTTGGCACGATCTGGCGTCAGCAGCAGCAATGTGAAATCAGGCCCTGATCACCACCAGGGAGTATCATGTGTCGACGATCGCGCCAAGCAGAAAGAGCAGCAAATCATCTCTGGCGCAGTTGCACCACAAAATTGACCCTGAAAATTCATTTTTTTTTTCGCCTTTCTGTTTTTCGGAAGCTAGCTTGCATGCATGAACTTTGTCAGATACTTCTTTCCTCTGACATTGCGAACACGGCATTTTTTAGAACGACAAGTTGAGCGACAGGCACAGGTGGATACGAGGCGACAACGGCCGGCTCCTGGGGTCGTGTGTCAAGGTGGCAACTGAAAGACGGAACCGCAATAGCATTACGACTGCTCGGGGGTTGTATGGGCTTGTGAGTGAACGTCTGATCCTCCTGCGCGTGGTGCGCCACCATGGCGCCCACGGCTCTGGCCGTTGGGCTCACCACCATGAGCCTGTGCGCACTGCTGCATGCCGTGGCCTTGCCAGAGGGCGCACGAAACGGGGGCGCCCATGTGATTCATCCACAGGAGCTGCGGCCCATCCCCAAAGCGACAGAGGTAAAGCACGACTTGTCGGATGATCGGGGTGCCGAGGGGCGCCATGCTGTACAGTTTGGTCTTGCGACCATATCGAGTTTTTAATCCGTGCTCGCTCTAACCTGGATTGTTGCGTTGCTTCTCAGGCTCCCGCTGCATCAACTATGCTCAATGTCAGGTCAGAAACTCGTGCAAAAGCTTTGCAGTCGCTTTCTTTTGAAGTGACGTAAATCTTGTACAGACGCCGCTCTTGGCGGATGCACAGCGGTTGATGCGCACGTGTGCGTGCGCGTGTGTGTGTGGATGTGACGAGTGTTGGTGTGCGAACCCGGGCCTTGTCTTGGCTGTCCTGGTCCCGCTAGCTGACACGCGGCTTTTTGATTCCTGCAACTACCAATATCACGTGTACATGTTTTAGCAGCCAGGGCAATGCCTCCGCTGCGCCGGAGAAGGACAGTCAGACGGGATCAAGCAATCGGCTGCTGGATTTCAATACACTCGTACGATGAATATTCTGCACGCGAGCCCAGCGCAGCAGCCTTTGTCGTTGCTCAGACACCTGACATGCGCCATGACTGATTATAGGATTCGGCTGAAGTAGAGACCAACGCCAGCTTGCACCTCTTCCTGGTCATTGCTGCTCTGGGTAGCTCCCTGTTTCTCATCTACTGGCTGGCCAAGAGCCGATGGAGCTTTCTGCCTGACTCGGTGGCCGTCATTGCGTTGGGTTCGTCGTTACCAGAGGCCGCAGAGAGGACTTCGCTTTGACGGGGTTTGGAGGCTCAAAGGAGTCGTTCAGTGGTGGGCTCGAGACTCAGCTTGCTCTCCTACGCACCTCTCCTAGGGGCCCTCATCGCCGTGGTCTTTCGCTTCGATGACATGGGCTGGGAGCGTGCCGAAGCTTTTGACCCCACTGTGTTCTTCTTGTACCTCCTTCCTCCCATCATCTTTGAATCAGGGTACGAGTAGGCGGCAGGCTACTCTTGTGACTCTAAATCCCTCTCAGTTTCATGCTTCACTTCCTCTCACCTGGCCGGTCTTGTGCTTGTGCAGATACTCTCTACAGCGAGGTGCTTTCTTCAGCAAATTGGGCACTATTCTGATATTTGCTGTGATTGGCACCATTCTCTCTACGATTGTTGTTGGGGGTGGTTTCATCCTTCTCATGGAATATGGCTACATTCCCAACTTTGGCACCATCCAAGTGTGCGTCAAACTGCCGATGCCCCAATTCGCTTTCGCGGCACACATTGCTGTTTTGCACGATGACTCATGAAGAAAAAAACAAACAACACCCCCCTCCCCCCCGACGTCCTGGGGCTATTCTTCATGCTTGCCGAGGCAGGTTTGCATTTGGTTCTCTGATCTCTGCGGTGGATCCCGTGGCGACGCTGGCCATTTTTCAAGCTCTGGACATTGATGCGAGCCTCTACATGCTGGTGGGTCAAGTCAGCTGGTGACTACATATGTAAATACATGCACTGTGCGTGCTTACAACACACATTTGCTCATTCCCGTCTCGTAGGTGTTTGGCGAGAGCGTTTTGAATGACGCCGTGTCCATCGTTCTCACTCGAAGTATCATTGAGATTGGTATCAAGCACCACTTCACATCTGGACTGCTGTATTCCGTGCGTGAATGTTGCACCGCTTGTGTCGTGCGGCTCCGGGCCCTCGTCTTTTCTGGATGAAGCGTTTTCCCCATTGATGAACCGGGGCCCGCTGTTTCGCGACGCCATGCTCTGGGATATTGCGTTGATAGGTTTTTTGGGAATTTATCGTCGCTTCAGTGGGATCAGCCTTGATCGGCGTTTTGGCTGGCTTCTTGTGCGCCCTCGTGACGAAGCATCTGGACTTGTTTCAACTCCCTGCCGTCGAGTTTGCTTTTGTGTGCATTTTTGCTTACTTGTACGTCCAGTCAGCCTGGTCACGGCTTGCCAGAAAGTTTGCGACTGCTCGTGATATTGCCCCATAGCTTCCTCGCTCGCTTCTCGATCCTTGCTGTATTTCATCACCGGGATTCCCTACCATGCAGGCCCTATCTCTTGGCGGAGGGCTGGGATTTGAGTGGCATCATGGCAATTCTCTTTGCCGGCATTACCACAGCACACTATGCGCACGGGAACCTGTCCCCCACCACCAAAGGTATCGTGCTCAGATTGACGATGCGAGCTGGCTGCATTCTCCTCAACACCTTGCTTCAAGGCACTGAACCCATATTGCTGGCTTGTGGTAACAGTGACAGTCAAGCAGGCATTTCGAACCACCGCCCTTCTCGCCGAGACGGCCGTCTTCTTGTATATTGGTACGGGTGCCGATGGCAAAAGTAGCCACAGCTCACGCCCAAGACTTGGCTCACCCTCTCTTGCTTTATCTGGGGCCTGTGATCAGGCATGGCTCTTTTCAGTTTTCGCTTGGACATCCGGGTGGACATTGTTTGTTACAGGTAGCTTAATTGGCCCACCAGGGGGGTAGAGGAGTTGGGGTTGGGGTTGAGCAGCTGCTACCACACGTGACATTCATCATCTCATTTGCGGCACCTCTCTGGTGTTGGCTGTGCCTTCCAGTTTGCTGCTATGTTTGCTGGGCCGAGCTGCTAACATATTTTCGCTCTCCATGTCGGTCAATGTCTTTGCCAATGCACAAATCAGCTCCAAGCACCAGTTTATCATGTGGTTTTCCGGCCTGCGCGGTGCCATTGCATTTGCTTTGGCGCTGCATCTTCCGCTCGAACTATTTGACGTCGAGGTCAAGAATGTCTTTGTGTCAACAACGCTCATGGTGGTGCTCTGCACCATCGTGCTTTTTGGCTGTTCAACAATGCCATTGCTTCAATGTTTGCGCTCCCGCCGCAAGGGCAGTGGTAGCAAATCCCCGACACGAACTGCGTCGCAAGACGGTATGCCCTCTTCGCCGGGGTAGCTTGTGTTGTGCCCTAAACAGCAATGCTTGTGGTACTGTCACTCCCCCATGTTCATCACATGCCCACACTCGCAAACGCAGCAGAGGAGCCAAACTCGTGGCTGGTACGCGTGGACACCAAGTACTTGCAGCCGCTACTGCGTCGACGTGGTCAACGCCTAGGGGTACGTAGGTGGGGCATCCAAGGACCATTTTTTATTTTCATTCTTTGGAAATGGATGTGACTTGGACACATGTATCAATATTTCTGTTTTTTAAACAGACATGAACTAATTTTTTTTTTCCTTTTGGGTGGATGTTTCATCGCCTTACTAGGCCAACTCTTCAGAGCAGGAACAGGAGCTACACGCCCTTACTGAGCAGTGGCAGCAAAAGTTGGAGGAGTTGCAGAGTGAAAGTACTTTCATTCGCTCTCGTATCAGCGACGAGGGCCTGGAGCAACCTGTGAGCTAATGTCCAGCATTAGCAGCCGTCACTGACATGTGAATCGATTTTATCCCGTGAGCCAGATCTCACTGTGCTTCATGGCAGCAAATGTTTCCATTTGTTCTCATGAAGTGCGAGAGGTGCAGCAGCATTATCTCAATTATTTTTTATGTTCATGTTCGTTGCACAAGGCCAAGCCTCGACGGTCAGCAGGAGGCTCGACTCTCAGGACATCATCAGATGCATGGTCAGAAGTCAGACAGGCCAGTCAAAAGAAAACGCAATGGCTTATGTTCAAAGACAAACCCGCGCGCAATAATATTAGGTACATACAAAGATGAGGGTTCAAAAACGTCCCGCAAAAGAAAATGAAACGAAAAACACAGAAGACAAAAAAAAAATAAACGGCGAGGGTGGGGTCATGAAGGAGAAAAAAATCAAAACGAAAAGATTAACCGAGCTTTCGACAGCGAATATGGGGTCATGCTTCATCGGGTGCAAACGCATTGATGAGCTCAGGTTGATCGGCAAATTTAACACGCGTCCTAGCCGTTGCTGAAGTACCAGCTGCCTGGCGACGGCGACCCCGTCGCTGTGCTGGATGCTGTGTTTCCATCAAGGCTGCACTTTCCTCGAAAAACTTGCTGTGAGACAACAGCTCAAAGATTGCAGTCAGCTCAGGGTTGGTGCCATGGCACAAGCGCAGCTTGACGCACATCTACCACGACAGGCGTGCATAATTGACTTGAGGACAGCCCCTGTGCATGGAAAAGCAAGATGCGGACCAGCAGCGAATTGAAAGCTTTTTGACACCAACCTCGGGGATGCGAGCACATGATTTCGCGTGGATGCCAGCAGCCTCGCAAAGTTCGAGTTGATCTCGAAGCTCAACAGCCATGCTACGATCAGAGAGGTTGAATGCAACATTGTAAGATGGTACTTTGCTCAGCCCCGATTGCAAGAGGCATCTTGGACCAGGGCAGACTGAAGAGGTAGTACATACCGACACAGGGTGTAGGATTGGGACTCGGTACGCATCGGCAGCTCAGCGAAGGCCAGAATGCGTTCAAGACAATATTGCATGATGAGCTGACGCGTTTTGGCTTCAATGTCGTCGCCACAACTGCGAACCAAACCCAAAAGTGCTTCTTGCAGCCAGTCATGCCGCAATATGATACGGTCATCTGGGGTATGCCAGAGCAAAGCGCGAAGGCAAAAGACGGCATGGCGAAAGGCTTGGTGCGTGGAAAACAGCGCGTGGCAATCGCACGCTCGCCAGCCACGCCCTTGAAAGACAATCAAGCACAACAATTGCAGAATGGCATCCTGTTCCTCCTCCTCCTCCTTCTCCTCCTCCGTGTCATCTTCACTGGCATCTTCATCGCTGTCGTCGTTGCTCTCATCGTCGCCACTGCCATCACTGCCATCGTCATCATCTTCCTCGTCGCTGCTGATATCATCAAGCTGAAGCAACAGGTAGCTATCGAGATCACTCTGCGGCTCATCCGAGGGCCGATCCACGTCCTTTTCCTTCTCGCTTGGGCGGCGTGAAGTGGGTTGGGTCCGGGCATTGGCCAAGGTCGGGCAAAGGGTTGACAAAGCCTCAACCAGCGCCAGACTAGCGATGGTCCGCAGAGAAGCACGCGGCAGGCACGTCCGAAGCTCAGCCTTGATTGAGCTCCAGACTTCCATATCAATGCCCATGGCGCAGAGTTGAAGCAGCACCGAGCCAATGTCTGGGGAGTGCTTCGTGAGGTGGCTAAAGGTTCGAGAACGTCCGATGCGAGAGCGCACGTCGCCATTTACCACAACAGCGTTGCGCTCATGGTCAAAACTGCTGCGCCGGTGGGTGGGATCGTCGTTGGAAGGTTTGTAGTCAAGGTCCACCGTGGTGATACCGGGTGTGTATTCGAGGCCTCGGCACGCGTCGGGGTTGGCATCAGTAATCACGGTCACGTTGTCGGGCCACCAGCGGGGCAAGATGTGGCGCCAACGACTGACGTGGGTGCAGCCTTGCAAAACCAATACAAAGTGCGACTGGGGCTGAGCCATGACCAATTCCTGCAAGGAGCTGCGCATCATGTACTCAACGTCACGTGGGATGCGCCGCATCGAGCAGGGCTCCAGGGCTTGTTCCATGACAGGGCCCAACTGGCCGGTTTCAAGGGACTCGACCTCAACCAGCCGCATGAAGGATGGCTCTATCAACTCGACCAGCTCATTGTGCTGAATGCTGGACTTGTGGACGCCGTTGGGCGTGCCTATGGCACCGAGATAGGAGCGACGATAATTGAAGAAATAGTGAGCCGGTGTTTCGGTTGTCTCAAACATATTAGGGCTTGCTGCGTTTCCTGGATGGTGCAAAAGGTCCATAGCTTGCGTTGCCACGAGGTTGACAAAGCTGGTTGGCACGATGTGGCAGTACTCGCGGCTGTAGGCTGCCTCCGTCAGGTTTTGGTGTGAAACGCACACGCAAGGCACTTTGTACCGATCCTGGTCAAGAATGGGTGGTGGCTCATGGGCTTCAGCTGTTGTTTCAACGTTGGCTGGCTTGCTCCCATGGCCAGAAGAAGTCTCCTGAGATTCACTGGACTGGCCCTTCGCCTCTGGAGTCACGGCGGTGGTGCTGATTCCCGCTGACATCGAGTTGATAGGACCAGAGGCCGAAGCCATGGCAGTGGCGAGGGAGGAGCCAGGCACTGTGGCTGAGCTGCTGTATGAGCTTGTTTCACTGATGTTGCTGGCAGCCAGAGATCCAGCAGAGGAACGCGGCGAAACGCGGCGGCTACTACTCTCGCTGCCCGACTCTTCGCGAATCATGCTCAGAGGCAAAGGGGAGAAGGCACGCAGGGGCGTGCTTGGAACTGGCAGCGAGTTGGCCAGGATGGGCGGGCTGCCAGCATTCTGCGGTGTGGGCGTGGCCCCGGGGCTGGCGACAGCGTGGCTGCTGAATGAACTTCGAGCAGACACGTTTGCTGGTGGTTGCCAACCGGGGACTGGCTTCATCTTGCCGAGTTGCATGGCTGCACACACGTCGCCGGTGCGCCGGACAGACTCGCCTGTGACAAAGTGGCAGTTGATAAGATTGCGAGACACACGAATACGGAGATTGCATTCGCTGGCAATAATGGTGCCCTTGGCCATGCGTGATGGCGACCGATTCATGAGCCGATTGCGCGTTCCGGGCGAGCCCGGGTGGCGCCGCGGCAACGGAATGGTGTTGTCTAAGGGCAGCGGGGTGGAAAGGCCCCGATCCATGCCAGAGCTGGTCACAGCCACGAGCATGCGTTCGACGCCTATTGCCTTGGCATTGATATTGTCGTCACGCGAGGCGACTGATGAGCCATAGCCCGTATTGGTAAAAGCACGGCGCCTTGGGTACTGTGTGGGGGCTGCAGTGCGCGAGATACCGCGCAACGGGCTGGCCTGAGAGTCACGAAGCAAGTCTGACGGGCTACGATGCTGCAAGCTTGACGGGTATCCTTTGCCAAAGGCGTGGGTCTCAACGTTGTCTGTGGTGCTGCTGCGACCACCTGCTGTCGCGAGAGGGGGGCTGCGCGAGCCCACTGAAGAGCTATCGATGATGGACGGTCGGGAGCGGGTCGATGTCCAAGTGGCGGCACGTTTGCGCCGCTGGGAGTGCTTGAGGCTGCTGCCTCGTTTGGGTGAGGGGGACAGGCTCCGTTCACCGCTACTACTACTGAAAGACAAGCGCGGGGGGCTGTTGGAGGTATCTCTTGAAGTGACAACGGAGGTTCCGATACTGCCTTCGTTCAAATAGGCGCGGTTGGTGTGCAGGCTCGGAAACCAGCCCATTTCGCCGGTGGCAAGGTTGCGGACATAATAACAAGGCACGGTACGTCGACCCAAGGCCGGCCAGGTAGAAGATTCTCTGAAGCCAAGCGGCATTTAAGAAGCCGGTAGACAGAGAACGTGAAGACAAAGAGCGCAGAGATGAGGAAAGGAAAAAATAAAAAATAAAAATAAATAGATAAAAAAATAAAAAAATTGGAGAGCATCCTCATGCCTCGGTACACTTACGGAAGATCACAGGCAAAGTTGGCGTCATCCGTGTCGCAGCGAACAAGGAAGCGCGTGGTCGCCGTGGCGTCAGCAATGTCAATATCTAGGTACTCGCTGAGGACCAGCACTTGGCGCTCTTTGTACCACAGGTGGATGTACTCGCGATTATCTACGAGGCAGACCTCAAGACGGTCATGCTTTCGAAAATGAGCATATTCCTCATATATATCCGCACGATGACGGGTAGGTGTGAGCAGAGTCTCGACGTTTTGAGTGTGGTGATGGAGATCGAGGGCATGCACAAAATGCTGAGCGGCCTCGATCAAGGCCTCATCCTGTCGTAAACCATCTTGTGGGCCAAAACGATGACGCAACAGCACCAAGTTGGATTGATCCAAGCTCTGGCGCATCCACTCTTGAATCACGGCCACGCGTTCTATGACAATGCAGGCCGATATCAGACGTGAAATGCTGAAACAATTGACGACAGCAGATCGTAGCGAAAGAGGGAAGCGTGTAAAACCAATCGGGTGACGGGGAGAGGGCGGGGTGGAACGGAAAATAAATAACACGTACGGGCTGAACTGCGTGAGCTCAGAGCAATCAGAGGTTTGCGGCGAGCCACATCAGGGCCCGAGGATGTGGAAGAAGGCGAGGTGTAGGCCGACGAAAACGCCGCAGAAGAGGGTGAGTCGGGCGGGCTCGTTGTCGACGACTTGTTGTTCCCGGGTGCAGGCATGGAGTGTGGTGCAAGATGGCATGCCGAGGATTGGTCGGCAATTTGAGCGTCCATAGTTGCGGCAAGGAGCTGGCGACCTTTCTCAATGGCAGCCGGAGGTACAGCGGCATTTTGAGGCGTTGACACGGGGTCATACCTGAGAAAGGCGCGGGTGTGAACGCAAGGATGAGGGCATGCGTGTGCACAATATGAAACGTGTCACGGGCGCGAAGGTGAGTGTACATGGGGTAAGAAGGGAGGGGATGACAGGGACGCACGAGAAGGACTCGAGGATGGACGAGATGCGGTGCGCATTGGACACGAAGCGCGGCGGCGACAGGTTTTCGCAGCAGAGGGTGGGCCACTCCTCGTTTTGAAGGGCTTGCAGCTCCCAGCGCAGTCGGCCGCTCGAGGTAGCAGATTGAGCTTCGTGTTGGTCAGCAACGTCTGGAAGCCAGGAGGCAATGCGGGCGATGGCATCCGCAGCACCCTCATCGAGAACAACGAGGCGACACTGCGAATGGCGCAAAGCAAAACGGAGCAAAAGAGCAATGCGGCCGAGACTATTGGTGGCTTGTGGGTTCGCATCGGGTGCACCAGCAGCGTCTGTCAGCTGCGGATAGAAGAGACTGGCTTCGGTGAGGTGAGCCGCAAGGTATTCCTCGGCCGCTGTCACGGGTTCGGTGGCTGACAGGTTGAAAACCGCCAAGTGGCAGCGCAGGAGGGCATCGGCGTCAAGCAGAAAGGGGCGGTCTTCATCTTCAATATCTGAATCCGGGCTGTACAAATCGAGGTCAAGCGCGCCATCGGCTTGGATACAGGCTTCCCTGATGGCCTGGCTCAGGGAAACCAGGGCGGGTCGGTTGGCTTCGCCAGCAAAAAGCGCAACGGCAGGAACCGTCACGGTGCTGCCTGTCCCGCCACAATTTGTTGGCGAGGATGCGGTGGCCGCTAACAAGGGTCTGGACGCGGGTGCCCAAGCCACCTTGGGGCTTGCGGGGGCAGCGGCCGCCATGGCATCTGGCGTGCCTGGCGTGCAACGTCGGCTCGCGCAGTACCGAGGCAACAAGGATCAGGGAGGAAGACGGCGATTTGCAGGTTGTCGGTTGTCGAGCCTGGCGGCGGGCGGCTGGCGGTGAGTGTCCACAGAGTGCAAGGCGCGTGTGGGACTGCTTGCGGTGAAGGCGTGTGCGGTGGGAGGAAGGGAAGGGACAGGACAAAAACAGCTCGCTCGACAAGCGGCGGTGCAACGATGACCTGAACAGTTGCACCACACACTCGTCAGTCCGTGCCCTGCGGCAGCTCGCGTTGCTGATAATCAGCGCTGCCAGCCAAGCAATGGCCAACCCAACGCCCCACCGCTCGTCCAAAAGTCAGCCAGCTCAATCAGGCTCCTCTGTAAAAACATAAAACCAGACGCCAGAGTAGTATCGCGCGGCCTCTTCTCCCCCCGGATCACCCTCGGAATGGCATCCAGCAGCAGCAGCAGCAGCAGCAGCAGCAGCAGCAGCAGCAGCAGCAGCAGCAGCAGCAGGAGGGTCACAAAATGATTTTGGTGGCGCTCAAAAGAGAGAGAGTTTGAGAGAGAGTTTGAGAGAGAGAGAGAGAGTTTGAGGGAGAGAGAAATGAATTGGTAAGGCAAAGAGAGAGGGAGGCAGAGAGAGAGACAGACAGAGAAAGAGCCAAAGAGAGAGAGACAGCACACACAGACACACGATTTTCGTTAACAACGCTTTCTCTCTCTCGTATCGATGTCCTTGACCCTACCAACCCCGCTTTTCGTTGCAGATGTCAGATGTCAGATGTCAGATGTCAGATGTCAGCAAAATGTGAAGGCAGCAAAGTTCGTCTTCACAGAGACAAGGAGACTCACTCTCAGCCCTCGTTGAACGCTCTCTCTCTCACTCTCTCTCTTTTTATGTGTTCGAGCAGCAAACGTGTGTGTGTGTGTGTGTGCGCTGACCGTCTGGGCCGTTCGTCTCATCTCGTCTCGTCTCGTCTCATCTCGCTGCTGCTGCTGCTGCTGCTGCTGTTGCCATGGTGGCTGTGACTGACAGCTGATGCTGGGTGTTTTGTTGGTTTTGTAGAGGGAGGAAGTACAGGTCAGCAGGTGATTTGTTGGCGTCGTGCATCGGGTGACACGCAGCGTCTGGCGCCTGGCTGAGATGAAGGCTTCTCCGACGCTCTGGTGTACGTTCCGCTTCACACCTCGTTCGCCACCCGTTGTCTTTTTCACTCCTCTCCCAACTCCTTCCCTCCCATCTTTGACTTGCAAAATGCGTGCCTGCACCTTCTCCCACAGTTGCCCTCGCCGCCCTGGCCATGACGGCGCAGGGTGGCTGGGTCCGTAATCCAGGACGGCCGGCCGATATGACCACCTCGGTTGAAATTGCCATGGGCTCGCTTGATGCGCAACCTGGCACCCTTTTTTTGGCCGTCGCCAGCCAAGACTTTACCTACTTTGCCCTCAACTTTGACGATCACGTCGATCCGGGGGCCGTCGCCATCAATTGGACCCTTTTCCGCAATCCCACCATCACCCCCGCCCTGTGAGCCATTTCGGAGAGCCCATGTCCTTTCGTGCCCTCTTTTCCTCTTCTTGCCAGCCCTCACGATATGGGACCATGTCTTGCAGCGTGGCCGAGGCCATCACCATCAAGTCTGGCAATCGGCTGCAGTACGGCCAAGCCTTTGTTCTCGACGCCCTGCTCGAGTTTAACGATACCAAGGTTGGATGGATGCACATCCCTGCTTGTGTCTGGTCCATCCGCGTTTGACCGACGAAGAAACGCATTGTCAACCACTCTTGCAGTGGCTGCATGACCATACCCTCGAAGCTCAACCTCACCCTCTGTGCACACCCTCGCACGCATGCTAGGTCGAAGCTTTGCATCGTGAAATGCCCCTGAGCTTGCGCTCGAGTGCGTGGACCGTAAAGCCGGGCGCCACCTCCGACACCCTCACCTTCAACACCTCTTTCACGCGCGACTGCAGCGTGAACGTCTCGGTATGACCCTTGTCCGCCTGCATTGGCCTTTGCCTCTTTGCCTCGTACTCGCTCCTGCCCTCACCCCTAATCTTGCTCCGCCCGCCTGTCAATCTGGCTGTCCATCTATATCTGGTCTTGGTTTAGCTGCTTATGCACACGGGCAAGGGTTACGCAGCAGTGGCGCCTGCCATCCCAATCATGCCCAATGCTTCGGATATCAACCTCATCCTCTTGGGTTGCAATGCGACAATCAAGAACTCGCGCTTTGGCACCCGCAACCATGTCTACACCAGTCGCACGGTCCGATCTACGATCGCCCCACTCTCTCGCGAAAGGCACTTTTCGAATCTTATGCCGTTCCTCCAAACCGTCTTGGTATGGCTCATACCCCGTTTCTGCCACTCAAATTCATAAACTTTTGCAGGCAACTGACATGAAGCTCAAGACGGAAATGAGCATCGATGACGAGCACTCCCCCGCTGTCTTCAAGCTGTCCATCCTTGGCACGGAAAAGGCTCCTCAGGCTCCCAGTAACCAGGTTACTCATGGCTACCTTGCTTTCAAGCCAGTTGTCTACGGCTCGGCCAGCCGTGGCAGTAGCAACATGACCTCAGTCCAAACCAACGTCTCCTCGCTTGTTCCTGTGGACAATGCCACCCTGCCGTCTTCTCTCTTTGGTGGGGCTGGGGAAGGCAGCGAGCTAATCTTGTTGTTCGGCAGCAAGGGCGATGGGTAAGTGCTACTTTCAAGTCACTTTTTACGTCGTACCTGCAGCTGTCAGTCCTTGCCTGGCTGTCTGGCCCAGTTTCTCATCAGTTTTTGCCACAGGTGGGAGAATGCCTCGTCATATTACATGAGCGCCGTTCTGGGCACGGGAGACCATGGTTCAAATCAGTTTAGCTTTGCTCTTCTCATGACCACCATCGTCAGCTTCGGTGTTCCCTTCATTGCGTTCATTGGTATGTCGCTTTGGCAATCGCCTCCCTACTACCCACCCCACCTCCTTTTTGTCTGACTGTGAATGAATTGCCTCATCCTGGCTGACGAGCATTGTTGTGTCGTCTTGCTCCTTGATCCTGCAGTGGGCGGAGTCTACGCCGTGTGGAAGCGCTCACGCCTCCAGCGAGCCAACTATCACCAAATCAACTAGGTCTTGGTTTTTCTTCCCCTCTCGTGCAGGTGCTCCTTGTTTGCCTTTGCTCTGTGGCCGCGGGTTCCTTTGTCGGCGGCTCGCCCTGCGTGTTTCCTAGTCATTTCGGATTCTAGAGCCCTTCTTCTTTTTTTTTCCGTTACTTCACTCCCCTCGTTTTCCGCTGTCTATCTTTGTTGTTCCTCCGCCTGTTCATTTTTTTTTTTTTCCCTTCCATTACGCCGCTTTGATTTTTTAATCGAGACTGCAAGCATCCAAGACTGCAAGCGTCCAACATTTTTCTGCATCAGCCCCGACCCCCATACCGCCGTCCTCAGATGGCTTCATCGCGCATGGGATCATGATTTAACCCCCCTCTTGCTTCAAGTTGTTGTTGTGCGTACTTCACTTGCTGTCGCATGCGTACGATATTGCCTCTCTATTCCTATTGACTTTGTGCAGTTCTTTTACGACTTAACGTCAGTATCGATGCTGTTGAACTACATGTGCCGGCCGGTAGGGGGGTGGAGTGGGGGGGCGGAGTTGGAGGGCGGCGTCAGGGTCTCGACCGTTTTGACCGGGTCTTGACCGGGTCCTGGCCAAACGTGCGGGGGGAGGCATAAGTGGATGGATGGCCCTTTTTCTGCTGGCTCATCGTGCCGATGGTTCTTTGCTGCTCTTGCCACTTATTCTCAACAGGACATTCGCATCTGAAACTCTCGACGGGAGGGACGGACCCATTACCAGCGCCATGTCCATCTACGCCGCGGTCGTGGATGAGAGTGACACGTATATCGAAGGGCCCTTCAACAACCCCAATGGCCAAGCCCATAGCAGGGCTCCCGTGGCGGTTGCACCGGCTCAGTACACCGGCATCCTGACAGAGGATAGCACGACGGCCAATCGCGAGCCCTTGCCCCCGCGTCGCTCGCGTCCACCCGCCGCACCGCCCGTCACGGCCCAGCGGCCCCCACCCCCCATCTATCGTTCCATGGCGGAGGCCCCAGCCCCTGCGCTTGGACCTTTCAACCCGCGAGAGATGCACCCGGCAGAACGTGTCATTGTTGAGGAAGATTGGTACTATCGTAACGTCACGCGTCAAGACGTTGAAGTCATGCTCCAAGACGTGCGTCTGCGCTGGCAATGTGCCCGTCCTTTCCCTGATTGTGCTCATGCAGTTTGCTGCCTTATGCGCGTGAAGAGCATCGCTCACTGTGCACTGTGTGCCGCTGCCACTCTTGGATCGTGCTATGTGTGACAGGAGCCCGCGGGCAACTTTGTCGTTCGCCCGGCTCGCCAGGCCGGCCAATTTGTCCTTTCTTTCAAGTTTGTAGCACAAAGCGCCTCCCCTCTTTTTGTTGCTTGGTCGAGCTACGTCTGGCTCATCATACCAAACGCACTTGCACCTTAGGGATGCGGATATGCGCTATGCTCACATCCACATCACGCCGCTCAACGGCTCATTTTCCAAATGGCAACTCGGTACGCCAGCTAACTTACGCTCACCCCATCGACGTTCCGCACCTCAACTGATTCTGGGGCTCAGTGCTCACAGCGCCAACTGGCCTTTGCTTGCGGTATACAGGCGATACAACTGCTGTGCACGCATCCATTCCCATGCTGATTCAGTACCACCGGCAGATTCCCATTGAGCTGCCACGGCGGTCACCCACACTCCTGGCTTTGGCGCAAAAGCGCTGAGACTTGCGTCTGTTTTCTATCTTGCTACAAAAAGGCTCAATTTTTCCTCTGCCAAGCTCTGACGAGCTTGCTTAAGCCTTTTTTCCCATCTTGTGCCGCGCTGAGCGCGATTGGCTGCCCTGTGTGGGATTGACGTTTGGATGCTTTAATCCCTTTTATTTCCTGACGCGATCTCACCGTGCTCTGTCTTTACACCATGCCCAAGCATCGCGTGCCCTTTGTCCATCTCTTTGATACAATGCAATTGATACAATTTTTGTGCGATTTGATTTGAAGATCTGACAGAATGAGCGCCAGCTGCCGGCCAAGCAGGCGTACACGTGCTCGGCTGCGCCCCACCGTTGTTTTGGACAAGCTTCAGGCCCAGTTTCTTCACGTCAGTGATGTGCAAGAGAGCCAGCGTTGCTGAGCACCAACGAATGGGTCGTTTTGGCTTCAAAATCTGTGCATGGGGTGGCGTCTAGAGAGCGTCCATTGCCAGGGCCACCTTCGCCGTCTCTCCTGATGTTGGCATGATCAAACAGGCAAAGGACGTGCAGCCGGCAGCAGACATGGCACTCGACAAAGGATGTGGAGCACAGCTCAATTCAGCTTTGGGCCTTCGCCTTAACCTTGGCAAACTCCTCTGCCTCAGTGTCATCTTGCAGACGCTCACGAATGAGCTCGGCAATAGCACGCTTTGTTCGCTTCTCCAATTTGGCCATCTTGGGTTCCAAGTCGCGCTTGAGATCCCTATGATCCGAGCACACCATTCGTAAGCTCGCGCACAACGGCGAGATGGGGTGGGGGGGACGGTGCGGTCAGATTGTGGCTCCCACGCTCTGACTCAGACGTACCAGTCTACCTTGCGAGGTGCCAAGGACAGGACGTCCTGCAACGCGCCGGACCAAACATGGGCCACGCATGGGTTTGCCAATACTTGATGAGAAGAGCATGCCACGCCCACTCCGAGAACCAAAGCAGGCAGGAGACAGCAACGAGAAAGATGGGCAAAAGAGGTGGTGGGCAGACGGGATGACAGTCTCTCAGACGCTGAACAAACCTCGATGGCCTGACCCTTGGTGACTTGCTGCAGCACGTCATCATTCGCCTTTTCTTCCAGAACTTGCACCACGGCGTTTTCCACTGTCGGAATCATACACGTTGTCAGTCGTCACGAGTGTGCAGGGCTGAGCTCTTGGTGGGTACTCGCCACATGAACACTGGTGCACATTCCCAAGCCATGCCACGATTGATGCGCACCATTATCATCGTTGGCCAACTCAATCTGCTCTCCCTCAATCTCCGTTTGTGGTCGGTAGTTGCGAAACTTGAGCTGAGGCTCCGAACTGCTCTCAGACTCCTGTGGCTCTGCCTCAGAGACTGCAGAAGATGTGTCCTTGTCCTCTGCCTCAGGCGCTGAATCCATGAGATTGGCGCGCATGGCCTTGAGCCGGGCCCGACGTTCTGCTGCCGCGTCCTCCATCGTGGCGACAATTTTTTTTATTCAGAGCAAGAAAGGGAAGCAAACCGCCGTAGAGCGTCCTCCTAGCCAGGCCCTCCAACGCCGCACCTACAATCATCCCCGACCACCATCCACATTCAACCTGATGAGCACCGCGCTCACCCCGCCCAACCCAAGACAGCGAGCAAACGCCGCGAACGCACGGCTGCCATTTTCAAGCTTACAAGCTTACCAAGAAGAAACTTGACCGAGACTCGATCCAAAACCGGATAAAGTTGTCAAGTGGCGTTAAAAGCAGGGCGATAGACTTACACTTGGTACCTTTTCATGCATCAGGTCTCCTCTCTATTTTTGATAATCTCTTCTTCATTTTTGCTTGATGCTGTTGTCAGAGTGAGAGAGCGAGAGAGCGAGAGAGAGAGAGTGAGGAACGATCTGACGGCAGACCGACAAACGGCAGCTCAGTGGAACTTGAAAGACGACGGCAGCGCTGTTATAAAAGGGGGATAAATTGTGAGCGAGCTTGGCTAGGCGTGTGCGCCGTGTTTGGGCGTGTCTGGTGTCGGCTTCGTCAGTGAAGCTCTCTGCGATTCCCATCATCAGCTTCTCGGGCGCGTGACCCTTGTTTTACTCCGCTACCATCATGTCGGACGTGAGTTGTGCGGTGTCCGTCCCCCTTGATGGTCCAATGCCGAGGCTGGGTGGCCTCTTTACTGCCAGCTCAACCCGTCTCCCTCTTGCTCCTTTTGCTCGATAGGAGATTCCGCTCCGCTATTCCTGGACCTTCTGGTACTCGAACAAGAAGCAGCGTGTTCGTCCTCCATTCACCTCGCTCGCTCGCTCACTCCATTCTATGACAAGCGTTGCCCATCCCGGGCGGAGCTCGCTGCTGCTGCCTCATCGCGAGCTCTTTTCTTGTTGTATTGGCCCATCAGAATCGCGATAATTTCGACGCTTCAATGCAGAAAATGTGCACCGTGTCCACGGTATACCCGGCCAGACTGAATTACCTGCTCGGCGTGCTTGCTCTCACCATGCGTGCCGTGTGATGGTGCACTGGTGTAGGTCAAGGAATTCTGGAACGTTTACAGCTTTCTGCAGCGTCCGAGCGAGCTTCCCATCTGTGACCTCATGCTCTTTCGCGATGGTATTCGCCCCGTCTGGGAGGTTAGTTGGTGCTGCCAGGCCTCGTTTTTTTTTTTTTTTTTCCACTGCCCAATGCAAATGCATCGTTGCTGCCTTTGACTCTGGTGGTGCAAACCAGGACGACAAGAACAAGAGCGGTGGCCGATGGAGCCTGCACTTGAAGAAGGGCATTCAAGCCTCGTCTCGAGCTTGGGAAAATCTACTTCTGGCCATTATCGGCGACCAGGTTCGATGCGGCTTGCCCGGTCAAATCCGAACCCCAACCACCGCCCTGCTTTCTCGACTGGCAGGGGCTAACGCTTGCTTCAAATGCCCAAACCCTAGTTTACCCATTCTGAGGAAGTTTGTGGCGTTGTGCTCAAGATTCGCCAGAGCGATGACTCTTTGTGCCTCTGGAACCGCACAGCCAGCGATGCCGAAACGCGAACAACCATCGGGTAAGCTCGATGCCTCCTTGCTTTACTCTGAGTCTTGGTGAAGCCAGCAAAAACCGCAACATCCAGGTTGCATCTCTGCCATTTTTTCTTCTCCCCCCCCGCCCCTCTCCTTCAATGGTCAATCTCATTTGTGTGCATTGCTTTGCCCGACCTTGCGCAGCAAGGACCTTAGGAAAGTGCTGCGCTTGGACAGCGGCGTGCTGATCAAATACAAGTTTCACGAGCAAACCGAGCAGCCTGAGGATGAGATTACTCTGTAGCTCTTGCTAGCCGCACACGATCTTTTGCTCTCTATTTCCATATCTCCTGACAGTCTTCTCTTTCAACCGGAGAGGGGAGGGCCCCAGCCCGAGGCCAAGCCTGTGGCCATTGACAACGAGCGTCGCACCACCTGTCACACATCCAACCAAACTCAATTCAGCTGACTCTTCTTTCTCTTCCACCTCACACTCGACGCCTCAGCCTTGACCCGCCTTCTGATGATGGCATGCCGATGATATCAGGATCTGAGGAGCCACACTCGCTTTTAAACAAGTTCATGCTGATTTTCTTGAAGGAAAATTTCATGTAGTTGCGCGAGCGGCGCCCTTTTCCAGACTGGCTTGCGCCTCATCTAAAAGCTACAAGCAAGACAACCCAAGAGGGCAGCTACGCATGAGATTTCAACGAAAGTTGCCTGATCCTATTCTATCATAGAGTAACACACCTCCTTCATGTCCTCGACTAGCGCATCTTGATCGGATCGACTGGCCAAGAGCATCAGCACCCGGCGCAGCACAAGCAGCGTGTCACAGCCCGTGCAGCTGTAGCAGGCCTGCTCAAGTGGAGAGGCTGGTGGTCTTTGCAAGAGCCCTCGACAAAGGGCACGCAGTGGATCAACAGCTCCAACCTCGGCGCAAATTCGTGCGAATTGAAGTACGGCATGCTCAAAGGCTGCCACGTCCCCAATCACGCGTGCTGTAACCACATTGGCCTCGGCTTGGCTGACCTTGACAAGGCGCTGCGTGGACACGGTTGCATGAGTGTGTCCCTGTCCTCAAGCTCACCATACGAGATGGGCAGAAGAAAAGCGAGGTTCCTGTCAAGGATGCCATACAAGTGTGCCTAGGACTGACCAGGGCTGATTCGTCCAGCGCGGCGGCCTCGCGCATTTGCGTAGCGGAAGCGGCAACCACATTGACCCGGCTTTGAAGGCGCAAAAGGGCTGAATCGGTATTCTGCACCGCGGCGCTCAGCGCCCGAGGAGGAGCCAACACAGATGGAAACGGATGTCGAGCTGCCAGCTAAACCATATTGCGTCCACCCCAAAAAAAATACAGGCGCGTGTTAGAAGCCAGCCTTGCGGCAGGTAAGCAAGAGAAAAAAAAACATGGATGATGACCATGGTGGTAGACGGAAATACGATGTTTCAAAAGTAGACACGAAGAAAATCAAAGGCACGAAGGGAAAGAGGAACAGCAGCCTACCTCCACCCAAATCTCAGCCTGTGGTTCCCACGCATAAGCACGGCTGACGGTCTAGGTCAAGTTCCAACGCTTGAGCACGGTCTCGCGGCAGTCAAGATAGGTCAATTCAGAGGCATGATGGGGTGGCTTACCCCTTTCATCTGCAGATATACGATCAGCGTCGTATTGTCCAGCAAGTCCACCCCAGCAAGGGTGCTACTATTGGATCGGCCTGCTGACAAGCCAGGAGTATCCAAGGTCAGATGAAACAGATGCCGAAACACAACACGGACTAATCCCCGCCGAATGTTGTGTCGTCTGATCGCGCTTTTTCTCCGAGGCACATACCGGGAAGGACGGGCTGGAGATCAACATTGGCATACAGCTTGCTGAGGGCACCCTTAGAGTCGACACGCCTGACGTGGTGTAGTACAACGCCCTGGCATGAGTCCGAAACGGCAAGTACCACACGTGTGGGATTCAAGTTGTAGGAGAGGATGAAAAGACGTACCAAGCGTAAACGCGCGCGCTTGATGTTACGACAATGAGAACGTCCTCAACAAAGCGCATCAACGCCACAAACGGCGCAACGCGAAAGGGGGGCGATAGCCTGCTTGAACACCGAGCAGCCAAGGCAGTGTGAGCTGACCAAGATCAAGGCCCCATGACCCGTACTCTCTTCACAACACAGCTTGCATACCGTAGGCCTGCTTGCAAGCTGAAGAAGTGAAGATGGCCGTCCTGGGAGGCTAGAGCCAAAACCGTTGTGCTGGTGGCACAGCATGCAACCTTTTCGCCAACAACCGCTTCCCAGATGGGAGTGGGTGGGGCTGCTTGTGTTACGTCAAGCTGTGAAGCGCTCCTTGTGGCTGAGGTTGGTTGGGTGCTACTTGCAGCTTCATCCCCAGCCATGCCATGGCTTGATGACGGGAGGGGCGCGGTGTTCTCCTCTGGACCAAAGCATTGGACTAGGCCCATCACGTGGGACTTTTTATGCTCCGTGTACTTGACCTGCGATACAGCAACAGGCGATGCAAGTGACCGTGAAGCCATGTCAGATGCCAAAGGCCAGCGTAGTGGCAGCCGTCTACAGACCCAAGTATTGTTAATTTCCAGGCGAAGCTTTGGTGTGGTTGCGGTCTGATCGGCAGCCACGTGGCACGTGAAAGAGTCGCTCAGAGCCGCCGCACTCAGCTACGGCCGAGCCGACGCAAAGAGATGGGGGATCAAAAAAAGTGAGCGGTGGAGAAGGGTGCGATAAGAAGCACGTGGTGCCAAGCCAGCTCCAAATCTACCGTTTGTAACCGGGGGATGGTTCCCAGAGCTGCCGGTGCCAATCCAGCTGCCGTTTGGCGCTACAAAAGCCGGAGCGAGGAGTTGTTATGTCTCGAGACGGAAAAAAAAAACGTAGCGGGCCTTGTGCCGCACGATGCAGGATGCAAGCAAGACCTACGTCAACCAAAGGGCCGGCAACATGGGCCACGGGCTGAGCCGTGGTGGTGATGACGCTGTTTGCGGCTGGGTCACTTGACGTGTTGCCGACGACCGACGTGGCCAAGCTATTCGACGGCGGGCGCCAAGGTGGGTAAGCCTTGATTTAAGAGGTCGCGAGGTGCACCATTTATCCTGCTCAGAACGTACGGTGTGGAGGTTGAGCTGACAATGCCGACCATTGGCTGAATACGCCTACGGTTGTCAGAGGTGCGCCTTTCCCGTTGATGCGTATATGTCATGGCGGCAGCACTGGAACCCATTGACACAGGTTCCAAGCGGCGTTTGGCAGCCGGAGACCCATCGTGCTGCTCCAGACGACCCGGCTCGCTGCTTCGGCTTGGCTATCAGACATCATAGCAGGCGTATTAATCAAAACAGAAGGTATGCACGGACATGTGGCCAATTCTGGCACCACAGCACACACGGGGTGAGACCAAGGGCAGAAGTCAATACACGAGCATCCGTACGCACACTGTCGGCCTCCGGGCCATGCGAGGCCGCGACCGCATCAACGCTACGAGCCTGATAACACGAGCAAAGCATGCGAGGAATCAGTCATGCCACCGCAATCAATTTGCGATTGCCCACCACGCATCTCCGATGCGTCTCACCCACCAATGCGAAAGCAGCTGAATTGGCTGCCATGACAGGGCGTTCAAAGACGCCTGGCCCATAGAGCTCCTGCAAGCGCCTGTACGTTGGCAATTCAAATGCCCAACGATGAGCGACAATGAGCTAGGTTGCCAGGGGGCCATCACCGTGCTTCACATGAACGTACTTGTGTTGGAGCGCGTTACTGAAAGGAATACCAATCTCGCCTGGGCTCAGTGAAATTAAGGCAACGGAACCATCGACAGAGACGCAGACACACTCGCCGGCTACCAAAACACACGAAACAGCACGACATCCTTGAGGTGAGCGTGCACGCTTGGATACAGGCATCGGGCTGATCGTGAATGACTTACCGCCCAGTGGGCTCCAAGCGATATCGGTCACGCTGTTGCTAAAAAGATTGCGGATGGCAGCGAGCGGTTGCTCATATCCCGAGCGCTACGATAGATACCAAAAACAGTGAAAGCAATCAATGGTGATGACAAGAATTGAAACTGATTTGCAAGCCAAGGAAGATTGCGAGCTCATCGCTCATGAACCGACCCAGATGGAGACTGAGCCATCTTCACCGCCGAGCGCAAGGCAGGAATGATGTTGCTTGCTGTGGCGCGCTGACTCCAGAGAGCGAAGCAGTTTGCGGCACGAGCGCTGGCAAGGGTTATAAAAAAAAACCAAGACATGAGCTCGCTGTGCAAAGGCTGACGCATTGGGCATTGCTGAACGGTACTCACAGCCACGGCCACAGGCCCTGTATGACCCACAAAATCAAAAGCTCGAGCTTTCTCCTGCGAGGGTCGGGGAGCGCCGATAAGGTGTGCAAAGTTGCGAAGGCAATGATCAGCCAAGAAGATAACATTGACATGTCAATCCCACCTTGCGATCAATGGAAACAGCGACGGGGAAATGATTGTTTTGGCCATGTACTGCAGGAACGCAAAATGCAGGTGAACGTGGCAACTGAAATGGGGATGGCGCGAGGCCCAGAGCATAGCCAGCGCCCACCGCAACAAAATTTTGATGGCAGACAAGATTTAAAAAACGAGGAGACAAAACAGACCAGCAATGAGACCCAAGCCATCTGCAGTCCAGTCAAGTCGATAGAACATGCCCGAAGCTCCTTGCTGTCAAAGTGAGTTTAAAAGGAGATTGCGCGGGGTTTGTTACGTGCACACACGTGGTACAAGTAGCCCAGGACACGGGTGTGCCGTGAGCACGGACAGCGAGGTGACATTTGCACCAGCGGAACAAGGGCGCAAGAGGAGAAAGGGGCTCGACCTGGCTAAAGTGTTCAGTGACGACAGCCTCCTGCTTCCAAGTTGTCGTGTCCCAGATGCAAACCTTTTGATCTTCGCCCTAAAACCGAGGGGTACCAAGGCAAAGAGCATCAGAGGGGTCTTAACGTCACCGCGCAAACAAAGACATCGAGGCAGTCTGCAAGCACAAACTTGTGAGGCGACAAAAGCCCCCAGAGGATCCCAGCTGATGCCGCGCACAGGGGCATCGTGACCCTCAAGCTCGCAGATCTTGCCTGGCAATCAGCAAACGCACGTGACAGCGGTAAGCATGGCCATAGAGACTCCACGTCATGAGGAACCCAATGCCATGATACGGGGGGTTTGGAACAGATGGCTTACGAGCAGTGGACGTTTGCCAGACGAGGATGCGGTGATCAATGGCACAGGAGATGAGGCGATCACCGTCGGGGGACCAGGCTAGGCTGACGATATCAATTTCACCGTGCCCACGCAGCACGGTCTGCGGACGCCAGCCCTCGGTCGACTGCTCTTCCCCAAAGTTGCTGGCAAAGGCACCTGCACAGCGAGGCGTGAACACGCGAATGACACTGGGGCAGCGAATCATTATTGACAGTTGATGGAATATAGAAGCGTACCGGTCATTGGTTGCCAGAGAAGGATTAGCCCGTCATCACTGCACGATGCCAGAAGGAGGCGATAGGGATGCCAGCGCACGCAGTTGACCGAGGCTATGGCGTGAAACGGGAAATTACAAGCAGTAAGTAAGAAAACGTCAGCCAAGCGAGACGAGAGACCAGGTAGGGGAAAAAAAGAATTAAAAAAAAAATAAAAATAACGTGCATCGAACGAACCACTATGTTCAGAGAGGGATGCCAGGATGCCCGAGTGCTCGTCCAGGCCAGAGGTAGCCAGAAGGCGCAGGGCCCGCATGTCCCAGATCCGTACTTTACCATCTGTCGAGACAACGAGTAAAGCATCACCGGCGCGGCCAATCAGTGTGGCAACCACAGGGTTCAACAGGCAGCCGTTGGCGTAGCGTCAGCTGGGCACGTACCCTGTCCGCCGGTGGCCAGACGGGTACCATCATGACTTATGTCGACCGAATAAATTGGGCTGTGCTCTACGACAGGGCAAGGCGAATTTGAATAAATGAAGCAAGGGGAAAAGGAGGGCCAAGCGCCGGGGATCGGGGATCAGGCGACCCCGGACCATGGTGGAGCCACTTTGGCTTGATGAGCTTCATGCTGCGGTTTGCTGATCGGACCAGCCGCTCCTGCGCACTGAGACGCGTGCCACGACGCCCGCGCGGCAATATCAAATAGAAACGGACACAGCAGTCCAAGGCTTCTCAGTTCAGGCAGGCAGACGCGATGCAATGCAATGCTCGATGCTGTCGAGCGCACATGCAGCAACGGTGCTGACGTCCAAAGTGGAACACGTTGTGTCAGTGGAACGATAAAAAGAGGGGTGCTGGGAAATGCACGGAGGCCTGGTTCCTGGAGAGATAGAAACACCGGCGCCCACATTGAAGGAACGAGCCAAGGACGATGCCACAAGAAACCGAGGTGAGGGAGAGTCGTCATCAGGTTCCAAGGGCCCGGAGGGGTGAAGAAGCCAAAACCGCTAAAACGTCACGGACCGAATATGCCCAAGAGTTGGGAGGGGCAGCAAAGCAAGGGTCAAGATCTGCAGCAACCAACGTGGGAAGGCAAAGACCAGACGGGGCGCCCACAAGCGCTTGAGATGCCTCGAAGGGTGAGTGGTCGGGGCGTGCTCGGGTCGCGCAGCGGCAGCGACTTAACGGTCACTCGATCAAATCGTTTAGCGAATACAGTGACAATAATCTCATACTGTGAACACGAACGCAGTGACCAGTTGTACGGTAAGTCACAGTGGGCGTAAGCAGTGAAAACATGATCCTCATTTTGGCAGAGAACGAAACCAGTGAAAGCTGTGTGATGGCGCGCGATGCAGTAGGGTCGGCGACGGCACGGGCCGAGCTGCCGTCACAACGGGCACACATTCTCGCCCCGCGCGTGGCTTTGCTACCAGCCAGTCCGGCCAAATGGCTGGCGGAGAAGAATCAGCGGGATCAGGCGGTCTTTGGCGTTCCGGCGCATCTTTGGCAGGTCCACGGGCAGCTGTATGACCTGACCGCCTACCTGTCACGCCATCCCGGTGGGCGCGAGTGGCTCGAGATGACACGGGGTTCAGATGTCACGGTGTTCTTTGAGACCCACCATCTGAATCAGGCCAAGGCTTGTGCCGTCTTGCAGCAATACCGAGTTGATCGTTCCACGCCTCCTCCTGCCACCAGCTCCGACGCCTCGGCTGATGCCTATGAGTGGCAGCCGGACGGCTTTTACTGCACGTTGCGTGACCGCGTTCGAGCCACGTTGCAGCAAAACGGCACGTCTGAAGCACCCACGGCGGTGATGCTGGCCTACTGCTACACTTTTGTGGCGCTATGGTTCTTGGGCTTGTTTGGGACGCTGTTTTGGTGCAGTTGGGCTCTATCCGTCGTCACGGGACTTCTCACACTCCCCGTCATGGGGATTGGCCACAATTTCATGCACAAGCGCAATCATATCCTGCGATATACCTTTGACCTCACCTGCTTTGGGCACCACCAATGGCGGATCAGCCACGTTCTCAGTCACCATTCGTATCCGGTCTGTGACATAATCGGCCAATGACCCTGCCCTTCCAGCAGGCATCGGCTGGCTGGTGCTCACGTCGCTGCTTGCTGCATCTCAGAACTTGTATCCTGATATTGAAGCCTCGCAGGTGGAACCCTATGCCACTTTTTTCCGAAGCCAGCCCAGCCAGACCATGCTTAGCGCCATCATTGTGTGCGTACCAATTTGCGTTATATAAAGAGGGAGCAAGAAGCCAGGGGTGACAGAGTCTACGCTCACCACTGGCGGGTGAAGGTCAATGGGAAAGCGCCCTTCAGACAAACGGCTCTGAAGACTCATCTCAACGCGATTGTCCGACAGCGTGCCTGTGTTCTTTTGCATGATCCCAGTCATGGAAATGGTCCGGCTCGTGATGTACGGGCTGACGCGGGAGGAGCCGTGGCGTCCCGAGGTTTTGATCAAGGTGGCACAGGTTTGTCCAGATTGATGCCTGTTGGTCTGGAGTGCTTGTGTTGTTCTCTCTTTAAGGTGATCGCAGCCTCGGAAGCGTTGTACTTTTGGTTCTCTGATCCTGTCTGAATTGCCCATTCTCGGCACGGTGTCACCCGTGCATACAGCTGGCAATCTTTTATGCCGTGCAAGGTGGGGTGGGCTTGGCCCAGCTATGGTTGATCCATACCATCGGTGTGTGGCTTCTGTTTATTACTTCGCTCATCGTGCATCGAAGTGAGTTCGGCTGGACCGAAGGCTGTCAGCCGCTGGTCGCCGAGGAGCGCGATTTTGGACGGTAAGAGTGACCCCTCCCCGAGTGCCCGGGGCAAGCAAGCGAGTTTGATGGAGAAGACACCGCCTCATCAACACCCCGGGTACGTAGCCATACCATTTTAGCTACGCAAGATTATGCTGTCAATGATCTGGGCTTGCTGGGCAAGCTTGTGCTGGCTGGCTCCTTCAATGACCACATCTGCCACCACCTCTTTCCAACCCTGGATCTGAGCAAGCAAAGCCTCGTGCGACCTGTCATCGTCGAGACCATGCGTGAATTCAAGGTAATGATGGCTCAAAAGCAGGAGGCTTCAGCTCGAGCAGCATTGATCGCTCACTTGTTGTTGCTTGGTTTATGTCCACGCGAAGGTTCCGTATGAGGAGCGTAGCTTCGGAGAGCTGTTCTGGCGTACCGCAACAACACTCGTTCGCTCTCCTGACGAAGGCCTGAAATACCGACCTCCACGAACCTCGTAGTGAGTCGCGTTGCGTGATGATTACAAAACTTGAATGGTCTGAAAGATGTGGAAAGAAAAACCTCCCTTCAAGAAGAAACCCAGGAATAAAAGACGAGGTGAATGAAAAGGTTTCAATTAAAACCGAATCTCTCGACGGAAGAAGTTCAAGAGGACGGGTATCTCGCTTAGAAAACGGAAAACAGAGAAAGAGGCACCGAGAAGGGCATTAAGGCTCAACAGCAAGAAACAGGCAACAGTGAACGTCAAGAAATCGATGAGCACCCAAAAAGAAAAGAAAGAAGCACGAAAAAGGGCTCGACCCAGCGCCGCGTGGTCACTTTCATAAACTCAGGAAAAGACACGCGGTCAACACAGACAGAAAAAAAAAAACAAAAAATAAGAGTACAAAAGGGCTCTCAAGCGCACCCGGTGCGCACTCATCACGCCAACGCCCATTGCATTGGAAATGGGCGAAAGCGTGTGCCAAGGGACAAAGGCGAGGGACAGAAAACCCAAACGCGAGAACATGCATGCATTAGCGACAGAGGAAGACCAAGCAGTTGCTTAGGGGACAACAAGCATGGGGCCTTCACCATAGAGGTCCTCATCTGAGACAGCTGCCATCTCCACACCAATAGGGCAAGGAATGTCCATCGTCTCGAGGGACATGCCAGGGTAGAAGTACAGGCTGGGCTCATCATGGAGAGCGCTCGAGACGTGCTGGCCGTGCTGAACAGGGCCACCGGCTGAGGGATGGCCAATAAAGGCGGCGTAGTGGCGCTGAGGACCAGTGTGCAGCTGACGGGCATCGGTATGCATACCGCGCTTCTGGGGCTCGGCCGGGTTGCTGGGAGTGGGTGCCTTGCGGTTGAGCTCAATGTGGGCCTTGAGAAGATCATCCGTGGCCAGGGCAGCGATGAGAGACAGCTCGCCGGCCATGACGGAGGAAGCAACGACGTGAGCCAAAGTGTCGGCGTTGGCACCGGTTTGTTCACGGTTGGCACCCTGGCAGCCAAGCATCTTGAGAGCAGCAGCCTGGGCGGGCAGGCTAGTACCACCACCAACCGTGCCGACCTCAATGGCGGGCATGGTCACCGACACGTGAAGGTCGTCGCCGTCCTTTTCGAGAATGGTCAGGCACTGAGAAGATTCAACCACCTGAGCGGGATCGTTGCCGGTGGCCAGGAAGACAGCCGCGACAATGTTGGCGGCATGCGCGTTGTAGCCACCCAAAGTACCAGCAATGGCAGAGCCGATGAGGTTCTTGTTGATGTTAACGGAGATCATGGCATCGGGGGTGGTCTTGAGAACAGAGCGGACAATGTCGTTGGGGATGAGGGCCTCCGCCACGACGGAGCGGCCGCGGCCGCTGACCCAGTTGATGGCAGCTGCCTTCTTATCCGAGCAGGCGTTGCCGGACATGGAAATGAGCTGAGCATCGGGGAAGTTTTCCTGGAGAAGGTTGACGGCCTTGTGACAACCCTTGGTGACCATGTTCATGCCCATGGCATCACCGCAGTGGCAAGCAAAGCGCACGTAGAGGTTGCGACCAGCGACCCAAGCATCGATGGACTGAAGACGACCAAAGCGAGTAGTGCTGTTAAAGGCCTCAGTGAGAGCAGCCTTGTTCTCGGGCTGCTCAATCCAGAGGCGGACTTGCGCGGCAGCCGAGGCACTGGGCAGACGGAGAAGGGGGGCACGGGTCATGCCGTTCTTGACAATAATGGCCTTGGCACCACCCGCCTTGGAGATGGCACGGCAGCCACGGTTGGTGCTGGCCACGAGGGCACCCTCAGTGGTGGCCATGGGCACACGGAAGGGCTGCTCGTTGATGACAAGGGGGCCCACGACGCCCACGGGGAGTGGAAGGTAGCCAATGACGGCTTCGCAGTTGGCACCCTCGATTGAGCCGTAAAAGTTTTGGTAATCAAAAGTATCGGCGGGAAGGTCCTTGAACGTCATTTGGCTGTCGTCCGAGCCCTTGCCTTCGAGGTGGAGGCAATCGGCGAGGTATGCACGTCGCACATTAACGGCACGATGGCAGTCACGCAGTTCCTAGAGAAAATTGATGGCGAAGAGGAGTGACATCGTTGAGCTGGTGCGACAAGAGGCGACGCAGACGGGTGGTGGTACAGGTGCAGGGGCAGGGGCAAGAGCGGAGCGGGGCGTGGCGCCTCACCTTTTCAAGGTTGTGGAGCTTGATATCACCGTTGTGCAGGGCTTGCAGCACGGCCTCATCAGTCATGTTGGCAAAGTCGGATGAGGCATCCATGCTGGTAGCGGCCGCCAAAGGGTGTTGGTCACGCGTGGTAGTTGCCACGTTGCGCTGGTGGGCCAAAAAGTTGGTGGCAGCGCGGTGCTGCTGCAGGTGGCGACGCACCGGGGCGCCGAGGCGCATGGCAGCGACACGAAGCGCGGCAGCCATTTTCGAGGTTGGTAGCTGTGTGAGGCGGCAGGCAAAGCTGATCCTTGGGTTCCGTCACGAGTGACCACCTCCAGCCACAGGACGAGTCGGCGTTCAGCAAGACCAACGAATCGTGAAAATGCCCACAGCAGACCGAGCCAGAAGGAGGGAGAGAGAGACAGAGAGAGAGAGAGAGAGAGAGCGTTGAAATGTTGAATGTGCAGTGTCGACGAACGAACGCGTGACTTTCTCGTTCTCTTTCTCTCTCTCTCGTTCTCTTTCTCTTTTGTTTTGAGTGTGTTTGCTGGGCTGTCCTTCAGATGGAATGGGGGGAATACCAAAGAAGGCCATATATGAACAAACACCTTACCATCATCACCTTACCTGACCTGACCTTACTTCCCCACGCGTTACGTTGCTTGTGGTTTGGGCCACGCGTGTGCGAGTGCGGGGTGTGGGTGTGGGACATCAAGTTTATTATGCCTTGGGAAGGGGTGTGGAGGTGTGGAAAGTGGTGATCAGCAGATTATGCGACGAGCTGCGAGAAAGGCAAGAGACGCCTCAACAAAGAGGTGGCGTGACATCGCACGCGACGCGATTCGCCACCAGACAAACGTATGTGTATCAAACGTCACACTTTAAACATATAAAAAGCGTGACGATCATTCCACTTGTTTTCGAAATATTTTCGCGGGGGTCGCGTGACTTTAACGGCGTTGAATCATCATGGTGGTGCGCACTAACATGAATTAGGCAATCGGATGATTTGTGTCGGAGTAGCGGAACATTGTCACTGCCTTGATTTGAAATCGGCCGAGCTGATGAAGCGTGTCTGTGTGAGTTGGTCGACCGTGCTGGACGAGAGAGTGCCGGTTACACTGACCAGATACATGGCAGCCAGAAGCCATGCATCTCGTGTCCCATGTACCAGGAGAGAGCCTGGACGGGCGCTGCCATTGATGTGGCGCCGAGACCACGCCCCTCAACGACTGACGCAGTTTATACTTTGTCGCCCCTGCGGAGTGGGAGGAGAGGTCAGCTGATCACCTGATGAACGAGCACATTCTGCGATATCCACAACAACAGGAACACCTCACATCACGTGATGTGGAAGGCGGGCTTCATCTGATATTATCTGACATTCAAGGTGCTGACATCTCTCCTGAAGAGTCTGGCTAAGTCTTGTCCGACGAAAAGGGGTCCATCGAACAACACACATGCACAACAGCTGTTCTAACGATTACACTATATCACACTTCAGACTCTAAGCATCCCGAGGCGTTGTGTCGCCTCGACTTTGCCCACGGGATTCTCCCCCTCCCAGCACCAAGTAAGCTTTAGTAAGCATGTAGGCTTGGAAAAAAATCTTTTACAAGCCTACAACGTTGTGCAAGCTTATCTTTTCAGTATTGTTTTTTTTTTACTTTGCGTGTTTTTTTCCCTATTATTATTCAAGCCTACATCGTTGTCTTAAAAAAACCCCCATCACTTAGAATTCAAATTAACTAGTTTTTGTCAGACTCGAGAAACAGCTGTCTCTAAGCCAAAAACACCTGCAAACGACTTTTGAAGAGTTGAGTTTTGCGCATCTGATCATGTAAAATTTTTTTTCTGGGCTTGATGTCTGAGACAAGTTATGGTTGTTTTATGCATGCGAGCTGCAAGGGGTAGTTGTCTCTGACTCATCTGTAACTCGAGAACGCGAACGAAATGAAAATGTCAGACTTTTTGGCAGTCGTGGTGGCAGCGTCGTGGCGCGTCACAGGAGTACCCTATCAAGTTCGGGTTTTTTTGGAGGCTGCGCGCACCTCACCAACGCTCGCTAACTCCATTCGTCAGAAAAACAAGTTACTAGGAATTTTGACTGCGCCTCACACATATAGTCACATGAGTCTCCATGGAGACGAAGTGGTCAACTTGGGCGAGGTCGTGAAATTTTTAGTCAACTTAGGAAGAGTTGACTGTATTTCATTCCAACCTACGCGACATGGGCGGCACAGAGAGCACCCCAGAACACCAAGACCACGACCGGCGCACCGTCGCCGCGTACACGCTGTACGGGTTTGGTTGTACACGCTGCTGCGCTTCGCCGGCCTTTGTGACCGGAGCACCAGCCCCAAGCTTCTGCGGAGCCTCCTGCGGCTCCAAACAGTTTGACGGCGGCGAAGGAGACGGAGACGGCGGTGGCGGCTCGCTGCTGTATGGCCCGTTCCGCCAGGATTTGGAAGCAGATCTCGAACGAGCGGCCGAAATAGCCAGGAATGATATCACCTGGTGCAGCCACATTTTCTGCAGCGGCTGCGACAGTACGGCCAAGGCGGCCGCCAGGCGCCTCAACGAGTCTTGGTGCGCCGAGTGGAACCGGGGCCGCCTCACCGGAAGCGGCCTGCAAGTGCAGGCAGTGGAGGAAGTTTACGGCTTCGGAAGATCACGCGCAACCTTCCTGCTTCTGCGCGTCATGAGTGCGTAGGCGTGCTTCCCCAGCGAGTCGCACGACACCCCTTGTTCCAGTGGTTTTAAATATTGCCAAGGCCCACGAAGAAGAACATGGTCGTAGTAATCCACTGGGCTAGCCTAGCCAGGGTAGCCCAGTGTCCTGGAGAACGTTTACCATGACCAACAAGTAGAGTTTGAACACACGAGCTTGATTTTTCTGAGTATTGCCACGTTGAATCGAATGCTCAGTTTTTATAGAAGGACGTTTACATTACTTCAAAAAAAGGGAAGGGCCTAATTGAGTTCCGCACGCCCCCGCCGCTAGAAGAAAGGTGGAGCCCAAGAAGTTGGAGACAAGCTAGAAGGATTACTTTGAACACACGAGCCTTATTTTTCTGGGTATAGCCAAGAAGAACCGAATACCCAGTTTTTATACAAGAAATAAAGACGAGGAAGTCTCGAAAAAAAAAAAAAAAAACGAAGCGCTCAGGAGAAGCGCTGCTCTGTTCTCAACCGCCACAACGCAGTGGCCCGCAGCCTTGTCCGCATTGCCGAGGAAGCAGGGGTGACGGCCAAGTTTGAGCCGCGGACCATCCCTCGCAAGCGGGAAATGAAAGGACCAGCCAAAGCAGCGTTCGACTTCGTGGCCATTGGCCGCACAAGCATCAGGTACGGGGACGTCACATTCTCCAGCAACGAGGCGCGGTCCAACCGCAAGTACATGCCAGAACAGTTGGTGCAAAGGGCGACGAGGGTGAAGCACAACAAGTACGGCCCCGTCATCGAGAAGATGCTCAAGGACGCCGGATACGTCGAACCAAGAGACAAGCACAAGTTGCAGCTGCAGGTGATGGCATTTGTCGAATCACGTTAGACCCTCGGCCATGCAACTTTATTATGGCCGGCGGCCCAGTCAAATGACCTTGTTTTTTTTACTATACATATATACTACGTATATATGGCCCCTATCTGCGGGGGGGTTCTAAGAACATTCATTGTGGCCTCTATATATGGCAGACACGCCCACGCGCGCGCGTAGGACTAGTATGGCACGACAGGGCAGCCGCGGGCAGTGCTGCCCAGTGTCTGCTGCCGCGCCTAACTTGGTTGTGTTTGATCCAAGTAGAGTACTTTGCACCAGACGCCTCTTGGGTGGCGCAGTACGGCGAGCTGCAGCCATCGTATATTGCCGAAACGTTGGACTACGAGGCGGCTACCAACAACACCAACATGACCATTGAATTTGCGGCGCTCAAGACAGCCTTTGGCCTGCGCCTCGCATCGTGTATGTGGGGACGAGCAGGCGCCGGGTCGTGTTCATGGCATACATGGCTCTGTGGCCAGGGCCACAAGACTAGTGCTCTCTCACATCACTCACAACGTGGCATTGTCGTGCACAGATGAAGCAGGTACGGGCGATGACGTCGGGGGGCAGTTTGACAAGGCCGGACTCGAGCTATCCGCCTTTATCCTTGCTAACCGGTACGTGAACCAAACTGAGGCACTGCGTCCTTGGTGGGACGAGGATGGGTGTTCTGCCGGCCATTTGACGTCTACGCTGGCTCGCGCTGGGCGGCACGAGTAGGGATGCCAACATCCAAAGGGCGCTGGTGCACGACATCAAGGACGTGGCCTGGGGCAATGGTGTCGACATTTATCACCAGTTTAGCGTGGTCGGGAAGTGTTCACGCTATGGCTGCTGGGGAGCGACCGAGTTTTACACAGATCCTCCGTCCCCCAAGGCCAAGGCCATTCAAGAGGTCCTCGGTAAGGCAGCTTCAGCAAGCGCCATCACATGCACTCACTCGCTCGTCTCGTGACAAGCCCAGGCTGATGGTGGTTCGTATGGATGTTGGGGCGGTCGCAACGGGGTTGTACCTTTTGATAGGTACCACTGCTGCCCTCCGGGCCGAAGCCGTAGCTCGACGAACTCCGGCCCGAGTGACTTGGTAGACGGGTGCAGCTTTCATGTTCTCACACACACATACACACACACACACAAAGTCGCACGGGCTGTGATTGCGTAATCCGAGTGCTGACGATATCATCATCATCACTGCTTTCTTGTTCTTCTAACGAAAACTTGGCAAGACAGGAGTGATACAAACTTCGGAATGCAGTTGGCGCAAGGGGTGAACATAAAAAATGGATTGGTGCTATCCTGGCGCCCTTGTGCATGTGGATCGTTTTCTGTCCTGGGTGGTACTGTATCACCCATGTCGCAATTCTGCACCACGGTGACGTGATATATGCCATTCAGATGCGCCGGGGTGTCGCAGGCGTGTGTTTTGGGGCTATTCGTGGTGCATGGCGAATGTGAGAGAGATCAGAGCGCATCAGACGCATCCTGATGTGCCCTCGCAGTGCAGGCCCGCGGGGTTGATTCGAGGGCCAAGGGCCGTCGGCAGTGGCATCAGATTATTCAGGGCGCCAGGGACAGCGCCATGGCCTCAGGGGCTGCAGCATAACATGCATATTCGTGGCTATGGAGTCCTCAAGAACTTTGACACACGAGTGGACGCGAGAATGGCGTCCAGTCAATTTGAGGGAAAGCAGAAGCAAGAGACAGCAAGGACCCCAGCCTTGCAGCAGCAAGCGGAGAAGAAGTAGAACCCTAAACCAGAACCATAGGAAGCAAAGGAACAAGAAGAACCACAAGAAGAAGAAAAAGAAGCAGAAGAAGAAGAAAAAACAATGTAAAGGTTTCCAGAATCATCGCCAGTTGGGCTAGCCAGGCCAGCCAGATTCGCAAGGCCTCCAAACCATTAATGACGAATTGAATGTCTTGTCGCACATCGCCGTCGCCACTGTCGCCCACCGCCGCCGTTTATGTGTCCCCAAGCCATGCATGTGGTGTTATCGACGTCAGCACACGCCTACAAAGGAAGCCCTTGGTGTTCTCATTGGCCGCCCGACGCTTCTCGACAGGTCAATGCATCGCCGAACTCGGCTGATAATGATGCTGATGACCACCATGCACTTGACAGCATCAGAATACCCCTCTCCGCGACCGTGCACCGCGTTGCCAATCGCTCTTGCCCCTGTATCACACCACGCGCGTGAGGGCGCCCGGCGCTGTGCACCACAAGACATGCAAGGCACTCACACACACGGACATCTCATCTACATCTTCCATCCTGCCCAAGCACCCACAACCGTCCCATGATCCAAACTTGTAAAGACATGCTTTTGTTTCACCCATTGAAGCTGCACCATGTTGTGGGTTCTGCCTCAGGAACTGCGACGGGGGTCGCTCTTGTGTATCACCCCTGTCCCCCTTTATGACTTCTGCGTTTGTCCTTAGGGAGCTTAGAAACCCACACACACCCACACGCACAAGAAAAAAAACCGAAAACGTAAACGTGTCGCCGCGTCTCTCTCTCACTCTCTCTCTCTCTCTGCTCTTGTTGTCGCACGGGCCACGATGAGAAGACACCCCCCCTTCACCTGGCTGCTGTTTGGGCCTGGTTGGCGGCCGTCCCGTCCCATGGATTCCCACCACCAGAGTCGGTCGGAGTCAGGCGCGCACTCCAGCCCCCACGCCTGCCCCATTGCAAGAAAATTTCACACACCAGATTGGAGACAGCAGCAGCAGCAGCAGCAGCAGCAGCAGCAGCAAACGGGACGACCACACACAAGCTCCAAGCTCCACCAACACTCTTGCCCCACCTCTACCACCTCTACCTCCCCAGGCATAACCGACCGATGCCAACAGGGATCAGAGAGACCTCATGTGTCTTCCCGGGGGTTTCAAGTGGCATTTTACATCAACGCGGTCAACCATCATCACACCTCCACCTCCCGCTCTCCCTGACCTGCACTGGCAATACCCCTCCACCTGCCCGTGTGTGTGTGAGAGAGAGAGTTTCAGGACATTGGGGCTTGCCCCTGTCCACACCGGTGACGCCCGCGTCGCCGTCACTGCCCTTCTCCGCGCCAAGGCCAACGACGCAACCACAGGTGCTTGCTCTAAACCCCCCATCCCCGACGAGCGCGCGCGCGTGCAAGCCTCCCCAAGCCCATCGTCCCCTTTTTTTTTCCCCTCTTCCTTCTTTCCTTTTTTTTGTTCCGTGGTCTCTCCAACCCCACGGGCATCACCTCCAGCCTGGCCGTACCGCGATCGCCTTACCCTTTTTTGCTCTCATTGTAGAGGCTAAACCCAAAAGTACGCGGCTTTGCACGCTGACTTGACTGCATTTCGCGCCGCCACCCCGCGCCCGCGCCCGCCTTTGCACCCGTCGCCATGTCCGCCTCGCCACCCGCGTCTGCACCTGCATCCGATGGCGTCGGTCCCCACGGTCCTCGGCCTGCTGCCTCCGTCGATGGCAGGCACAATGGCACATCTACCCCTGCCAGCCACGCAACACCACAGTCGGCAGCTCCCGGCTCCCCCTTGGCCCGCTCCCGCGTCAGCTTTAGCATCGTACGTTGGGCCCCGGCCAATCAGCCCCAGGGCTCCCACAAATCCCCATCCCCCGCCCCTCGCACCGCCTTATCGCTTGTTTCTCACCATAGCTGCCCGCTTGATGTCCACACCAGGGCGCCCCCGCTCAATCCACCGACCCGGCCCCACCCACCAAGCCGACCCCGCCGCCGCTGACAGGTCGTGAAGCCATCCAGCGCTATGGCAGCGATGACGGTCTCTCCCGTCACAACTCGTCCAGTTCCAATCGCCTCTACGAGCACCACCACCACTACCACCATCACCATCACCATTACTACGGCAGCGTCCCCAACTCGGCTCACTCAGGCCACCACAGCCCCGGAGGCCACCACAGCTCGGGCCATCACCTCAGCCACAGCCAAGGCCTGAGTCACAGTCACCACAGCCTACACAGCCTTCACAGCCACCATAGCCACCATCATCACGGTCACCACGGTCACCATGGGCATGGCCACCACGGCAGCCACGGCCATAGTCGTGGCCCAGGCCGCAACCACAGCCATAGCAGCCTGCACAGCATCCAGAGCCACCTTAGCTTTGGCTTTGGACGCCGCCGCCCCCCACACTCGGAAGAGGATTACGGCATTCGCCTCACCCAGCTCGTTCGCCTCATCGCTGATCGCCACGAGGATGGTGTCAATCATCTCAACCGCGACTTTCAAGGCCCCGAAGGCCTGGCCGCCCGCCTACACTCGGACCTCGAGCAAGGTATCCCCGGGACTGAGCAAGATCTCTGGCAGCGCCGTCACGCCTTTGGTGCCAATCAGACCCCACCCCCAGCCGCCAAAGGGCTTTTCCAGCTCATGTGGGACGCTGCCCAGGACCCCATCCTCTTTGTCCTGACCATTGCCGCCATCCTCTCCCTGTTCCTTGACGTTTACGTCAGCAACAAGCCGGACACGGGCTGGATCAAGGGTCTGGCTCTGCTCATCTCCGTCGCCATTGTCATCCTTGTCACCGCCATCAACGACTTGCAAAAGGAGCGTCAATTCCGCGAGCTCATGGAGAAGCAAGAATCCGGTCTCCAAGCCGACGTCATTCGCAACGGCGAACAAGTGCGCGTCAAGTACCAGGACCTCGTGGTGGGCGACATTGTGCAGATTCACGCTGGCCTTGTTCTGCCCGCCGACGGCGTCCTCTTCCGCGCTGACCACATCAAGTGTGATGAGTCGGCCCTCACGGGCGAGTCCCTGGACGTACCCAAGAGCCTCGAGGAAGACCCGTGGTTGTTGTCCGGCACCAGCGTCAAGCAGGGCTCGGGCACCATGATTGTGACCTGTGTGGGCCTCTTTTCCGAAGAGGGCATCATTCAAAAGCTCATCACCGGCGTGGGCGAAGAAGAATCAGACCGCTTGCTTGAACTTGACAACGCTCACACGCCAGCCCACGAGCGCCAGACGGATAGTCACCTCGCGCTGAGCACGCTCAACGAAACAACGTCTTCTCATGAGCAGGAACGCTCCAGCCTGGAGCCCAGCTCCAACAGCGACGGCGTCTCCAAGGCCCGGTCCGACAGTGAGAGCAGCAGCGACTACGAAGACGAGGGTCCCGACAAGAAAAAGGTGAGGCGTGTACCACCTCGTTGGTTTGCGCCAGCCACGTATGTGTGGTGGTCACCAAAAGAATGTGCAAGTAAAGATTTATTTTCACCCCTTTCCCGCACTCGGACATTGACACGCGTGCTTGTGTGATTCTCCGCCCTCGGTGCTCTCTAGTCAATTCTGCAAGCCAAGCTGCAGCGCATGGCCTTGCAGGTGGGCTACGCCGCCACAGCGGTAGCGCTTTTGACCCTCGTTGTCCTCGTCGTCTCCTTTTCCGTGCAATACTTTGGCACGGACGGCAACTCTTACTCGGCCGACGTCTGGTCTGATTACGTCGAGGTACGCGTGATTTGACGCCCGGATATTCGCTTGGCCCGCCACAACCCGCCTTGATCAGTAGCCACACTCTCACTGCAACGGCCAACGCCCGGTTCCAAACAATCCCGCAGTTTATCACGACAGCCATCGTGGTCCTGGTCGTGGGCATTCCGGAAGGCCTGCCCCTCGCCATTACCATCTCCATGGCTTACTCGGTCAAGCAGATGATGAACGACCACAACCTTGTGCGCGTACCTGCCTCCTGCGAGACCATGGGCAATGCTACGACCATCTGCTCCGACAAGACTGGCACCCTCACCACCAACCGCATGACGGTCGTCAAGGCCTGGATTGGCGGTCGTGTCTTCAACGAGATTGAGGACGCCCGTGACCTGCCAACTGACCTCATTGAACGACTCAAGGCCAGCATTGCCCTCAACAGCAGCCGCTCTGCCAACTACAGCATTGATCCCGAATCAGGCCTCCCCATCCAGGAGAACAACAAGACGGAATGCGCGTGCCTCAAGTTTGCCGACGACCTCAGCGACCGTCCGTACACGGCTTACCGCGAGGAGACGCCCGTGGAAGACTACGTCAAGGTGTACCCCTTTGATTCGGCTACCAAGCGCATGGAGACGGTGGTCCGCCTGCCCAGTGGCAAGTACCGCGTCTACGTCAAGGGTGCTTCGGAGATTATTCTCAGCTTTGCCACCGCCTACGACGTGGGCAACGACCAGACCAAGCCCCTCACGGCGGATGACCGTGCGGCACTGGAGAGGGACGTCATTGTGCGCTTTGCCGAGCAAGCGCTGCGCGTCATTTGCATCGCATACAAGGACTTTGACGAGGCGCAAGACTGGGAGCAGGAGGAAGAGTTGCTCACTGACCTCGTCGTTTCAGCCTTTGTTGGTATCCAGGACCCTGTCCGGCCCGAAGTGCCCGACGCCGTGGCCACGTGCCAGCGCGCGGGTGTGACCGTCCGGATGGTCACGGGTGACAACATGATTACCGCCCGCGCCATTGCCATCAACTGCGGCATCATCACCGAGCAAGACGATGGCGAAGGCGTCGTCATGGAGGGCCCCGACTTCCGCCGTCGCGTTGTGAAAGAGGATGGCTCGCTGGACTACGAAGAGATTCAGCGCATTGGCACCAAGCTCCGCGTCATGGGTCGCTGCTCGCCCTCGGACAAGTTCAACCTGGTCAAGGGGCTCATCAAGGCCGGCGAGGTTGTAGCCGTCACCGGTGATGGTACAAACGATGGCCCGGCCCTGGCCGAGGCCGATGTGGGTTTTTCCATGGGCATTGCCGGCACCGACGTTGCACGCCAGGCCTCCGACATTGTCATCACCGACGACAACTTTAGCTCGATTGTCAAGGCCATCTCTTGGGGCCGAAACGTCTATGACAGCATTTCCAAGTTTATCGTGTTCCAACTGACCGTCAACGTGGTGGCCCTCACCGTGGCCTTTGTGGGCGCCTGCGCCATTCGTGAATCACCCCTCCGCGCTGTTCAGCTGCTCTGGGTCAACCTCATCATGAACGTGTTTGCGGCTTTGGCCCTGGCCACTGAGCGCCCGACAGCCGAACTGCTCGAGCGTGCCCCCTATGGGCGCTCTCAGCCCCTGGTCTCGCGCATCATGATGCGCCAGATCCTCGGTCACGCCCTGTATCAGCTACCCGTCCTTCTCTTGCTCATCTTCTACGCGGACGAGATGTTTGACATCCAGAGTGGACGGCGCTATGACCTCACCGTGCAGCAGCGCGAGGACGAAATTTTGACACAGCACTACACGTTTATTTTCAACACCTTTGTGTGGATGCAAATTTTCAACGAGTTGAATGCTCGCGTGGTGAACGACAACCTGACCGTGCCCGGCCTGCCTCGCCTGCTGGGTAACTTTTGCCGGCCCTTTGTTGGCTTTTTCTCCAACCCCATCTTTGTGAGTGTGGTGCTGGGCACCATTGTGGCCCAGGTCCTGATTGTCCAGTATGGCGGTCTTGCCTTTGAGACAACACCTTTGGGTGGTACGCTGTGGGGTGCCTCGATTGCCTTTGGGGCGGGCTCCCTGATCTGGAACGTGGTGCTCCACTACATTTTCCCCTGGCACTGGATTCCAGCTTGGCTTGTTCCCGGCTCTTACCCAGATTTGGATCCGAACCGCTCCGCCGAAGTGGATAGCATTCAGGGTCCTCCCGACTCCCCGACCCCACGCCCTGAGGACTTTGTCACGGTGGCCCTGGACAGCCCGGACCTCGACCCCACCGTTCCGCATCACCATCACCACCACCACCACCACCACCCACATCACAGCCAGCATCGTAGCCCTGACCAACCATCGTCACAACAACAACAACAACAGACGCAGCCGCAAGAGCATGCGCACCCTGTTCGGGGCCTGGGCAGCACCTCCCGCATCATTCTCCCCCAGTCCATTAGCCAACAAGAGACCATCGTCTAAAGTGCAGCGCTTCATCCATTGTGGTGCGCTCCCCACGCCGAGCCCAGGCTGCCTCTTGCGCTTCGATCTTATCGACCTGACCTCTGATTGATAACAATAAAGAAGTAACTATTAAACGCTTGTCTATGCACATGAAGGGGGTTCCTTCGGGCCCGTCTGCGTTGACCCCCCAATGCCGTCGCGTTACCAGTGATTTGTTCTTGTTTTTGTTTTGTATTTGTTTTTTGTTCCATGGGGTTGAGTTTTTTCCTGCAGCAACCGCTGCCCCCCGTCCCCCGAGTTGATACCTCAGCAACCCCCTCTCTTTCTCTTTCTCTTTCTCTTTCTCTTTCTCTTTCTCTTTCTCTTTCTCTTTCTCTCCGCCCGGCACCCCCGTCACTTTCCAACGCCCGTTCTGTTGCAGCCAACTCCTCCCCTAAGAAACGCACACACACGAAATCAGAAAAAACGAAAACGTCAGACCGTTTGCTTTTTTTTCTTTTTTCGGTTTCTCTTTTTTTTTTTTTTCCGTTTTCTTCTCCATCAAGAGTTCATCGGCTTCATCGGAGCTTATCGGGGCTTATCGGGGCTTATCGGGGCTTATCGGGGCTTATCGGGGCTTATCGGGGCTCACTGTCAGGACCGGATACGTTGGGCGACATTGCATTTAGGAGGCATGAAGATCACGCCAGCTTTGCGCCGGTTGCGCGAGAGCAACGGGTCGGAGCGCACCCTGGTGGCGCTTAAGACTGCGTTGGTGTACGTGCGTAACCTGCTGGACCATCCCGATGACGACAAGTTTCGCAGCATCAATCTCGCCAACATGAATTTCCAGTCTCGCGTCTACCAGGTGGTGGGCGGTGAGGAAGTCATGGTACGCGCTCGTCCCTCTACCGGTTCACCCCTCTAAGTGGCTGGGACTCTCGTCCTGGCGCTTTCCTGCACCTTTGCATGCTCATCCTCGCCAATGCCACCCATCCAAGGCTGCGCTCGGCTTCGTCAAGGAGGGACCACGACTCGTCTTCAGCGGCGGTACGGCCGGCGCATCACAAGAGTCGCGCAAACCTGCATTGCTGGTCCTGCGTAGCTACCCCACCCATAGCATCCAAGCCCGGTGCTCATCCAGCTGTGTGGGACATTAGAACCACGCCAACACCATGATGATCTGCGTCAAGCAACTGGCCTGCTGCAAGCTGAAATCAACTCCCTCAACGTATGGTTGTTCACCACAGCTCGCTATGCCGACCAAGACGGTTGTGTGCCTTGATCTGACCCCTACGTCACCTCTACGTCTTTCCAACACATAGAGAGCAGCCGCCGCAGAGCGCGAGGGCCCGGCCCGACGCGAGGTCGGTCTTTTGTGCGCACGAATGTTTTTGCTGCTCTCCATGACAAGAAAAATTGTTCTTTTACGCCGTGTTCTCTAGACAATCAGCCGCCTCACCAGTTTGCAGCGCAAAATGCACGAATACGAAGTCAGCTCGCTCCTGTCCTGCCCCGCTTCTACTCATCTTTGCCCGGGACCCGATGCATCACGTGGCTGGGTGCTTGACTGACAGCCCGCCTCCTTCCTCTTGCTGACAGAGCCCGTCGCTGCAGGCAGAGGCAAGAGCATGCATTCCCATCACGACGCTGAAGGAGCGCGCCAGCAGCCGAGAGGATGTGGCCGAGCGGTCTGTTTCCTTTTCTGCTCCACCTGTGGCCTCGCCCGGGTTCTCCAAAGCTCATTTCACTCACATTGTTTGGAACGCTCCAAGGTCGGAACGTGATCGGCTGCTGCTTGAGCTGCTTGCTTGGTTCAAGAACGAATTCTTCACCTGGGTCAATGCTTTGCCTTGCGCCAATTGCAACGGCGAGACGCACGTCGAAGGGGGGGTAGCACCCACGGATGATGATTTACGCTGGGGCGCACGTACGTCTTTTCTGCGGGGTTCGTGCGTCATAAGCGAGTGCCCCTCGTGTCCTCACAATCAGTGATACGGGTTCCGGGCAGATCGCGTCGAGCTTCATCGATGCAAGACGTGCGGGTTTGCCAACCGCTTCCCGCGCTATAACCATCCGGGCAAACTGCTGCAATCTCGCCGTGGTCGTTGCGGAGAATGGGCCAACTGTTTCGTCCTATGTGCTCGTGCGCTGAGGTTGGCCCGTTGCCCTCTTGCCTTTCAGTTGCGCTGCGCGCGCTCAGCAAGCCTTCAAACCGTGATTTTTCATGCCGCACCGTCTTGTTGCATTGCAGTTTTGAAACGCGTTACATTTTCGATTACACGGACCACGTCTGGGCGGAGGTGTACAGCGACGCACAAGGTCGTTGGCTTCATTGTGATCCATGCGAGAATGCATGTGATACGCCGCGCATGTACGAGACGGGCTGGGGTAAGAACCGCAAGCTGGGCTGCTGCTTAACTCAAGACATCAGAGCATTTGGTTGATCGCGGCCGCATTCACAGCTCTTGTCTGCATACAACGGGCCCACACTACGTGCAGGCAAAAAGCTATCGTATATCTTTGCTTTTACGTACGAGGAGGTGGCCGACGTTATCTGGCGGTACAGCGGAACGCGCGGCGAGACGCTTGAGCGACGAACTCAAGTGGCCGAAGACTGGCTCCGCGAAACCCTGCACTTTATCAACACTCAGGTACATTGCACTCGGCCGTGTCTCTCTCTTTCAAAAGCACGTACAGGCAGTCTGATGCATCTTTGCGGTACTACCCAGCTGCAAGGCCGACTCTCCCCAAGCCGGCGCCAAGAGCTGGAAGCTCGAAGGCAAGCCGAGCAGGTTGAGCTAGACGAGGATGTGCGCCGTGAGCTGGCTGCTCAAGAACTGCAAGGTCGACAAAGTGGTGAAGAGGCTTGGCGTCGGCAGCGTGGAGAGCTTGGTGCAGCTGCACCGGCAGCGGCTGCCGTAGCATCGCAGCCGCTGGATGTCGTCTTGGAGCAAGAACAGAATGCTGCTGCCCACGCTACCTCAGCTGAGCCCCTGGCCAGCGCCGTGTCCCGCGTGGACAGCTCGGCTGTTGACGAGGAAGCCGCTGAGGAAAACCCTTTTGCCGCTTTGCTCAAGTGACAGTCGCTCCATTGCCAACAGCCCAGACACGTCCCCTTCCTGTTGACCTGGACTTCAACTGAGGGTGCTTGTGTGTTGTACAGTACACTCTTATTTTTTATCCCGAGACAACATGCAATTGAAAATAGAACAGCCAAGGGTCACTTTGCCTGCAAGGCCCTCATCTTGAACAAACGGAAAACTCCGCGCCACCCTTGTGGCCCAAGAATGGCGTACGGCTGACGTGGCAAGTACACACAAGCATTGCAGACCAAGGTTTTAATCTTGAAACTCGCCATCAAAAGACGTAAAGCCTGCCAAGCTGAACGCGGCGTAGAACCGCTTTTGCGGTAGTTGCTGGCACCAATTCCACGCCGAAGTGAGGCGCCCATCGATACAGGAACCCGCGTCGTAAAAGTTGTCGGCTCCTGAGCCATCAAAGCCTTTGGAAAAGAAGTCGTGGCAGATGGTCTTTTGCAGCGTCTCCACGTTGCCATACGTCGACTCGATCCAGGTTTGCACGTCGCGCTTCTCGGCCAAACCAGGCAAGGCCGCCAACGTATGGGCAATGGGGCCGAGAATTTTGGCCACCTGCGTATACTTGTCGATGAAAATGAGAGCGTTGGGCACGTTGTTGTCGCCCAAGTGAATCACCGAACTGCCGATCCAGGTGCCCAGCTCGGCCTGGGTCTGCTGAAGAATAGCACGCTACAGGAGAAGAGCATGAAAACAAGAACTCGTGAATACACTTGACGAGATAGAGCGGCCAAGGCTGCTATCCACAGCAGATGACGAGCCACCAAAACAAACGCTTGACATATGAAACATGCCGCCCCTACCATGGCAGCTTCAATACGAGGTGCGCGTTTTTGCCGCTGGTGTCCCTGTCCCGTGTCAACAAGCTTGTAGCTGGAGAGAGGAGGAACAAAAAAAAGGGGAGATGATGAGATGGCCTCTTGCAGCGGCTGAGGTGCTTGCTTGCACCGCGTGAGAAGAACGCCGTGAGAACGGGTTGGCTTTGGACAACCAACCTGCGCGGATCGAGCAAGTCCTGTTCAGCCAGGTGCCATAGGCGAAAGAAGTCATCCAGGATCTATACGCGAGTTGTCAGCAATGCGTGTTAGAGCCCGCCACGCAAGAGCCGCCTCTAGACCGGACAGACAATGTCCACACACGTGAACAGACCTTGCTCCACAACGCCAGAGTTTGATAAACGTAATGGTATTGATGCTGGTGTGAATGTGTCAGCCGAGCTGAACCCTGGCCCGCTGCAATGCTGAGGTCAAACCTGATGGTATGGATTCAAAGAGACACCAGAATTAAGCGTTGACGCAAGTCCCACAAGAGCACCATTCGTGCACACAGCAAAGACAGAGGCAATAGCCAAGTATTGTTGTGAGAGCGCAGGCTCAAACCAAATGCTTACGATTTCTCAATGTTCTCCGGGTCAAAGAAGCGGCGCAAGAAGCCCAGCATACGATCCACGGGAAAGCGATTGACACGCAAAAAGCTGTTGTTGTCGGACATGGAGTATAGACACCACTTGATGTCATCCTTAAACTTGCTAGAGCCACCTGCATACTTGCGAGCGATGCGCTCCTGAGCACTTTCTTTGGCCTTGATTTCTTGTTGAATCTGATGCCGCGGCTTGCCTGAAAGTTGCGTGCGATGCAGCATCAGAGCAAGTGCAGGCCCAAGCGAGTTGTCACCGGATGGTGATCAAGATTAGCGCGGGACTGGACTCAGAGTAGGACGACGCCCACGCCCGTGTGTGATTTCAAAGGCACACAATCCAGGGTCGAACCTTCAGGAAGAATCTCCATTGTGGCTGTCTTGAGATCCTTTTCCAGGAGCACGTCAGCCACACCGTGACTATCTAGCCAGCTGTAGACGGTCTCGATATCCTTGATGGGTTGCATCTCAAAGCAATCTTGCACCTGCAGCCGACCATAATTGAACAACCAAGATGAGCAAGCTGGTCCGATTCAAGCCCACTGGGACGCAAGTACAGCTGCAAGCGACCACCACACAGCAGCGAACCTCGGGCGAGGCAAAATCTTGCAAAAGGTGGATCAATTTGCCGTACTGTGTACGCATGAGCTCTGTAGACGAGATGTTGTGAGCAACAGCAGCACGTCGCAGCGGGGCTCCAGCCGAGCGTCTAAAAACAAAAGCGTGGTCCATGCGCTCAATAGGGGCAGGTGGGCTTTTTTGTGGACTTACCCGGGTTCATGATCTTGTAACGACGCACATATTCCAGGCTGCCGGCATAAAACTCGGCATAGCGCGCAAAGCTCTGTTCCTTGGTTAACTTGACGCCGACGTCGTAGTCTATGTCCACGTGCACAAAATAGGATTTGAGCAGGCGATCAGGTTTCTGCCGACCCGGCAATCCTGAGAGGAGATGGGACTGACTCTTGGCCAGAGCGATGCCTGTCAAAAAGGAGGTGATCTCTGTGGCAATCGCGCGAAGGCGGCGCGCAGGCTTGTTAAGCTCTGGCTGATCCACAACATCCGTGTACGAAGAGATGGCCAGCGCGGCCAACACGCAGCGCAACTATTTCAAAACGTAGAGGACCCACGCAATGAGTGGCGGGCGTAGCACGGGCCAATCGAGGGAAATGGGTCATAAGAAGAGGTCGAACCGTGGAGCGTTGCTGGTGCTTCAGGCGAACGGGAATGTGCTTCGCTCGTTCAACAAACCACTAAAAGTGCAAAAGGGGGAATCGAGGTCGCTGAGTACATCGTTGTTGGAAATGGAACCTGAACAAACCCAATCTCCTCCCAGTCTACGGCAGAGATGCAGCACGCAGTCTGACCTCGGGGCTGTTACGCTCGAGCTGGAGAAGTTGAAACGAGTCCAGTTCTGTCTCCTGTATCGTCCCAAAACGCATGCATGGGAGTGAAAGAGGGGGGTTCTTGAGCGAGCTGATGTGACCCTTTGGGCTGTTGTTTGTTTTGAGGACCACTGTGTCATGTTGGCGTGCAGCATGCTCACGTCCGATGAGCCAGCATTTTGCATGGGTGAATATCGGATGATATTATGAACAAACCTTGCGAGACTGGTCATTCCCTTCGACGGCTTGATCGTGAATGACCGCAGCCGAAACCAGCTGGCGCGGCGCAACTGTGGCTGGTTTTCGCTCATAAGAGTGGCCGGCCCGCCGCCCTAAGATGTGCGTGGGCAAGGCATGAACAAACGCGTACCAGCAAGAGGACGGCTGGGTCTGATGACAAGTCAAACCTTTTCGGTGCAGGGATTGAAAGCATTGTGGGCAATATTCATCCTGGCACTCGTGGCATTCCAGCGTGGCGGGGCGCTCCTAAGACAGACTTTATGAGACGGGTGCAAACCGTGACTTTAGCGAGGGCCAAATATAGAGGTACCTCGCATTCAATGCAGTAGCCCGGAGTATGGTCCTCGTCTTCGTCCGACTCGTGCCCTTGCTGTGCGCTGGCATTGCCGGCGTCTGCAGCTGGGTCCTGGTTCGCTGGCTCTCCGGCGTCTGCAGGGTCGGCGGCCAGGAGTGAAGCCAGCTTATGGCCGGGACGCGGCGGGCCTTCGGGCTCCTGTTCATCATCGGAGCTTGCGCTTGGTGGAGCGGGTGGGGCGGTGGCGGATTTGCCAGAATCACTGGATTCACTGGCGCGGGTGGAGGCAGGGGTGGACCCCGACCCATTTGCAGGCGGTGGCACTTCCGGCTCGTTCTGGCTCGTCTGGGAGGTCATGGCTGCGGGGTTGGGATATACGCGCCAGGAGTTGGTCGCAGAGGTGTCCGGTGGGCAGATTGGAGTGCCCAGTAGCTTGGGCTTTTTGGTATGTTGGCCCTTGTGGCTACTAGATGCGCTGCCGTGGCGGTGTTCCTCGTGGTCGTCGTTGTCGTGGTGGTGACGCTTGTGCTTCTTTTGCTTCTTCTCGGCCTTTTCGGCCTTTCTCCTGGCCTTTTTCTTGCGCTTCTTCTCCTTCTTCTCCCAGCGTTTCACTTGAGCCAACGTCTGGGCCTGCTGCTCACGGTCCTGGCCCCGGCTGCTGTCGTCGTGTGATTGCGAGGGACGGCGGGAGTGCGTGTGGGAGTGACGGTGCGAGTGCTGGGAAGCAGAGGCGACTGCTGAGGCTCGGGAAGCTTCGGTTTCATGGAACTTGAGGCGCTGCTTGTCCGAAGAGCTGCTCCAAGAGCGTGCAGAGATGGGCGGCATGGGGCTCCACGCCCTAAGGCATGCGAGCTTTCAGCCCACGCCTGGGATGCACGGCCTGCCTCCTTGGCGACGCAGAAGCGAGACGTAGAAAGGCAAAGTTGTAATCTAGCCCACACCGCAACGAGTCAAAAAGGCAGCAAGTGACCAAAGCACCAAAGCACCAAAGCAGCTAGGCACCAAAGCAGCAAAATAGCAAGACAGCAAGTCACCAAAGCAGCAGGACAGCAAGACAGCAAGACAGCCAAGCAGCAAGACAGCCAGAGGTCCGAGCCCACCGCCGCTGCCCTGAAGAAGAAGCAACAGCAGCAGCTCCACTTACTCACGAACAGGTGCTTAGTGAAACTGTGCCATATATCACACTTTGTTGATTGGTTTTGGAACCACGTTCACTGGTTTCGTCAGTTGAGCGCACTGGTGCAAAGTTGATTGGTATCCTCTTAAGTTGAATTGGTTGTGTAAGGGAAATTTGTATTGTTGGGCACCAACTTTTGACCCGAGTTTGATAGTGTTACACCCATAACGCACAAACAGACCGGAACAAGCGGCGGGCTCTGTCAAATGGCAGCGCCGAGCCCATCGACAAGGGAGTAGAGGATCCACTTGGCCCAGGCATGAGCCCGCAGGTCTTCATGGCCGTGCGACTCGACTTGAAAACAGGTCTACCGTTCAAGGAGGGGGCGGTGGAAAACAACGTCAATCACAACAGCTGTTGTGACCAGCTCCTTTTTGTTGTCCAACACCACACACTGACAGACGTTCTCTCTCTCTGTCTTTTCCTTTGTGTCTTTGCTCTTTATTTCTCTCTCTCTCAAACTTAAGCTCTCTCTCTCTGTCTCTCTCTCTCAAACCCTCTCTCTTCAACTCTCTCTCAAACCCTCTCTCTTCAACTCTCTCTCAACTCTCTTCAACTCTCTCTCTCTTTCTCTCTCTCTCTGTCTCTCTCTCTCTCTTCAACTCTCTCTCTCTCTCTCTTCTCTCTCTTTGTGCCTTTGGAGGAGGGACGTGTGTTGTGCAGTGGTGAACTACTGTCCCTGGGACCTGACCGACTCGGCCTCAGACCCCTTGGCCGCCTTTTTGTTGTATCCCTGCTCTGTGGCTTGCTGGCTGGAGGGGAGCTGTGCTTGGTGTGCATACGCGTGCGCGGGTGCAGGCATTCAAGCTTTTAGTCTGTGACCAAACCAACACGTTTTCAGTTTTGACTCTTCCCTTGTCTCCTCAAAGCCGTCCGTTGCAACCAGCATCATGCCGGAAGAAGTGAGCAAGGAAGACCGCGATCGCGTTTTTGCCAAGCTGCGCGCCAAGGCCGCGAACAAGGTTGGTGCTTGACGGGTGTTCCAGCCGCAACTCGTAAGCCTGATCTGCCTGGCTAACCTTTCACCCCTTCTGTCCAAAGGTGTGCTTTGATTGTGCCGCCAAGAACCCGACCTGGACGTCCATTCCCTATGGTACGTGCGTTCGTGCAACCGGGCGGGGAAGCTGTCATGAGCAGGACCCTGATGTGTGCTGGTGAAACACCGTTGTCTCCCGCAGGCATCTTCCTCTGCTTCAACTGCTCGGGCGTACACCGCAGCCTTGGCGTGCACTTGTCATTTGTCCGAAGCTGTGGACTAGACTCGTGGACGCTGGATCAGCTGCGTCACATGCAGGTGTCTGGCAACGCCAAGGCCAAGGCGTTCTTTCAAAGCCACGGCGTTGACTCGCAGGTGAGTCACGTGCAGGGACGCAAAGCCTGCTGTGGTCGCTATGCAGATGACGCATCTTCATCGCGCGCCCTGTGGTCTACACCTTGTTTAGGATCCCCGCGTCAAGTACAACAGCCGCGCCGCCACCCTGTACCGTCAGCAGGTGCAGCGCGATGCTGAAACATTGCAGCGTCAGCTCAAGGATGAGTTGTTTGAGCCCGAAACAGCCGAAGGTGCGGGCAAGGACGAGGTCGATTTCTTTGATGACAAACACGATGCCGTGATGGGTACCCAGGGTGGCGCAAAGCTCTCCAGCTTCACCCCTGCTGACCACTCTGGTGCGTCCACCTTCAAGCTTGCCGAAGCCGATGGTGCCAGCGGCGCCGCCACGGCCAGTACTTCTACCCGAAAACCTTCAGGTCTGGGCGCCAAGAAGGGCCTGGGGGCTGGCAAAAAAGGTGGCCTCGGAGCCAAGAAGAAGGGCGGCCTGGGCGCCAAGAAGGTCAACAAGGAAAGCTTCAGTGCGGCTGAGAGCCGTGTCATTCAGAGCGAGGAGGAAGCTGCCAAACAAGCCGCTGAGCCTAGCCAGCAAGAGGCCGAAGTGTCCCTCTCCACCCGCCTCGTTTATCAGGAGCGCCAGGTGACCAAGATGGACAGTGCAAAGCGTGAGCAGGCCGAACGCTTGGGCATGGGCTTTGGTGCCGGTCGCACATCCAACGTACACTCGCACTCCTCCAAGACCACCATGAAGGTGATTGAGCAAACGGGACAGGCCGCGCCGGCTCAAAAAACGTAAGCATGCCGTGTCTTTGCGTCGTTTTCCGCGTCGCCTCGAGTGCTTGTCTCCCCCTCGTCCTCACATCTGTCTGGCCTGCGTGCAACAGGGGTTTTCTGGATGCGGAACCCAGCTCCCGGTATGGTGCGAGTGGCCTCGGTGGCTTGGAGCGAGAGCTAGGCTCAACCTCTATTTCTCGTGAGACGGACGATTTCTTTTCCAACTTTGAACAACCCCGGTAGGCGCGACGCGCACTCATACCCGTGCCTGCCCACCGGTTGGGGAGGGCCTGGGTGTTGGAGGGTCATTGGCCCGTTGCATGGCACTGTGGAACGATGGCTCCCACCCCGTCCGCACGCACAACCCCTCCAACAAAAGCCACGCATGGTTGCTGAGGGATTTTGTATGAGTGAAGCTGCACGGAGATGTCAGCGTGTTGGCTAGTGGACTGAGTGATGAGGAGCAGCAGGGCAAGGTCATCATTTTTGACAAACGCCACCCCACCCCATCCTCGCTTGATTCATGAAGGACAATCGACTTTTTTTTTTTTTTTCCACTGGCTGTTTGGGCTGTTTCTTTCTGGGCATCTGAACATGCATCTTGTTTGTTTTGGTCGCGTCTTGGTTGTCTGGTGGCTCCGAACCGCGCGCGCCTGGCTGCAAGTTGGGCAGGGGGTTGGGGGATTGACACAAGAAACGGGTCTTCTCTGGCGAGCGTGACTTGTTGTGACGAGGCACCAAAGCGGCCTTATTTGCAGTTTGCTCGGAAGCCTGTCTACCACGACCATCCTTGACGCCCACCTTTTTGTTTGTGTCCCACCAGGCACGAGGAGCGCAAAACGCCAGCACGCACTGCTGCTAGTAAACCCACCTCTTCGGCTCCCCCGCGTCGGGTCACGCCCGCTGCCGCACCATTGTCTGACGTGGACGGTGGGGATACAACGCGTTTCGCGAGCAGCAAAAGCATCTCATCGGACCAGTTTTTCAATCGTGCAGAGGTACGCGTGTGGAGGCTTGGCATGACTCTTGTTTTGTGGGCTTGTGTCGCGTGCAATTGAATGTTGGCCTCACCTGCCGATGTAGACGCCCGAAGAGAGCCAGCAACGTTTGGACCGTTTTTCCGGGGCCGGCGGCATCAGCTCGGACGCCTACTTTAATCGACCAGACAGTACCAAGCCCCGCCGCGTGGACAAGCTGCAAATGTTTGCCAGCAACATGGCTGACAAGCTCCGTGATATGCGACACTAAACCCAAATGGGGTTGTTTTGTGGCTGACCCTGGTGTCTTTAAACTGTGCCCTTGACAAGGTTGCTGCGTTTGGGATTCTTTTGTTTCAAGCACCCACCTGTTCATAAATGGCAAGCCCACACCCTTTTCCGTACAGGCCCCGCAATTGAAGAAGTCGTGTATCCGTGTCATGCATGATCAGGGGCTTTTCATCATCAATCATCCAATTAAGCTAGCTACACGACACAGGTAGCTGGCATCTCAACGACACAAGATCATTTTCATCAATCACAACACTTGAGAACAACTGGGGTTAAGGCTAGGGGGCTAAATAGGGCTAAGGGACGAGAACGCATCGTTTAAAAGAGGCTGTTAAAAAAAGGAAAGGGGGGGTGGGGAAGTACATGGGGAAAAGGGCATCAAGCCAAGACTCAAAAGCACACACGGCGTGGACAAGAATAGAGGCTGCCTAGTATGCAGAGCTGCTTTGCGGGCGAAGAGAGGGCTTCAATCGCGGACGGCCAAGTTGGCGTCTGAGGTTGCCTGTTTCAGGAGGGGCCAGAGGATGCGCTCGAATTTGCGACGATAGGAGCGATCGTCATGACGCTCGCAGCGGCTGAGAAGGGTGTCTCGCATGGAGGCCATGTCAAACTTGCGAGCCACGAAGACTTGCCGGGCTTCACCCCAAATCCACTCGGTCATGAGCACGTCACCAAAGGCTGCGGCAAAGTGGAGAGGCGTCCACTTGTCCTTGTTCAGGCGGGTCAGATCCACTTCACTGTGGGCCTGCAGGCACTGAAGCATCTTGAGGCTGCCGCTCCAAGCCGCAAAGTGGGCAGGCGTGTTTTGCAACTATAAAGTCGAAGCGGGGAATCGGTAAGCTGACTGTGGCGTTATATGCATGATCATGATCTGCTGGGGCACAATGCATGGGCCATGAACGAATTTGCAGCTTACGTCTTTGTCGGCGAGATTCTGATCAGCACCGTGGCGCAAGAGAACTTCGGCGTGGCCCAAGAGGGCGTTGCAGCAGGCATGGTGCAGGAGGGTGCGCCCGAGCTCATCAAGGTGATTGATGATGGCGGGCTTGCAAATGAAATCAAGCGGTTCGAGCAAGCGCTCGAGCTCTTCGGCGGTGCCCTCCACAATGATGGTTTTGAGCTGACGGTGTGTCTCGAGCGCACGGTGGCGCTCGAGGCCCTGAAAACTGTCGATGGTTACGTCACCAAAGAACTTGGAGCGCTTGCGGGTGGGGCGGCCATCGCAGGATGGGGAGGCCGGAGCGCCGTAGCTGAGGCTGCCGCCGCTCGCCAGGGGTCCGCTGAGGGTGGGTGAGCTCAGGGTCGGGGACGAGCAGCCCAGACTAGAGCTTGTTGAGGAAGCCAGCGAGGCAGAGGAAGCAAACTGCATCAAATCGGATGAATTCCAATTGACAGGCAGGGCTTTGCGTGATCTGTGCATGATGGCGATGGGGTAGCAAATGGCTGGCCAAACACGACAACTCGAGCGAATTGTGGCCAATGGTCAACGAACAAGTCGGAGCCGGCTGGGCAGAAAATGACAATCGGGGGAGATGGGACGCCCGGCGTATGTTCAACGCGTCGAGACCGTTTGGGGGTTGGGGCAGACGGCGGCAAGCAATGTTGACGTCGGGGTTGGGCAGTGGGCGTTGACAGAGAAGGAACGTGCGGTTGGGGCGCTATCACAGCTGCAACCAACACGGGCAGCCGATATAGGGCTGGATGGTTCAGCCTTGTCGTAAGGAAGCGGTCGGTTCGTCGGAACTGACCCGTCAGCCACAGGTTGGGCGCAGGAATCAAAACACAGAACAGGTAGAGAAGGAGACGAAATCGCCGGGTTGGTCTGAATGTGAAAAATGACCACCTCGCCCTCTCTCGCCCTCTCTCTCTCTCTCTCTCTCTCTCTCTCTCTCTCTCTCTCTCTCTCTCTCCCTCTATTGTGCGCGCTTTCCACTTCTTACCCTGGTATGGGGAGTGGCCGCAAGGTCCTGATGCGAGCTACACCTGCAGCATAACGTACGTATGTGTGGTGGCAGAAAGCCAAGAGACATTCTCGCGCACGAAAAGGGGGTGCTATGGAGCCGACCCATACCAAGGTGTCAACCGTGTGGGTACTGGGACTCGGGCTTTGTTTAGGAGAGTCGGGTGGCGACGCAATGGTGGTTTGTTGGAGTGGGTTTGAGTGTCGGACTTGGGCGGACATCCTGTGCCATTCGCGTCGTTGTTTTGGGAGCAAAGAGCGTGACCTTCTTCTGGTCGAGGACCGGCCATGAGTGCCATTCTCGCATGCTCTGCATCACTGGTCCTGGTCGTAGTTTTCCTTTTCGCCTCGGGAGCAAAGAGCGTGACCTTTTTCTGGTCGAGGACCGGCCAGCTGCCTCGGTTCACGAGTGATTGGGACTGATGACTCCTGCCAGTCTTCCATTCCAAACCCAAACCTCATCCACACTACGACCAGAACGAAACCAAGGCAGGAGGCGACACGTCCCCGCGAGTTGGACGCATACACTTCTGTACAACAACGCACACAAGTCACACCAAGCGCGTGCATGGGACAACGAGAAACCATCACGTAAAGGCGTAAAGGTGAAAATCATCATGATGGGTGGAGATGAGGTGGTTGGCGTGGGCAGAGGATCAAGGCACATGTTTGGACTCTTGCCCATGGTATGGGGGGAAACATGATACGAAGTTGGGGCAGAATGATGGGGATGCACGGGTTTGTGTGGGACATCTTTGTAACCACCTGCGACATTCCATTCTCCACTTCACACACCACCACCAGCGCATGAAGTGGGTTGTGTGTCTTTACAACACAACAATCGATTGTCAATGGTCTCGCTTTCGGGACCAGGACAGACCCCGCTTTTTGATTCGCACCAAAAGAACCTAGCTACGCAACTCTTGCTGCTTGCGCTCGAGTTGCGACGCTTTGTCATCATCGCTATTGGGCAGGGACGACTCCACTGTGAACTGGAGCGGAGGAGGCGGGGAGGTGCATCGAATCGGGTTTGGTTACCAAGTCTGTGAACACAGTCATGAAGACAAACGGCAGCCCTGCCGGCCAGCGTGAAAATTCACGTGTCGATCATCTCAAGGTCTCAAGCCGCCAACGCACTTCAAAACGCATTGGATTCCAATGTACCCAACTGCACCTGACCACTTCAGCTACGTGATGACGGGTCCAGCCTGCTGTAATCACTATACGTCACCGACTTGTCTGGTCAGGGCCGAAAGCGCGCGTCAACAGCAGCAAGAGATCCGACCGAGCGAGACGTGATACACAAAATGGACATGCCCCTCAACCCGCAAAAACAACGTGTCGAGCGCCCCAACCCTTTTTGGCCCTTTTGTCAGCAGTCCTTCATTCGGCAGGCGTGACGACTCGCGTTTCTGGCTTTTCTTTTTCTTCCCTTTGCCTGCCGCTCACGCCAGATGAACATGTAAGCAGACTGCTCCTCCTTTTCGTGCCGTTTTCACGTGCCGGCAGTTCCAACGACAACGCCCAAAACAATATCTTGCACAGTGCGAAACAGTATATAACAACAGTAGATGACAACACTATAAAGCAACAACAAAATTTAATTCAGCACACACGAAAATGCACACGTCTGAGAAGAGGGTAAACACCTGTTGCCAACATGTCATACTCTTGGAGGGACACACCGTGTGACAGCAAGCGACTTGCTCTCATCACCAGCACACACACACACACACACACACACACACACACACACACACACACACACACACACACACACGTGGTCGCCTTCGAAGACGAGACGGCAGCCGGCTCTGATCGCCCCGTGAGCGCTTGGTGTTGACGCTTTGAGGGGGGAGGAATCGAAAGGCGTGGTATCACGCACACAAAGATATCATGTTTCCCTGGCTGGCAGGGCGAAAGAAGAATAGTGCCGCGTGTTTCGGTGCTGCAAAGCCGCCCATGGCGACCACGAGCGCAGCTCAGCCTCCGCTCCCCGGACCGGGCGGCCCACAGGGGCTGAGCCACCAGCCACCGCCGACAACGACCATGCCCCACCACCCCGGCATCATGCCACCTGGACCCATGCAGCACCAGATGCACCAGCAACAACAGCACATGCAGATGCAGATGCAGCACATGCACCAGATGCAGATGCAGATGCAGCACATGCACCAGATGCAGCAGATGCAGCAACACATGCACCAGATGCAACACATGCACCAGATGCAGCACCCCATGCACATGCAAGCTATGACACCTCCCGGCCTTCCTGGTGGACCCGTCATGTCTCAGTCACGGAATCAAGGCCAACCGATGCCCTGGCACAACTTGCCACCAGCGGGTGAGCCCGGAAGCGCCCGTGGTCGCGGTCGCGGTCGCGGTCGTGGGCATGGTCGAGGTCGCGGTCGCAGTCGTGAATCAGCCGGCAGCCCTGGTCACGGTGGCGCCACTCCCACGATGAACCCCACCAATGAGAACCCGGTTGAGCACACACCCCTCCAGTCCCAGTCCCCCACAGCTGTGCCTTCTGCACCCGCCAACAATCCTGTCAGCCCCGAAGCTCCCAGTCATAGCGGCACTGAGAGTGAGGTGTGTCATGCAACAAAGGACTTTTTTTTTTTGTTTTGTTGTTTGCAAGTGATTCTTGAGCCTGCATTCTCACCCAAGCTGGTCGTGACCCAGGAGGAGCAAGACACAACCAACACCAAGCCCGTGGTATGGGCCTACAGCGCAGAGGAGATCGAAGCCTGGCGCGCCGAACGCCGTCGGTACGCCGCCCGCGCCCCCCTTTTGAGACATGGACGCCGCCGCTTTGGCTCTCGCTCGCAAAGACCAGCCGGCTAAATGCCTGCTGATGAGAGAGCAAACGCTGAGCCTCCTTTGTCCCTTTTGCTCAGTCAATATCCCACCGCCGCTAACCTGGCCCGCAAGCAGCAAGAGGCCTCGGAAAAGGTCAAACAAGGCATTGCGGCTGAATCAGAATCATTCAGGTCGGAACCTCAACCCCGTGCATTGCCTCAATTTCAAACTGAACTGACGACTCGCCTTGCCTATCCTCCCTCATCTCATGCGCACAGATGGTCTGCCGCCTACAAGCGTTTCATGCCTGTTGCGAAACGCACCAAGACCTCCGAACCTCCAACACCATCCACAGCAAAACAAAACACGACTGGCCCCAACCCGGCATCCGAGCCCACCTCGCTGGCTCTTGTGGCCGATTATGCAGCCTCCGACTCAGACTCGAATCCCCCCGACTCGCTGGACCGCGATGAAGATGATGGTGCGCCCACCTGCGTGACCAGGCTGCCCTTGCCACAATAAGACAATAGCAATGACAATGACCAGAAAAGGCGAAAAGGCCACAGCCAGCCCCAAACCTCACCATGACCCGATGCTCGCATGTGGCCATGACTGCAGACGAAGCACCCGAGGAAATGTCGGCCAAGGGCCCTCAACCACAGGAAACATTTGCCGCCCCCAACCCCCTACTCGGTCCGCACGCGCTTCCCAAGAGCGGCTCACTTCACCCCTCCCCTAATCCGACATTTCTCCGTCAGTTCGCCATGCTCATCGCAATGCGCAATTGTTCCGCACGCTAGCCGGTGCTGCCGAAGGACAGGGACAAGGTCGCTCACACCGCGAGAGCCACCCCCGCGCGAACAACCATCGCAACAACAAGCCTAGCCACCGTTCAAACCGCCAATGGCCACCCACCTTGCTGGAAATGGTGAGCACGGCGTCTAGAATGTTATAAGAATGGTCCAGAGAATCGTTCTGCCCTCACTCAACTTGACTTCCCACCATAGCTTGTGTCTGATCAGATCCGTCGCGAAACCAACTACTTGTTGCAAACCATCCGCTACCTACGTCAGCGCAATTACTTGCAAGACTGAAGAAGAAAGTTGGTAAGTATCTGCAAGGAAGCTGGACTCCTCGGGAGCCTCCCTCCCAAGCTCCTTTACTTTTCTGGGCCATTTCGTCGCCCTCTTTTTGCTTGCCGAGCAAGCCCACTGAAATGATTGATATCTTTTCCCACCACCAGCCCCCTTTAAATGTGTTCTTGCGCTTTGAGCAAATTGTTTGAAGGAATGGCAATTATAATGGAAACTAGCCCTCGCTCCTTTCTCCCTTGGCATCTCAGCTCAAGGACAGCGTTGACAATCTACACACTTGGCGCGACAAACCACAACCACAAAACGCGCAGACACCGGGAGACAGAAAGAGCTGGACCGTGCGAAAAGATACATTGATGGGCAAAGGCTGAGAAAACTGTCAAAAAAAACCCCCCCCAGCGGAAGATTGGGCACTGCACTCAAATCAGAACCAACCATCGATTGGCTGTTCTATTGGCTGTTGACAAAATCTCGGTGGAGGACCTCGCCGTACTGCTCCACATCGTCGATAAACTGACGGTAGTGCACATCCCAGCGGCCACCCACGCGGGCCGAGTAATGTTCTGCAAGCTGTTCGCGCTCCTCGTTTGTCAGAAGCTGGCCCAAGTTGAGATCTGTGAGCACACGGAAAAACTGGTCCTTGGTCACCACGCCACGATGAATTTTATCAAAATCCTTGAAATCGTGCTGCAGTAGCATGCGACGACGCTTGACCTCGGCTGCAATCACTTGCAGCGCCTTGTTCTCGTGGCCCGACTTGAGCTCCCGCATGCGCTCCTGCGCCGCGAGCTCAACGCCGACAGGTGGAATCGTCTAAGAAAGGGCCGATCACCAAAGCGCCAAGTTAAAAAAAAATAGAAAACAAGAGCACACGCAAGCATTCATATCAAACTTTAGACCATCAACCATCACGAACTGCCCCACCAGATCACAAACAAAAAAAAAAAAGAAACATGGGTCGGGCGTAGCAAATCATCGTACCGGTACGGCATCGGCCAGGGGCTGCGTGTGCAGGTCGTCCAGCGTGAACACTGACTCGACATCCCGGCAAAAACGTGTGTAGGCCACAAAGTCATTGCCTTGATCCATGATATGATAGTGCTCTTCCAGAGCACGCATTTCTGGCAAGGTGAGCTCAACTTTGGCCATGGACAGGCCGGCTCGGAACTGGTTCGCGGTGATCATGCCCCGGCGCAGCTTGTCAAAGTCACGTAGGTGCTCAGAAATACGCATCCGCTCTTTGGCCACCAAGGTCTTGACTTTGGCAAGCACGGCCTCGAAGAGGGCTGGCTCGGCTGCCTCAATGGCCGCGCGGCGGTCCTTGTTCAAAGCATTGAGGCGTTGCGTGCCTTGCAGGGTCTTGTTTTCAAGCTTCTCCGACGGCTCAATGTCCTCCAAAAAGTCGGCGTAGTTGATCCGATCCCCATCCATGTAGTACGTCGTGACGAGCGTCAGTTCGCGCTCGGAGAGGCGGAACCCAGCCGTGTCGAGCGCTTGTTGAAACTGGCGCGGCGTCACGCGGTTCTGCCTCGTTCGATCAAAATCGCGCAAGATACCCCGCACCTCCAATGCCTGCAATTGACATGCGCACCACTTAATGAGCGATGTAATGTGCTGAGACCTCATCTCTCATTTTGAATTTGGGGCACGCTGCATAGAGACCCACCCGATTCCGCTTTTGTTGGCGAATGTTGTCCATGGCATCGTCGTACTCCGCAAAGGTCTCATCGGTAAAGCCTGTACACAAAGCATTGAAGGATAAGCCAGTTGCACAGCCCGCTGGCAGTTATGCGCCAGTGCCTCCTTGCAAAGAGGGGGTCTCGACAAACATGTAAAAGACAAAGTGCACAAACCCCGGCCATGCGCTTACCACGGGCCTCGGGTGGCTGGATGGTGGCACGAGCCAGTGATCGGGCCGTCGAGTTCAGATCGGGCGCCACGCGAGAGGCATCTTTCTCAAGCGCCGCACCGCCGTTGAGGGCATCATCCACATCGTGCACAAAGCGCCGCCAGTCCACCGTCGTGGGTGCCGGCCGGCTCGGATCGGTATAGGCGACTGTAAGGGATCGCAAAACCTCTGTCGGAATCTGCGGCACCATTACACGCAGTCCTTGTTGGAACTGAGCCGGCGTAATGAAGCCCCGACGAAGCTTGTCAAAGTCGCGCAAGTACTCGGCAGCGCGCAAGCTTCGTGTGATACACCTGACAACCAATGTACGAGGGCGACGAGACCAAACCGCGATGAGTAGGCTGTATGGGCCGTGAAGCACAACCCGTTGAAGACATCACCGAAACATGACGCACTTGGCAACAATCCAGTCACGAGCCGAGTCAATGTCCAGCTCCACGGCCGAGTCGTCTGAAACCACGTCGGCCAGTGTGGGGAAGTCGGCGACCGAGCGCGTGTCAAAATACAGCTTGTCCGTCAAAGTATCCGCTAGTTTGGAAACTATGGCCGTCGCACCACATTAAATTATGAATGCAAAAAGGAAAGAAGAGGTGAGTTTTGATCAGCCACGGGCCACACGCAGGTTGTTAGGTTAGACATTGGTACGAGACAAATCCTCACCGGCATCAACGTGGGCCAAGAAGGCATGATAGTTGACATCCTGGCTCTCCGGGTGCCGAAAGTAGTCGGCTAGCAAGGCCACCTGGGCCTCTGAGAAGGGACGTTTCAACGTCATGTCAAGCAAGCGATGAAACTGAGTAGTGGTGACGCCCTTGGTAAAGCCCTAATAGCAAATAACCGCGCGCCAGGTGTGAGCGCTTTGGCAAAGGCACAGCGCTCGCATGGGTGGAGCAAGGGGCTCTGGGCGAGCACAGACCAGGCGGCGATCAAATTCTCGAAAGTGTGGATAGGGATCAAGCCGCTGAGCCGAGATGTAGGTGCGAATATCAGCAAGAAGCTCCTCGAGCTCAGGTGACATGGGCTGGCCTTGCCCTGCGTACTCGTGCACCAGCTCAGACCGCGTCAGCTCTCGGGTTTCCGCGGTGGGCTGCTGTGTCATGTCTTCATGCATGCCCGTCAAAAACGCTGCAGGAGCAAGAGAGGTAGGGCATTGTGAATGGACAAAAAGGCTCTGCTTGGCCAGGCGCTACAACGAGCATCGACCATGATCGAGAGTTGCATCGATCACAGCAAGGACTGGCTACGCGAGGGTCGTACTCTCATCGGCATCCTTGCAAAAGTCGCGATACTTGACGCCGCGGTCTGAGGTGTAGGCATCTGCGATGCGTTGCATGTCAGCCCGCGAGAAGCGCGGAAAGCCTACGATCATCGCCAGTGCGCAAACATGGTGAGAAGAACGGTAAGGCACTCGGATGTGCAGAAACTGAACCAGTGGGGGTAGGACGAACCAGGACCGGAACAGGCCAGGCTGAGACCACAGATAAACTGGTGGGGCGTGACGTGGGAAGAGCGCAGGCGATCGTAGTCTTGGAAAAATTGCAGTGCGCGTACGCGCCCCTTGTAAAAGGCCAATTGGAGTTGGCGCAGCAGCTCGTCCACTGGCACCTCGGTGGCTGACACGACGGGCTCCCGACGTTTGAGGGTTTCGCGCAGACTAATGGTCACCGGGCGCCAACAAGCAGCCACATGAGTCGCGCACGCAGCCAATTTAGCTGAGCCAACCGATTCAAATCGGCGGCGAGTGATTGGTGGGGGCGGGTGTGCCAATGCAATGCTTGTCACAGAAGGGGAGGGCGGGCATACCGCAAAGTGGTGGGCTGCTGGACTACAATACCCGCAACCTCGCGATAGAGCGGCATGTACTGAATCATGCCAGGGTCCTCAGGGTCGCGATGCTTCTCAATCACAATCTGTTGGATGTGACCGAACGGATGGCTGTCAAACAGAGGTGGCAGCAAGTGGTCCCTTCACCGAGCAAGGCAAGGGCGGTGCTGAAATGCCGCACCTGCAGGTCGACAGGAGTGAATGTGCTGGGGCGAGGCAGGTTGCGCTGAAACTGCGATTCAGTGACTACACCGCGGTTCACACGGTCAAAGTCCTTGAAGGCATCGCGCACGCTGAGCCCATACGTGGCACAGTGCGTCCGAATTTGCTGTGTTGGACAAAGTGGAAGAGGAGAGATGCACGGTGTAAGCACACCCATTCCGAGTACCATGCGACGATAAAAGGCCCATGGGTGGTCAGCATACCTCAATCAGGCCGTCATATATGTCCTCCAGCTCCGGCTCTAGGAGAGAGGGCTGGGCAAAATCACGCACGCTGGCCTGGGGCACAAAGGCATTGGGATTGCGCTCAAGACCCTTGCCAACAAAGCGAGCGTCAACTGCGTCGCAGAAGCGGCGATAATCCACGAGATCTTTGGCGGGGCCCTCAAATGCTTGGTGCAGCTGTTGCAGCTGCTTGTCTTGCAAACGCAGGTCTAGCTGGCCCAAACACCTGCGGAGATGAGTACGAGATGAGCGTTAAGTTGAACAGTCGGTGTACGTGCGCAGCTGAGACAGCGTGGGCTGGCCCCGTACAAATGTCCCCTGTGCATCCCTCGAGCCTGCGACGCACCGAGTAAACTGAGCTTTGGTGACGGTACCGGTACGCAGTCGGTCAAAGTCGTGAAAGAATTCGGCGATGCGTAGTCCACGTTTGGCCACCTGGGCCTGAATCAACGGCATGGGATCCTCGACCGCCATGGCGGGCAGGCGTTGATTGCAACGCAAAAGACTCAAAGAGAGAGCAAAGTCAGCGACCCTGGCCAACTAAAGGAGCTTCGAGCTGAGCAGCCCTCTCGCGGACCAAGGAGCGGCAGCGACAGCTGCAGGCAGCCAACTACCAGCGCGCGGCGCGATCAAGGTGTGCACCAAGCGACCCGAATTCGCGTAGAGTCCAACAAGGACGGAACAATGAGGACAGTGTTGGATCGCTGAGGCGGAGCCGATGAGCGGAGCGCGCTGTGCGAGAGTGAGACTGTGCACGCCTGAGTTTCAAGTCAAGGCACGACGTTGCGAAGCGCGACGGCCGTTGCTAAGAAAATGGGGTCAAAAACTACACCGCCAACACACACAGACCCCTCTTTCAAAAGGTATTTTACTTTTTGGAAAAGTGTGCTTATTATCACACTTCTGCAGCTCGCGTTGCTCGACGATTTTGATTTTTTTTTTTTTTCTTGTCTTTTTTCTGTGTGAAGGTACGAGCGAGAGAGGGGCAGCGCCCCAAGACCTGAAGCTGGACCGCCAGAGATCGATGGCCTGATGAGAGAGAAAGTGTTCATTGGTCCCCTTTTGGTTTTGGGTGGTTTATTTTTTGATTCATTGCTAGGACCCATACATCTCCGAGCTGATACCTTTTTTTTTTGCCATCGCAGTCAAAGGGCAGTGTCCTTCCCTTCTTGTGAGCGGTTGCCGGTGCACGCGTGGCAGCGTAGCTTTCTGGCCGTGTTCGGCCTCTTGGGGTGCTTTTCATTCAAGCTAACGCCTTGCCTTCACTCCTACCACCATGGCCTTTGCGAGTGGCAACCAAACGCGGAACACCAACGTGAGTCGAGTCTAGCGTTGGCGCGCTGGGCATTGGCTGCTTTGTTGCGCTTGCCCGCCCGCACCGTGCATTTGCACAGACGTGGGCGCACAAAGACATGCATCAGCATTCGCTCTGGATTGGACCCTGCGTTGTGTTTGGTACCACTGCATCACTGGCCTGGTTGAGGCCAATAAGTGGTTCCTGCAAGCTACTCACTCACATTGCATGCGCTTCCGGTGCTTTCGCGAAAATAGGTGCGTCTGCCGCCCGAGGTGAACCGCATTCTCTATGTGCGTAACCTTCCTTTCTCCGTCACAACGGAGGAACTGTTTGAGTTGTTCGGCAAATATGGCCCCATCCGTCAGATGCGCACAGGCAACAAGCCAGAGACCAAGGGCACGGTATGCTTCGATCTTCCTCTGGCTGGACCGCTCCTGCCTAGATGACCTAGCTCGCCTTGGACGGCGCTTACCCGACGAATGATTGCTTGCAGGCTTATGTGGTATATGAGGACATTTTCGATGCCAAGAATGCGTGTGAGAACCTCTCCGGTTTCAACGTGATGGGCCGATACCTCACTGTCGTTTATCACCAAGTGAACAAGGTATGTGTTTGCGCAGGCTCTGCAGCGGAGAAGCCGAGTGTTTTGTGGCCAGAGGATGGTCCAACATGCGCCTGCTGGTTTTATCTGGCTCTGGGATGTTTTGGTAACCCGCTGTGCGTTCCGGCTGCGTCACAGTTGTATCAAAAGCTGGATCGCAAGAAAGAGCAGGAGGAACTTGAGAAGCTGCGCAAAAAAGTCAACGCCAAGGAGCGTGATCAGGATCAGCGAGCATAAACATGTGCATGTGTGCCGTGGCAGCGCCGTGGCCCGAGGAGGTGGCTCGACATCAATCGAGCTGTGAGCAGAAGGTTGTCAGGTCTTGTATGTGGCCATCGTGAATGTCTGTGTATTGTGAGTTGTGTGTGCGTGTTTTGGATCGAGACTCCGGCCACTTGTGGCCCCATATTCCATCAATTCAAGCAGTCACTTGATCCTTTTCTTTTTTTTTTTTTTTGGATGGGTGGGCTTGGCACCATTGCCTACCATCAACAGTCGCGACTGGTTCATGTCCACGTCCACGATCTTGCCAGTCTGTGCATTTCGTTGCGCGCAGGATCGATGACGCACGCTTGCTCAATCCTCCGAGTCGCAATGCCGGGGGTTTCTACATGCCCAGTCCCCTATGACTACGACCATGGTCCTGAAACGCCAAGCCTCTAGTGCAAGAAAGTGTACCCTCCCTTTCATTCGCGCTCTCGAAAGCTCTCTCCCTCTCTCTAAAACTCTCGCTAAAAATCTCTCAAATCTCTCTCTCTCTCAAACTCTCTCACCATTTCATCACTTCTCTCTCTCTCTCTCTCAAACTCTCTCACCAATTCATCACTTCTCTCTCTGTCCCCCTCTCTCTCTCTCTCAAACTAACTCTCCGTCTCAATCTCTCTCTCTCTCTCTCTCTCTCTGGGCTCCGTCTCTCTCATATTTAATTTCGTGCGACCGCGCCAACATGTCGTACTGCGGAGATTATTGCACCTTTAGCGACGCCTGCGAAGGGTACTCGGCTGCCTGTGTGTCATATTGCTCTAATCGCTGCGTTGTACGTACTTCATCGTTCGTGGTCGAGGCCCTGGAACTCGGTTGATCAGCTCTTGTGACGCCAGCTCAACACCATGGTTCAGCTGGCAAGCAATGGGTCTGGTGCTCAAACTGCACCTGGGCGCCGGCTCCCCTTAGGAATGCTGCAACGGTGATCAAGACCTCATCTCCTCTTTCAGATTTTATTACTGTGAGCTTGCGCTGCCCTGCGACGCGCCTTTGGTCGCCTTTGGTTGATGCAAGCGCGCTGCCCTCATGACACGCCGTTGCACGCTAGACCCGGGGGGCTCCAGCTCTTCATGCACTTGCCGTTTGTCTGGTGGTACGAGACCCTCGATGCTCTTCTTTCGCGTCGATTTGCCAGACAGCTGGACACTGCCTGAAGCACAGTGAGGCATTGGGCTTTGTTTCTTCCGGAATTCACCGACCATGGCGTGTTTTGTTGCTCTGCTGCAGGCGCGATTGCGGGCATTGTTTTGGGTGCCATCTTCTTCATCGCTCTGTGCTGCATCATTGGCATTTGCTTCCGTCGCCGCGCTCTCCGCATTGAACGCTACCGATCAGTCGACGGCAGCACATTCACGGTATGGCCCACGCACCCCTTTCTTCTGCACCATCACAGAAACTTTGAGTAAGCCTCCTCATTGTTATTCGGGGATGCCGCGAACCGACTACACCCGCAGACTTCGACCGTTCAGCCTCGCCAGACAGCCCGCGTGGTGTATTCTCCGGCGCCTCCTACATATGGCACCACCGCCGCTGGCCCAGTCCCGGGGCCATACCATTCACATCCAGCCCCGGGCCCCTATGCAAATCCCGGATCAGCCATCTATCCCCCCACTGCGGGTGCACCTTATGCCGGACCGGCCACACCCTCGGCTCCACCAGCCTATACAGAGTAATTCATTCATTGTACAGAAAAGCGCAGGAGAGCGCTTGGTCCAAACCCAGCTGAGCTGCTTCCCTGCCGTTGTTTGATATGTGAGCCGGCCATTCCCGGCAATGTGTGCGAATAGAGAAGTTGGACAAAGCCCCGCTATCAGTGATGCGTGAGATGGCTATACCCGTTAATGTGTGCGAATCGACAAGTTGTTCCAAGCCCCACCACCCATTCTGCCCCATCTGGCTATACCCGTCAACAATGTGTGTGAATGGTAGAGAGAAGTTGGTCCAAAATCCCAGCCATCAATTGGAGGAGAGATGTTTTCAAGATGCATCATCGAGATAACACCAGCGCAAGCGCTATCCCTCGCCACTGCCGTGTCAATGACTCTCATCGAGAACCCAGGCGGCGAGCCGCATGCTGTCTTGCCCCCTTGCCAGTCCCTTGTTCCCCCCTCCTCCCCACTCCCACCTTTCAAAAAGTTTTCAAATCTCGTTCCTGTTATGACAAGAATACGTGTCGGCTCCATGGTGTCGGACCAGAAACTGCAGCATTGATCTGCGGCACGGGCTGCCTCGTGAGAAGACGTCCCCGCACTTTCAAACGTCTTCTCATACTGTTTTTCAATAAATGTATCATTGTGCTCAGAAATGCGTTTGCAAAGGTACATCTTATCTTGCCCCTGGCCTTTGGAATGCGGATTTGAAAAGTTTATGAGTGGTATCCCTAAATTGAGTGAGACTGCGGAACGGCAGCAGAGGGAGGATCAGCCCAAATCAACCCACAATATGCGCTGCAATAGTCACATGGCCCCGACAGAAAAAGTGTGATTGTGATCTTGAGCGATCCACAGCCATAGCCATGGCATGCAGGGAAAGCGCATACGAGACTAGCGAAGCTAGAGCGTAGCACGCCCAAAAAAGCTCAAGTCACATGAACCAGATTGTGTTGTTTCAAATATGCTACGAGAGCGTCGTGGTTGTACCAAGGCGGTGCCCCGCGCTTACCCCAGCTGCTCTCCTGGTTCTGCGATAGTTTGAACTCCAGGGGGAAAGGGTTCTGCGCGTAAAACGCTCGTCCCTGATCCTCGCCACCCTTGATGTGAATAATGGCCTCGTAGATGGCGGTGGACGGATGGCAGGACCCGCTTCGAAGACCTTTCACCAATGCATCTCTTGTTGCACTTTCGATGCTCATCTGCCGAAGGAGAGCATAGGCTTGCCTGCGATAGCGTGTTTCATGTAACAAGTTGCTATAGGCAACGCTCATAATCTCTTTGATGTCATAGACATCCTCGCCGTTGCGTTCTTCGATTGCAGCGTCGATCCGCCGCACCAGGTTCGCATTGTCTTCCTCAAACTTGAGCGCACGGAATACAAACGACGGTAAGGTGATGTTCATGTCATTGTCGTCTGTGTATCGTAAATAGAGAGCATCGTGGTCTCCCGGGTCAACTTTTCCAGCTTTCCGAGTCCAGGCGTCAAGGGTAATGGAAAAGTCACCGTTTCGCCAAGCACTCTTGGCCTGCTGGGTCAATGGCTGGGTACCCACATCCCAGGATAGTGCGACAGTGACCTCGTGACTCTCCGACGGACGTTGATACACCACGACGCCCGCCCGGAAATGAGCGGCTTCATCAACCGCTGGTTCCAAGTCAAAGGTATGGTAGACCTTGATGATGATCAAGAACCGTAGCGAGTCCTTGAAGGTATCAAAGTATTGTGTGACTTGTCGTTTCATGCTGGCTGCGTCGCGGTTGCCATATTCGAGCTCAAGAATCAACAGAGGGTGGGGTGTGCCCTTGGAGTCCTTGACAAGGATGGCGCCGTCTGGACCAAAAGGCGTAGGTTCGAGTAAGGTGTCGCTGTAGTATTGCAATCGTCCAGGCTTTCCCGTCTTCTTGTTGTGCGCCTTCGAAATTAAAGCGGTTTGGACTCCGCATTCTGTCGTCGCGGATCCATGCACATATTTATCTGCACAGGTGAGGATGAACTTGTTGAAATCTGCGTCCCACCACCACTTGATACCCTTGAAATCACCAAGACCACACATGGCGCGCGTAGTTGCTTCGGCGCCCTGACGTGTAATGTTGACACCGGCCACCACACCCTCGCCGTGCACGCCATAATTTTCGGCATGGGCGACGGCCCTTTTCAGCACGGCCAGAGTCAGGTCTTTATCGCCGTCCGCAGATTTGAAAACTGGTGCGTCGAGCGTATCTTTCAGTACCTTGCTGCGCTTGGCTGGCGTGAAGCTTGACAGCATGGCTTTTGCCCGCGTGCAATTCAGCAGTTTGATGAGATGGATGCACGTCACCTGAACCTTCCCATTATAAACAGAAAAGCGAATACTCACGTGCACTGCCCGAAGCTGTTCTAGTTTTGCGAGGCAGCTTGGAAGCTTTGCACTGTTTACCGTAAAGTGAGACCTGTGTGAGTAGAGCATTCGAGGGGTGTGAAAGTCAGGCTCGCCGGTTGACGCCAGGTTGAATGGTCCAAAGCGATCTGGAAATTGAAGGGATGTACCGAAACAGAATGCGTGAGTACGATTGATACCTTCCATACGGGGATGTTAATCGGAATATTAACTTATCTCCCCCAACTTCAACACACTCAAACGCTACATCCCCCTCGTATTTCAAGTAGCGTTCCAAACGAGTCTCACAAGCAAACGGACGGACTTCAAGGCAGTGTGGTGGTCCTTGTCCTCGTCGTCGTCGTCGTCGTCGTCGTCCTTGTCCTCGTCGTCGTCGTCCTTGTCGTCGTCGTCGTCGTCGTCGTGGTTTGAGACACGGAAGCACCTGGCTTTGCCGCGGCGCGGTGAGGCGTGCATGGCGTAACGGCGTTGGCAAGCTGTAATGTGAGTCCTGACGTTTTGGCGTGTTTTGCCATTAGACGGCGTGTCGATCGGCATGGCGGCCGTCGATGAGACCGACTGTTCGGCTGATCCCATTCAGATCCAGCGCTCCTCGCATTACGAAAGCTACTATGACCCGCACACGGGCAAGGTCGGTTGGACGGAAGCTCACTAAACAAAGACCCGAGCATCCCCCTCTCGCTGCATCGCTGTGCCCTTGCGCTCGTTGTCCGCCTCCTTTTCCTCCTCCTCCTTCTACCAGGTTTTGCTTCTCGTTCAGGAGCCGCTTGTCGCCTCACACTGTGGTAAACTGCCAATTCACAATGGTAGGCCAAACTCAATCTCATGGCTCGCTCAGAGTGGATGCCCAACAGCACCAGCAGCCTTTGCATGATATGTCGCGCGGAATTTAGCTTCTTCTGGCGCTGGCGCCATCACTGCCGGTCAGTCTGTCCGTCCGCTGCGTTTCCTGTGGCCTACGTGACTTTTTTTTTTTTTTCATCTTGCCTCACCTGAACCACATGACTGTACACATTTGCTCTTGCCTCTGGTTTCAAACTCTCGCCGTGGACGGCAGCATCTGCGGCCGCTTGGTCTGCCATCCATGTTCGCGCCAACGTCACCCCCTGCTTGCTGACCATCGGGTTTGCTCTCGCTGCTACTCGTACGCGATGGCCGACGCTGCCGGCCTGCTTTTTTGCGAGTGGTATCACGGAAAAGTGGACCGCGCGCAAAGTGTGGCACGTCTCCGCAATAGCAACTGCCACGGTGATTTCCTTGTGCGCGAGTCAAGCACTCGCGACGGCTTCCTCGCCCTCTCCTTCATCTCTTATGACAAACTCGTCCACTACCTGGTTCGTTTCATTTATCAAGCAGCAGCTTGTTCCGTCTGCTCATGCTGTATCACACACGTCAAACATTTGCCGGGCTCCCCACTAACACCTTCCTGTACCCTTTCGCCGCCTTTGTCTCCTGCTAGATACGCGGCAAGGCCGGCAGCTGGTTCATCTTTGACGCACACCGGTATGCCACGGTCCAAGCCCTTATCGATAGCCTACACCAGCAAGGTGTTCTCCAACGCGCTGCTCCCGTCATCAATACGGAAGGGGAGCTCATTGACGGTGACCTCGAAAACTGCCCCGAGTGCCGCGTCCCTATCCCAAAGGCGGTTCGTACATCCCCGCTGGTCGGCGCACACACTTCTGTTGACCCGCATTTGACAGCTGCACTGAACTCTGAATGGCTTGGGTATCGACACGCCTTGCCGCGCATAGGATGCGTCCACTTATTTTTGCAAAGCCTGCGGCACCCGCATCCGGTCCTCCGAGGAACAAGTGGCCATGTACCGCCGTCACACGGCAGCCCGCTCCGCTGCTACACAGCCCGCTGCGGCACGAAACTCAACCATCCGCGACACTCATGGTTACGTACGCATTGATGATGCAACTTCTGACAAGCCGCTGGCGGCCAATTCAGGTATGGCGATGCGTATGCCTACCATTGGTGCCACGTTTTGCACTGTAGGACCGTCGTCTCACCGAGTTGCGCTTTCCCGATTTGCTCTTAACATTTAAAAAATTTCAGGCATGCTCCCGGCGCACGCGAGCTCTGGTAAACCGCTCATGCAGGGCTTGCGCAAGGCGCCCCTGCCTCCGCGTTGGCGCAACGACAAGCGGGCCCTCATGCTGGCTTCGCACAGCATTGCCGTTCAGGACGTGAGTCTGGGCGCTGTCCTGGGCACGGGCCGCATGGGTACTGTCCGCCAGGCCAAGCTCCTAAGTAAAACAGTGGTGTGCAAGATGCAACCCAATTCCAATGCCTGCCTGCACGAAAGTCTTTGCTTGCTGGGCCTGCAACATGAAAACGTCGTCGAGATGGTGGGCGTGGTCTTTGAGGACGAGCCTTTTCTCATTCTTGAGTATTGTGCCAACCGAGACCTGGCCAGGTGCGTTGCTCAGGGAATCAGGATTATAATACCCTTGCAGACAGGATAGGCTCTTTTGCACGCACTTATGTTTTCTGGCCGCGGTGGTGGACGTGTGCGTGTAGCTACCTTCAGACCCGAGGCCGCTCGCTCGATGCCTTGCTTCGACTACGCGTCATTGCGCAGGTCAGCCCCTCTGCCCCCGCTCCCACACCGTCACCAACAGGATAGGCAACCGCGACTACTGTGACGTGCTAGCCACCAACAATGACTTGCCCGTGTCTCTGTCAGGTTGCCAATGGGCTAGAATATTTGGCCTCTCATACAATTGCCCATGGTCAGTCTCACGCGATGGCCGCCACAGTCAACGCCAGATCACGCACCATCTGACCATTCGCGCCTCCTTTCTGTTTGGTGGTCTGCGGATAGGCGACGTGGCCGCACGCAACGTGCTGGTCACGCAACACATGATCTGCAAGCTAGCTGACTTTGAGCTTGCGACCTGGGACGGGTCGGTTCTGCAAGACTATGCGCGCACCATTCCCTTGCGCTGGAGCGCTCCCGAGGTGCGTTCGTTTGGCCTGTGAGGTGTAGCCAACATGAAAGCACTGATCCCGATAGCCATGCGGCCCCGGTTCAAACTCAATCGCCATTTATCTTTGTCAGATCCTTTTACATGAGCTTCCTACCATCTTCAGTGATGTCTGGGCCTTTGGTGCGTGCAATGCCTTTTTTTCCATGCTGCCCCATTCGGCACGCACTCACCTGCCATCGCTTTTGATCGGCTACACAGGTGTGTTGGTGTGGGAGGTGTACAAGGATGGTGCCAAACCTTTTGCCGAACTCAAGCATGAGGACATCAAATGCCTTGTTCAAGGCGGTGGACACATTGATTACCCCGGCGGCGTAGGTTCCCGCAACGCCCTGTTTCACTTTTCTCCCTTTTGTTTTACCTCTTTTTTTTTTTTGAAATCCGGTCGCCCTGCCTCTCCTCACGCTCGTCCCTCCTCTTCACCCAGCTGTGTAATCGCAAAATATGGGAGTCAATTATTGAACCCTGTTTCGCAACCGAGCCCACACAGCGACCCGGCATGACTGACATCAAGGATCAACTCGAGTTTTGTATTTCGGAGAAGGAAGGAGTGTGATTAGAAGAGCCTGAAGGATTTGCGATTAGCGTTAGAATAATTGTCAACCCTGTGAACCGTGTTTTTGGCGTGAGCATGCCCGAGTCTTTCCCTGAGAAATCGATTGTTCGCATTGATATCCCGTGCCACTGATCTTCAAGAACAAAGGTTTTTGTTTTCACACATTTTATCGTAATTTTCGATTCATTTTGATTCATAAGTGGATCCGTGACAGACATGTGTTTTGATCGAGACGTCACCTCAAGGGAGAGAACGGGACCAGAGTGGTATCAAAAAAAAAAACCTTGATGACTTTCGGCTCATGACTTTTGGGCGTGTGAAAGCTCACCCCGGGAGCACCACCTTCCAAAACCCTCTCAAGATGTTTCAAAATTTGAAGTTGCTACGTAATCAGGCTCAGGCTCCTGGCTAGTTTTCAAGGCGGCTAGGCCTCGAGTCGAGTGTCAGGCTCCAGCACGTCTGGACTGGAGGCCGGTTTTGGGTTGCGATGAAGCGCGTAGACCCCACGTTTCCTGGCACATGCCTTGGGGCGCTAAGCTTGTGACTACTGTTGTTTTGGGCAAGGGACGGAGCGAGAGCTGTGATGGTGTCTTGAGGTCAATTGAACCAGCTGCGGTCGGCAAGCATTCACAGTGACCAGACCAGGTGCACCGTTAGACTTGCTGCAGAGCCGCTCGATCCCAAGGATACGGAAAGTGCAACCCGACGGACGTCTCTCAAACCTCTCTCAAAACGCTTCCTCAATCCTAAGTGAGAGTTTACCCGTAGTGACCGACATTGAGTGTGCGAAAGCAGTGGGAATGCTCAAATGCGTGGAAGCGGGGATTAGACGATACCATCAAGTCGTAGGCAAGTACTTTCCTACGACTCTACTTGAGGTCTAGCTGCCTTTTGGTCGCGAGTACGATTCGTCGTCCCGTACTGACATGTGAGACAGCACACGGGCCAGCACCCTGAGTATTTCTTGAGACATCCCACATCTATTCGTACTTGCACAAAAGTCATGATGTGATATGAAGCATCACCACAAGTCCGACAAAGATCAAAAGGAAGAACTCGAGCTAGTGCTGGACACACGAAGGGGCGAGTTGTGTCTTGAAACGTCCAGGACCACACAATGCCATAGGGATCAAGCTGAGGGTCAATACCGAGAAGCGCACGAGTGAAACAGCCCGAATTCAGAGCCAGGGTGCTAATGAGCCTCAATCGTCAGTTGGAGCAAGACCTACTTGTGTCAGGCTTCAGCACGTGAGAAGCACGGATTTGACGCTAACACCTTGTTAGTTTGCAATCGATCGTTCCAAGTTCACCTGTACCATCAGCCACGCTATCCTTGCCAACCTTCATGCTGTTGGTGATAGAGTGAGTTGGCGTTTGTTTCTTCGAAGCCCTAAGACGATCGCTGACCTCAGCCGCTGAAATAATTGCTGAGCTCAGCAAATCAAGACGAGTCTGTTGGTGATAGAGTGAGTTGGCGTTTGTTTCTTCGAAGCCCTAAGACGATCGCTGACCTCAGCCGCTTGAAGTAATTGCTGAGCTCAGCAAATCAAGACGAGTCTGTTGGTGATAGAGTGAGTTGGCGTTTGTTTCTTCGAAGCCCTAAGACGATCGCTGACCTCAGCCGCTTGAAATAATTGCTGAGCTCAGCGTTGGCGAGCAAATCGAGATGATGAGTTGGCTATGAGCGTCAAGCCTTGAGTATGAGAAACGGCTGAGCTCAGCAGATTGACACGGACGCAGTCGTTGGCGAGCAAATCGAGACGATGAGCTCAGCTACGAGCGTCAAGCCTTGAGTATGAGAAACGGCTGAGCTCAGCAGATTGACACGGACGCAGTCGACTGAATTCAATTGCGATGGCAATGCTGAAATCTCGCATTTTTTTCGCCCTGTTAATGAGAGCATCCATAGCACATCTTCTGCTTCGTCCGTCGCTACTCATTTCTTGCTCCTCGCCACAATGGACGAGGCACCAACTCCCACGGCCCCTTCCCGGGGCGCCAGCGAGGAGGTGTGGCAGGCCAAGCTCTTGGCGCACTGGGGCGAATCGGAAAATACAAATGGTTGGAAGTTGCTCACGGGCAAGAATAACGGTGATTCTCTCGACATTGAGTCAGATGATGCCAAGGCTAAGCTCGGTGCCTGGAAATGGTCCACCGAGCACAATGAGTGGGCTTTGGACAATGGAGTGGAGGAGAGAAGTCGCCTTCGCATGGACTTTCTCTTCAGCCGTGCTGTTAAAATCGATAAAACGGATGCGACCGAGTATCTAGTGGTGGAAGTGAAGGTGAGTGTGGCTGGAGAATACAGGGGGAACTGTGGTGGGTGGAGGCTTATTCATGCAGCTCATCATTGCCTCAAGGTCGCCCGCTTGCATGAAGGTGCCTATGGCTACAAGGCTTCCGAGACGTACGGTGCCATCCAAACGGAAAAAGAGAAAAAAGTGGACGATGCTTCTCAAAAGTGGGCGCTTCAGATTCCTAATGGCAGAGGGGACTACCTGTGCACCAGCCTTGACATTCAGAAATGGCGTGCCCGCAATCAAGCCAGATGCTACGCAACCATCCTGCGCACACAGCTTGGCTCACCTTGTGTCCAGTACATGACGATCATTGGGGTCGACAAAGGTGGTGATGACCAGAGCTCTACCATCTCGAGCACTCTTCGGAGACCATCATCGGGCATCCTTGGTCGGTTTTACGCGGACAACAAGAGGAGCAACGCCTTTGATCTTCGCATCCAGTTGATTCAGTCCAAGTCTGTGGATACTTCAGCTATTGGTGTAGACAAGCTTGCAGCGCAGCTCCAGGTTGTCTATTTGTTTGAGGATGACGAGTAGCTATTGCCTTCGAACACTTTTCTCAGCACCCATTGTGAGTCTCATCGCTGAACCCCCAGAGGTTTGATACATCTTTCCACTCACTGACTGACACACTTTGAGGTGTGCGTCGCAATAAGAACGTTCCTGTTTCTTCTTGTCGTGTTTGACACGACTGTGAGGACCGTACAACAGGTTCAATTGACAGCACGAGAATTCATGATGGGGATTCCTCAGACCACTTTTTTTCGTAACTTCCTCATCACCCAAAAGTCTGGCATCGACATCCCGTAGAACCTGTCAGGGCCGCATACTTCAATCTCGCAAATGAAACTGCTGGGGAAACAGGGGTTTAATAACAGTCGTGGGAAAAAAAGCCAGCAGTAACATGTACATAGGGTGCCTGCAATCACCCAAAAGTCTGGCATCGACATCCCGTAGAACCTGTCAGGGCCGCATACTTCAATCTCGCAAATGAAACTGCTGGGGAAACAGGGGTTTAATAACAGTCGTGGGAAAAAAAGCCAGCAGTAACATGTACATAGGGTGCCTGCAATTTTTCTAGAAATGTTATTTAAAAATGTCGAGGTTGGCGCCAAAGGCACGGCAATGGGTGCGTCAGCTCGAGCAGGAGAGGGATCATGCGTTGCGTTGGATGGCGGTCAAGCATTCAAGAGCGCACAAGCCGAGCTACACGTGTGCATCCATCTTGAGGGTCCCGACGGCGTCCATGTCTTCTGCCTCGGGCATTCGCGAGGGCCACCAGTTGGCCGTTCCAATCAGACTCATCATGGCCGGTACCACCATTCTGCGGGTCCAAATCATATCGTCATAGAATTGGCCAGTGAGCACAGCTACACATGGGCGCATGCGACAAGCCCACAGCAAAGCGCAGAGGTGCTTCTTACGTTCGAACAATAAAAGTGTCAATCAAGACTGCCAAGACCAAGAAGAACGCCAATTGGTTGAGAATGGGCTCGGTGGAGAACAGCTACAGCACCGCAGGGCACGTGAAGGGGTAAGAGTAGTCCAGCCCGCAAAGCCCACACACTTGTGACAAGTCCTACCAAGCCGACAAAAGCCACAGCCATAATCAAGCCAGCAGCAGTGATAATGCCACCCGTTTTGGTTAAACCGGTGATGATGCTGGTGCGTGCATTGTGGCCTGCTCGCCGAACTTCCACAATGCTGCGTGCACATGACATTGTTTTCACCAATGCCAACGGATGGTTCTAGCGTTAGAAATGGTTTGTGCGCCAAGCCAGACAAAAAGCTTCTGCAGGTGCCAATGTATTCACCGTACCGAGACAGCAAAAACACTTCATAATCGAGCTGTAGGCCAACCAGTACGCTAAAGCTGAGAACAGGTGTGATCCACGACATGGAGCCCTAAGGGAAAAGCGTGATAAGGGTGCCAAAGGCGCAATTGTGAGCCTCATGATAATTTCTCATTGGGTCAAAGTGACAGGAGAAAAAACAACAACAACAACACCACCAGCGACAACGACAACAACGACAACAACGACAACAACAACAACAACGACCAGATCATACCGTGCCCTCAAGTCCCGCAAAGTGAAGTCCGTCGAGAATGCCAAACTATCATTGAGGCAAACACGCACGGCCGGCTGAGTGATTCAAAGCAAAGCATGACTAGCGCCACGGTGGCCCAAATACGGGTAGACAGCCACGAGATGCTCCCAGTGCTGACCTGGAAGGTCCAGACAGCAATGCCATAGACGAAGCTGAGGGTCAAACCAATGCTGAGAAGCGCACGGAGTGGAATTGCCACGGATCCAAATGCCAGACCCACGAGCACGACCACCACGGCGCTCGTCACGCCAATGGCCGTTGGAAAGAGGTCATACACTATGCCGCCGGCAAGGCACCCGTGCTAATATGAGGCCTCTATATTTGAAGCGAATTGGACAGAAAAGCCTATCAAGACAATTGGCGTGGACAGAGCAAAGATTCAAACACACCCTTGTCCTGAACGTCAAGCGTGGTGGCACCGCCTGATGCAAAAAACACTTCAAAGCGGCCGTCCACCTGATGCATAGCTTCTTGTGCCGCCTACAACTCGATCGAAAAAAACAAAAGCGTGAGAACATACATCATGCGACGACCGGCAAGCTCTTGGATGCCCACACAAATCCTTTGCCCACCTTTCGAGCATCTTGCAACCAAGTGTTACCACGAGGGCCAAAGGGGTCGAATTGCAGCTCGGCCGTAAAGTACATGCTGGTAGCATCGCTGCTCACATACGTTTCGCGACCCTGCGTTTGTCCCAAACGGCAAGCGCATGAGTAGGCTGAGGCGAGAGTGTTGAGTGCATGTTCATTCAGCCACACATGAACCACGTACCAAGCAGGCAAGGGCGCATTCAGCCATGCATTTGTAAACGCTGATGCACTTGGTAATCTCTGATGCTTCCACCGGTTCACCCTTGGCCCAAGCAATGCCAGAAAAGTCGACATCACTTGTGATGGGGTTCTACCAATGCGAGCAAGGATGTCATTTATTTTAGGCTACGAGTCTAAACACATCAGATCGGTCCCTAGCAAAGGAGGGCCGGGCACAACATAAACCGGTGCTCAAGCGAGCAAATACCAACCAGCTTGTTCCACACAAGATCAAAGGTAAAGTTGAATGCGTCTTGGGTCAGAACGCTTTCGTTGCCGGTGCTTGCCGAAATCAAAATATTATACGGGTACAAGCGACCAGGTCCAAAATTGTCGCTCAGATCGGCATAGGTGTGGCTTGCACCTGTTGGCCATCGACGACGCAAAATTAGCAACAATGCACTTGAGCCTATGGCAAGCTTCTGGACCTGCAAGCGTGGCCTAAGGAACGCACCGGAATTGCGAGGCGTTGCCTCCAGGATGCCCGACGATGTTTTAAACTGGACACCACGCCAAGCACAGGGTGCAGCCAAGCCAATCACCAGCAAGCTCTGCATCAGGTCGAGCTCTTGATGAGTTGGCGCTAGCAGAGGCCGTGGCCAAAACCAATGTGCGACGAATACTTGTTTTCAAGCAACGTACAAGGCAAATGGCCACGGGTCGACGCGTAACGGCACAGCCCAGCTTATACCACCTGGTGCACAACCTCATTCATGTGAGTTTGCAGAGGCAGACAGGCTCGAGGACTCGAACAGCGATTGTTCAAATACATATTTGGCAAAGAGCTTTTCCTTGGACCATTTCATTCAGGTACCCACCAAGTTTCCCGATCGTGTTCCGTAACCGAGGTAGCGGAATCTACCAAGCCTTGCTGAATAGTGGAGTGCTCCTGTGCCACAGCAATGCACCCATCAGCAAGTGAGCCGAGGAAGCAAGCGAAGGCCGATTGTAGCAATGGCTTTTTTTTTTTTTTTTTTTTTTTTTTTTCTTTCAGGAGAGCGGGGGGCGGGCCAGCTTTGACGCACGCGAGGCATCAGGGGCGCCGTTTCATGGTCTGATTCAGAGCCCTTTCCACACAACCAGCTGCATTAAGAAGCACAAGCAAATTCCATCCCGCGCGAAAGGCAAGAAACATGTGAGATCCTTGAGGGCAAAGCATTATGGAGACCGTCAGTGCAATGGCGGATGCCTGTCAGATTGGTGCAGTGCGTCGCACCGTTGCTTGGTGCTGCGCTTGAAGAATTCGGGAAAGGCTAGGAGTAGCGCCGGCGTCAAGCTCAAATTGACGAGAAGCACCACAAGAAGGGTAATACCCGCTCCCACGCCAGGCGTACGAAGCAACGCCACTGCAATTGATTGGTGTGAAGAGGTCAGCTCAGGGCGGCTGACAACGTTCAAAGTTTACAGGAGTCTGCATGAGCCAATCAAAGCGAGCTGACCTGGAAAAAAGCAAAGGCCAAAAAAGCACAAGGCCAAAGTAAATCCAGACACGGAAATGGTATGTCCGGCCGTGTGCAACATGCGCCTGACAGCATCCACAACTGGGGTGGCCTGCAGCAGCTCTTCGCGGTAGCGCGAGAGAAGAAAGAGCGAGTAGTCTAAACGTGCCAGGCATACGGGAGAAGGCACGCGTGAACACCTGCAGTGCATGCGACAGGGCACTTTGGGGCTGCAGCATGTTCATGAATGAGAAACCACATAGACACACCGATATTCATGGCAATGCCGGCGCTCATCATCAGGGATGGCGTAAAGGAGATGACGTCCGTTGAGAGTGCAATGGGATAAACAAACATGAACGACACCTGCCAAATTGGGAGAAAATGGTGAAGTGATAGCCAACAGCCCAGGGTCGGACGATAAACAATGGCGGGTCGAACGTGAGCCGTACCAGAATGGCAACAATCATGTTTAGGACGGGAATGATGAGGAGGCGCACAGAACGCAGGACGTAGCTGCAAGGTAGAGCAACGTGTGCAGTGAGCAAAATTTGATCAGCATTTTAGCAATGCACGCAAGCCGAGCCCAAACCGCTTACGCCAACACAGCCAAGGCCACTGGAAAGGCAATACCATCCATAATAAGCAAATCATGCTCGGTGCCTAACATGACGACATGCCATGCCAGAAGTTGAGCCATGCCCATTCACTTGTCATGAGTTGAGTGCAACAGCCTGGTTGGTCATCTGCTTGCGCCCCCTAGCTGATGGTGGACAAGCCTGACTGACTGACCCTTGGTAATATCGACAGCAAACACCAAAGTGCCCGTGACACCGGCCTGCACAGTTATCGAGCCAAGTGAAAACGCTGGGCGTGAGCAAGGCAAGCCGCAGATCGGGCAAGAAGGGCAGTGCGACGTTGGCGTTAGATTTGCGCAAGCACTGCAGCTGGCGCACCTTGGCATCTGTCATCATCTTGGTTCCGTTGTTCAGCTGGGAGCGCAAATCGGCAAGCATGTTGCGAATCCCGGTGTCGACCTTGGCATTGGTAGGAAAGTATGTCTGCGGCAACAGCCGGCCAAGGTCAAACCCCGTGCAGCGAGCGTCCCACACAATACCACCACTTGCAAGCCTTGAGGGTCCCATGCCTGTAGCATCATGATGGTCATGGACTGATTACACGTGGTGGTGTTACAAAGCAGCTGTTCAGCGACACTCTATCGTGTCGAAACAATTTTCTTGGTTAGCATGCATCACGCACATGCTCCTTGATTCTGTCAGGGCAGGGCGTTGGGGGTCAGGCCAACCTCAAAGACCGAGTTTTCCTGGATAAGGTTGTAGTAGCTCTGAATGGAGCTGGCGTTGATAAAATATTGCGGCCTGGTGATCGGGGGAAGCGAGTGGCACGGAGGCTGAGACGCGTCGACAAGCTTGCTACAGAACAGCAATGATTTCAACAGCTCACCATTCTTTGAGCAGATGGGCTGTGAGGTGATTGTTAAAGGTCCGGGTGTCGTTGCCCAGGATAGTAGCACCAGATGTCCGCTCGAGCAGGACAATAAGCGGCGAGTGCGCGTTGATGGAGGGAAAAGCGGCTTCCAGCGCCGCCTACGCCGAGCCATGCCGTCGAACGTTTGTTGTGAAAAGGCGAGGCACGACGTTGTACAGCTGCATGCATGCCATGCTGCACGGGTTGGCTTGGTTTGACAGATCACTAACCGTGGCTCTGGCGGCAGCTGAGTGTGGCGGCGCCGCCATGTTCAAAGAAGTAGCGGAGAGAAGCTTTGGGCCCTGCAGAGGCCGGGCAGGAATATCAATGCATGGCGCAATCAGTGGCGTTTGTGGACAAAAAAAAAAAGAGATGATCGGGTGGCAGCCATCAGGGAAGTGGCTGACAACTTGGCCCGAGGCATGCGAGGCGAAGGCACTGGGGTTGATGTCTCAGAACATGGCTCGCTATGAAGTGGGTATTGAAGCATGGCAGCTGCGTAGCACGGTCGCGGGGAAGGCTTACCAAGGCCAGGCCAATGCCGAGCATGACGGCCCAAAAGGCCAGCATAATGTAGCTGAACCGGTTGAGAAGGGCCACATAGCGGGCAACCAGACCCCGGGGCTGCATCCCGGCGATGGGACGGAGATGATTGAGACGACTTTTGCTCATTTCCGACCCCTGATACTTGCAGGACCAGGGCGACTGTTGACGTGGCGCGCAGGTGCGTAGGCCTTGGCACGGCCGATGCAGAGCTGGCAACGCTGGCCGGACCAGATTCAAAGCCGCATCAGGAGGGGTGAGTCCCTTTGTCGTGTTGAACAAAACATCCAAAACAGCAGCGTTCTGCAACCAATGCGGTGCCGCGCGCGTCTCACCTCAGCTACCGTTGCTCCTCCCTACTCGTGACCAACGCCGGCAGCGGCGCAGTCGTTCAGATGATGAGCGTCAAAGCGCGCGCGCGCGGCGCAGCCGTGTGTTGTATCTGTTGTTGATGTGTAAAATGACGTAACGTGAACCATCATCACCTCGGATTATTGCAACAACTCCGACTGCAACAACCTCTATATTCACTTCAATAACTCATGTTGGATCGGTTATTATAACAGCAGCAAATTAATGTTTTTGGACATTAAGACTGGTTGTGATGATTGAAATTCAAAAAGTTATTTTGATCGCGCTCATCACCCATAGTTGGGGCGAGTGACTTTGGATTTTAGATCCAAAAAAAAAAAAAAAAATTCAGCTGCATTGTCGGCGCACGATGCTGGCTTTGCGCCAAGAATGACAGGGCCTGGAAGTATAGATCGATGGTGGTGGAAGGCTTTTGACTGAGTGCGCTGAAGCTCAAATGCCTCGGATATGATGCAAATAACATTCGTGTGTGTGTGTGTGTGTGTGTGTGTGTGTGTGTGTGTGTGTTGCGAGCATATCGTCGCGAGAAGCATAACCAGAACCACCGATTCATCGTCACGACATGGTCAGAGTCGGCCTGATCCCGACACGCTTGGCAAAGGCATGCTAGGTAGAGAGGTGGTGCATTTTCTACATGATCAAACAAAATTTGCTCTTGGTCTTGCTTGTCGCCTGCGGCACAGGTGCGTCCAGCCTTGACTCCATAGGCTTGAACAATTCGTCTCGACTACGAAAGAAGTGCCGTGCGTGGAGCACTTTCAGGCCCTTTTAGGATTCCCGCCCAGAACCGCACATCCAAGCCTTGGGTAAGCGTGCACAGTGGCTGCAATGGCGACGCAAGCAATCAAAGCCTCGGCATCGGGGACCAATGACACCTACCAAGGCTTCCAAGTCTTCGCTTGTGAGCGACATCAAGAGGGCACCGTCAACTTGATTTTGATGGAATGTGGCTTCAAAAGCACGGATTGGGGTCGTCCTGATCCAGGCCACCACCTGCGCCACGCTCCAGCTGGCAGGGTCGCTCGCAGCTGCTTTGGTTTTGCTGGACTGAGTTGGGACCCTTGAAGGATTGCGCTTGATGCTAGAGGAGCGCTTCACTGGCGCTGCCGGGGCGGCAGGTAGAGGCTCGCGTGGCGCCAGTTGGCTCTTGTCTTGCACATATTCCTCATATGCACTCTGCAAGTGTGGGAGCGACTCTCGGGCTGCATGGCTGAACGCAAGAGTCAAATTCAAATGTGTCTGGGCCAAGACCCGTAGACCTTGGCCTCCGTGTCCATCTGGGGGTCCAGCAGTTTTTTGCATGTAGTTCCACAGGCGAAAAGGGGAATTGTATAATGTGACCTGCTTCAGAAGACTGCGCACAGTTGGCGGGTTGTTGAAGGGAATGCCCATGTGCTGCTCCAAAAACTCACGGGCTGCAGCCACGGTGTGCTCGTTAACTTGCTGCGGAAGTCGCTGCTCCAGGTCGTAGCTGGAGAAGAAACTCTTCATGTGTGGAAAGCCATCCGCATCCTCCGTAACCTGGACACGTGGAAACGTCAATTGGATTCCAGAATTCACCGGCCCCCGCGCACACCAAACGGATGCAGTCAATGGTGAGACCAGTCAGGTTATGTCGTTTAACATCTGATGCCTGACGCACGGAGTGGCGAGCGTACCGGGCCGCTAAAAATGGGCAGGATTCGTGGGAAGCCTCGCGCACGCTCCAACGCAACAGCCACCATGAGCTCAAGCATGAAATGATCCACTTGGGCCAGCCCAACATCCTCTTCCATACGCTCCAGGGATTTGGCTGACACCAGCGGGACATAGACCAGGCTATCCACGGTGCCCGAGCAGGTCAGGTGAACAATGTCTAGGATGCAAAAAAGCAGCTGATGGTAGTGCGCATCCAGCGGCCCCGATCTCACCTCTTTGCAAGCGCCTCGAGGAAGCTAATGTCAAAGCGCTTGCCATGCTCCAGATTTACCACGTCCAGGAAGCTGCTGATGTGATCTCCACTATGTCCAATTGTGTGCAGGCTGAGCTCATTGGCAAACGTGGCTGCCCCTTTGGTTGAGTCGGGCTCGTGACTGCAGGGAAAAAAAAGAAAAAGTCGCGAGGTGGTCCGGCCAATTAGCCAATTATAGGTGTACGTTAAGGCAATGGGCGTGTGGCTAGGATTGCATGCCGCCAGGGGGACATACCGATACGATATAAACACGTGATAGAATTCTGCTTGCAGCTGGATGGGTAGAATGCTGCCCATTTGGTCCAGGACGTCAGGGCGAGAGAGCGTGCAGGAGTCAAGGTTCAAGACCTGCTCCTTGCGGTAAAAAAAGTCTCGCACAACACTAATCTACATGGTACAACGGTGGTTTAGAGCTCCGACCAAAGTGAACTTCCCATCAGCCTTGTTGTGGGCCCAGCTTGGACCGAATCCAAGCCAGGCGAAAACCTACCGGTAGCAAGGTGTTCTCACACACTTCAATCAAGATGTCGTATTTCAAAGAAAAGAACGAGCCTTTTAACACATCGGCAATCATTTCATTAATCTACATGTCATGGTCACGGTGCTCGTTAGCACACAGCTCCAAGCGGGCCCACATAGTGAGGGCAAGAGGCTTCAGACTCCACGGGATATCAAAGCGCGCACCTGATGGATCAGACCAACAGCATTTTTGGCGTAGAAACGCACAACAACGCAGCCGAGCTCACGGTCAGACTCAAGGTCAACCGCGTGCTGGCCAAAATGCACGCGGGATAAGCTCTTGGACAGCAAGGGTCGTCGCGTTATTGAGGCGCTGCCTTCTGCTCGGCTCGTCATCTCAGCCACCAGCTATTGTGATAAACCCGACATGTCAAACGAAGTCTTGGTCAGAGGTTGCTGTGTGCAACTTCCCTCTCCCCCTTCTCCCTCTCCCAACAGCGGCGCAGATGAAAAGCAATCATGCGCACATTAAGACGACCTCGGGACACACACACCTTATCGTAGAAACCTGCTGGTAGATTTGTTCGAACTTCAAGCTGTTGATGCGTTACAGTTGCAAAGCGCGAAAGAGTTTCGCCCATGTATGGTGCAATATACAGCTATCATCAAGGGGAAAGGTAAACTTGCATGAGTGTATGAAACCTGGGAAGAGCGGTCGGTAGGCTCACGCTCGCTAACCTCTGTTGGGCAGATGTCCTGTTGGGGCAAATCTGGCTGCCGTCGCGATAGCAAGCCTGGTATCAAGTATGCGGCACTAGTGCCATACGTAATGGGTACTGCCACTTTGAACTACAAGCGCGAGGGTGGGATGTCAAGTGTGTGAATATGCACGGAGGTGCGTCCAACTCGAGGCAGCCAGAGCACGTGCTAGGGCGCAGCTTTGTATCAGCCAGAATAGCATCCCAGTCACCCGTTGCTACAAACCTGCATCATCAGCGCGAGAATTTGCTGCTGCTGTTGCTCATCCAGGTTGCGCAGGCGGGCATCCGCTTCAGAAGCACGGCCCAGAAAGTGTCTCACAAGTTCGGGAACAAGCACGCCTTCCTCTTGCAGGAGCTTAAAGTCATCGCTGAATTCAACTTCAGTGTCCAACGACAGCCGGTGAAGGCGGAAATCTCGCACCAGAAGCGTCATGTAGCTGAGTGGCTCGATAGGGTTGAGCACAACCACGTGTTCGAGCTGTGCCGAGTTGAAATGTGTAATTGTGCCCAACGCATGAATTGCATCTACCCACTGCGCACCACGCATGGGGTCAACACACATGGAGGGTGAGGCCAGGACGGAGCAAAAGAACCCGCTGTAAAACAAAGCAGGGGCTTGCTTGTGGCACTTTGACTCGTAAGCCGTCCTTACCTTGCGAAAGACAACATCCGAGGTTGGGGTGCGCTGACTCGTTTGAAAGGTTTCATCGTACAGCTCGGCGAGATCGCTTAGAGTGACCGTGCCCAACCCAGCTAGGGGCTGACCATGACGCTGGCGGATGGCGCGGCATGCCTCGCTGACCACTGCTTCATCCTTGACGGGGTAGGCTAGTGTGTTGATCAAATCCTGCCATACCCGGAGCTGAAGTGGCACATCCATGTTGGCAATCTCGCTCGCGTTGAGCGCATCTTGTAGCTGGGTGCGCAGCTGCTGCACGCCCGCGTCTTGCCCGGAGCGGGTATTGTCCACAGCAAAGTAGCACAGCGAGGTCGATGAGCTGTTGCTTGGCATCACAAGACGATTGGAGATTTCGTGGTGCCGCTGTGCCAGCTCACGGCGAATGCCGTCCGAAATGAGCTGTCGGGCGGTCAAGTCGGGTACTGCATCGGCGTAGGTCCCTACTAAAAAGACGGGACCGTAACTCGAGGTGGAGACCACCGAGTTGCACCACGACAAAAAGTGCTCGAGACCGGTGTAGCTGTCGTCTGGGTGCAAGCTCTCGGCCTGGCTAAAGTTGGCTAGAAGCTCTGTCATTGTGAAGAAGATGCAAATCACATTGCCCGAGCGCAAAAAACCTTCCACCAGCGACTTGAACTCCAATTGACCCCCCATGTCGAAAAAATTGACGTGTGTGCCCTCAGTCTGTGATCTGGAGGCACGCCAGCTGTGAGCGAGTCTGGCGGACCAAAGAGGACCTCTCAAGGGGTGTTGATGCATCAGCGTGACGCGATGAACGTACTCGTCTAACGAAGCCAAGATGATCTGTTGTTGCGCCCGCGTCATTTGAGCCGTTTCGGCCATGTGCGGCTGCGTGGCAGATAGGCGCTGGCCTCTTGTGTTCTTTGCGCTTTGGGAATGGCGACGTTGGTTACGCGAACGGTCGGGCTTTTTCTTCTTCTTCTTCTTATTGTTGTTGCTGTTGTTAGACTGCTCTTCGCTGTCGCCGGTTTCGGCGAGGTCCAATGGCAAGCGTGCTTCGGCTTCCACGACGAATTGGAACTCGTACCCCTCACGCCCTGCACTAAAGTCACGAGGCGCACTCGCAGGAGCTTGAACATTGAGGCCTCGAGATGTGTGATTGATACCATTTACCTACAGATGACACAGGTAGACAATCAGACAACTCTGGTGCCCCGGGGCACATATATTTCACCCAGGTGCGTGGCCAACATACATACCTTGACAAAAGCGTCCTGATCCAGCAGGACATGGTCCTGATCGAGCTGACATAGTAAATCCATGCGATCGCCGCCACGCGTGGAGATACGTTCCTGTTCATGGTGAAAGAAGCATCCGGTGCGGGACAAAGATGCTTAGCTGTAGATGCTCAACTGCAGCCTGACCCAGTTTCTCAAGAGCACGTTGGTTCTTGGTGAGAGGAGGCGGAGCTGGCAGACCTCGGAAAATTCGATGTTTTGTAGCGAGCGCGCCGTGGACGTTTTGCCTGCGGCACCGGGGCCCACTAAAACACAAACGACACAACGGTTCTTGGTCATTTTTCCTTGAGCGTCTTTGAGAGCAGCAATGAGCTTCTCCTCTCGCGTCAATGTGACCAGGGTTTCGGCTTGCAGAGGTATGCCATCGGCAGCTCGCGTGACCCTACGAGCCAGAGTAAATTCATGCTAGTGAAAGTGATGGTCCGCCGAGGAGCTGCTGGGCCACCAAAGTGCAGAGTCGAAGACCATTGGCGGAGGGGCGAGCGAGGGGTGGAGGCTTTGTAGCGAGATGCTGACGTACAGGGCGAGTGCACGCTTTGCCATGGTTTCAAATGTCACATTCACATTTGCAGCCGTTTTGGATGAAACTTCGAAATAGTCCATGTTTCTCGCATGGGCCCAAGCCGTCGCTTCCTGAGAGGTCACGCTACGGTGCTGACCATGATCGACATGGGTCCCGACAAGGCAGCACTTGACACTTTCGTGGGCATGCTTCTGAATATTCTCGAACCACTCTGGAAGGGCATCAAAGCTGTCCTGTCTCGATGGAACATGGGGCAGGATCAATGGAAGGTGAGTGTGTGACACGCCGTTGCATACGGCGGTAGAGCACAGCAGAAACAGCACTACTCAAAGGCTCGCTGGTGGAGGGAAAATAAAAAAGAGATGGGGCAAAGCCTGCTTACGCGATCGGCCACGCTGAAAGCAAGGAGAATGGCGCGTGCCCCACGATAATAGGAATAGGTGATGGCTCTAAGAACAGGACGTTTGCAGCAAGGAAATCAGTGACTGGGGCGCCATCGTCCAGCCAAAAATGATGAAGCATCCTCGCTAGTATCGCCCGTGTTTTCTCGAACCTACCGGAAGCGCTCCGCTCCAGCGGTGTCCCACTAAAGAGGGGCATATCCACCAAACAAGATGAGGATTAATTTCAAGGCACTGCCGACAAGAAACTTTGTCATGCAATATAGGGGCCAACTGACTATCTGCAACTTGACTGCTACGCCGTCCACACCAATAGTCTTGAGGTCCTGGAGTACAAACATCAGCAGAGCCCGGGTCGAGTGTCATGCGCAGCGGTATTGAGTAGAGAGTCAAGCCTTGATCCTGGTACATAACATAGCATTGCATTCATCAACACCCACAAAATCAACGCCGATGGTAGGGACATGCTGCTCGAGAAAGGGTTTGCTAACGAAGCGAGCGATCAGCGCGCTCTTGCCGGTTGCGGTGTTGCCCACGACGAGAAATTTCAAGGTGCTGGCAACACGCAATGCAAGCAGAGACCCAAAAGATCAGGGCGCAGTTTTTGGGCAGAGTCCAATACGGCCATGCATCAATGGCATGCGGAACATACTGCTGCGCGCGCCCGAAGGACATGGACTCCTGCTGCGGTGCTCCATCAGGGTCCTCGCTGTCATCGCTTCGCGGATCACGACGCTTCTTCCTATTCTTTGCGGGCATGAAGGACATGCTGACGAGTCCCGCGGCAGTCGCTAGCAAGTTCCATGTAGGATCTCAGCAAGGTTGGCCTTGAAATCGCTGCCTTAGGGTATATCAAAGCTCAACTCATCCTGCCCCCCAGCTCTCTGCAGCCAGCGCCAGAGAGAGAGAGAGAGAGAGAGAGAGAGAGAGAGAGAGAGAGAGAGAGAGAGAGAGAGAGGGAGAGCGGACGAGAGCATCAAATGTCCAATTTCGATGCTGTTGGATATTGCTGCTGTTTGGAGAGTTATTGTAGTGTCCGCAATCCTTATCATAGATTCTTCATTAAATCACTCGTGAAGAAGTTGTCGATATATCTGCTGTTATTCGCTGTCGGTTGCTATTCCTCAACTTTTCGAAAAGTAACACAGCCTGCTTGTTACGGCTACTTGTTATGACATTCTGACATTCTGACATTCTGACATTCCAGTCCAGGGTCCAGAGAGCATTTCGGAGAGAGAGAGAGGGTCTGGAGCGATATGATGTGCGCGGCGACAGTGACGACGACTCGGGTCGCGGCTCTGCTGGTGGTGCTGGCGTGATCAGGACAGCCCCCTTGTTTGCGGGAGGTGGCAGAGGGGTGTGGGGAAGGTTGGGGGAGGGTGTTGGCTTTGGACATTTTGGGTGGGGCTAGCCTGAGTGGGGCTTATTCCAAGGCGGACGGTATCGGCGCCATGGCGGAGCCAACGCTCGAGCAGGCTTGGTTTACCTGGGAGAAGACCGAGTATTCGGGCAAGCGCGTGCGCCTCATCCTCAAGCCCACGCAGCTCTTACTCTACGCTGGTCTTGCCCGAGATGGCCTTCCCGTTGGCCTCTTAAAAACCGTACGGACTGCAATGCTCTTCATATACCCTCTTTTTGCGCACACGCACGCCAACACGGCTTTCCAACGCCGCCTTGCGCGTTTGTCTGTCCGGTTTGCAGGTGGACCTCTTGAAAATGCGCGCCATCATGGTCAAGGTTTGTCGCATCTTTATCAACATTGAAGAACAAGATCAATTGCTCGTGCTTCTGGCCGATGATGAGCCCGAGGCCAACGACTGGTAGGAGTCCATGTCATGTGCTGCTGCAATGGTTGAATTTTCCCTGTTCTCGCTTGCTCTGGGACCTTCGTCAACTCCATCTTGTTCCACCTTCCTCTTAGGGGCGAGCGGCTCGATCTACAGGTCAATGCACAGCTTCGCCTCCAGCTCCAAGAAGACATTCGTCGTGCCGAGATGAAGGCTCTCGAATCAGAGGCCGCAGAGGCCACGGGGGTCGATGCAAAGCAGCCACCCGAGCCAACGTCGGCCAAGGAGGAGCCTGCAGATATCAATGCAGCTCCTCTGCGCCAAGCCGCTCGTCCGCCTGCGGCCCTTCCAAATGTAGAACCACCTCGCACGGACCGCCAACTCGCCGAGGAAGACCGACAGCTTGCTGAAAACGGGGACCCGCGAAACGAAGCTTCCCTGCAAGTTCTGCAACGCCCGCGCATGAGCAGTGCCGCAAGCCACTTGCCGCGCCGTGATACCATGCAAAGCGCACTCCGGCTGACACTTGATGCTGGCGTCATCAGCATGTACGCTGGGGCGTCCGCGGATGGCAGCTTGGGCGTAAAAAGCGGTATGTGATCGAGCCATCAGCCATGTCACTTTGGGCCCATGTTTGCCAGTCACCTGCCTGATCTGCCATGCCTCCTTGTCAACTCATTCTGCCCGCTGCCTGCTGGCTGTTTGGCGGCTTGGTTTGGGCCTCCAGGCGAAATTCCTTTGGCCCACCTTCGGAGCGTGCGCGTGGACGAGCATCGGCTTCAACTCATTACTGCAGAAAAAACCTGGGACCTTGATGTTGCCTCGCCTGAGCAGGCTCAGGTACGCCAGGGCTGCAAGTCAGATCGCAATCCTAAATCTGCTGCCGGCCATTGTAGCCCCCCCTGCCTCGGTCCATGGTCTATTGTGACTTGGAGATTTCACTTGCGATTTTTAAATTTTCTGTGCAGCATTGGGCCCAACTAGTGCAGGATGCTCTCGAGGAGATTGCGCTTCGCGAGGTCAAGCAACTTCATCTCTCACTTTCGGGAACTTCAGGTTCGCGCCCTTCCTTGATTGATCTTCAAGTGCTAGTCTCCTCATACATCAATGCACATTGCCGTGTCAACGCTCATGCTTATCCGCCCCTTTTGCCTGCGTCCGTCCACCAGACGATAGCCCCAGTACCTCGACAGACAGTCCTTCTGGTGCCATTGCGGACACGGTGTGCTAGCTTGCCCATTTTCACCGCTAACGGGTTTGCAAAGGGTCCTCTTGTGCCAGACACTGGCAAAGCTCACGGACGCCGGTGTTTCTCTAGTATGAGGGCTGGCTGGAACAGATGATCTCGCTCAAGCAAGGGCGCGAGCGACGCTACGCCGTTGCGGTCGGTGCATGACTATCCTACACCCAATCTTTTCATTCCATCTCTCCTTTGGTTGGAGGCTGAGGGCTCACGCCGTCACGGCTCACTTGCATGCTTCACCCTCCCACCAAACACATGCTCGACCCTCCACGTGACATCGAGCAGGGTGGGCGCACGCTGCAGCTATATGCCAAAGCTCCTGCCCATCCCGGCCAGCCGCCACGACAGCGTCTTGACATGGTTCGCTTGACCCACCTACAATCAGTCTACATTGAAGACCTGAGTTTTCATCTGGTGCTCCCAACCATGACCATGACCTTCGTGGCACCAACCGAGGTTGGTTTGAAATGCCTGAGCTTATAAAGAGGCAGCACGCCTGCTTCGTTTGGTCGGTGGCTCGCATCAGCTTTGCTTGATTGTGTTTGGCACCTCCCGTGCAGGATGAGTGCATGACTTGGACCAAAGTTCTTGCCCACAACAATCACGTGCCTGCACACCTCTCGCCTCAAGTCATGCAACGAATGAACGACGCTCAGGCTGCCAAGGTGAACACCAAATTGGCGCATCACCTGGTTTCTGCTTGACTACCTGCCTGCCTGCCTGCCATACGCATTCCTTTGCTAATGGCAATTTCTCAAGTATAGGATCCGCAAGGCGAGTCGAAGGCTCAGCTCCAGGCCATGTTGGAGGAAACTCGGCTCTCGTCTCTCGCTCTCATGGCCTCGAGCGTCATTTTTGCTGGATTTGTTCAAAAGTGGCGCCACCGAAAACCTCACCTCTGGCAACAACGGTTAGCGCAGAATCCGTCCAAAGGCTCGCTTCGGTCTGTCGGTGTTTTGAGCCCAGGCTCACGGCCTCATTTGTGCTGCCCTTCCCCGTGTCTCAACAACAGCTATGTCGTGCTGCATCAAAGCGGTGTTTTGCACTTTTTCGATCGCGTGTGGACACCCGAGTCCGACCAACAGCCGCGACGCAGCCTCCTAGGTACCGTTGAGCTGTGGTGTGCTCGTGATTTAGCTGATCGTGAGCCACTCATCTGACTCAACAACCTCGGGTGGCATCGCAGTGAGTGGTTGTCTTGGGGTGGAGTATGGCGAGGATATCTTGGATGGAACCACCGTTGATTGGACAGATGTGCCTGCCGAACATCGCCTTTCTATTGTGTATCCCCAGCGCACCTATTACTTGTGAGTAGATGACCCGAAAAGGGAGAAAGGGTTGCCTGCCTAATCAAGCCCTACCTAAAAGGAATTTGCCTCCAGCCTCCCTTTGAGAGGCTCCTGGGTGTTGCATCAGTGTTCTCACGAAACCCGCTGGCTACCAGGCATACATCTAACCCCTTGACCTGCCAAGATTTTGTCCTTGCTTTGCAAGATGCGGCTGGTCTGGATGAGCCTGAGGACTCTGCTGGCCCACTCTTGGAGGCACCAGTGGAAGACATTGATGAAGGCAAGCTTGAATCAAAGCATGGGCATGCCTGGCTTGTGGTCCCTCGACCCCCCACTTTTTGAGTTGTTGTTATTGTTATTGTTATTGTTATTGTTGCTTTGCTTGGATATTCCCTTGACCTCAAAACCTTCATCAACCATTGAACTTCTGTTGCTGATAGACTTGGCGTCCTTGGTTCCTTACGTTGAGCTCAACAACGAAGGTGCGTGGGCGCTTTGCAATAACCTTCCAAACTCTTTTTGCACGCTCTGTTGTCCGCTATCGTCCCGATCCTCATGTGAGAGCCCGCTGTATTTGCTGGCATGTGCATCTAGGCGATGATCGTCACATTTACATGTTGGCTAGCGACGTCATGGGCGAACCGGAAACATGGGATGCTGCTCAGTGGACCAAGTCTAATGCTGCTGAGGCTACCCAACCCTCATCTTTGCCGGAGGACAATGATGATTCGGTGGACATGGCTGATCCCACGTACAGCCTTCTGCCTGTGCGCATGTTGCATGCACAGAATCGTGCCGCTGATCCGCCACGCCCAGTCAAGGCCTCTCATCAAAGCCACGGATCAATGGCCGGTGATTCTGATGACGACGTAGTGGCCTATGCGCACGATACGGATGATGATGACGACCGCGGTAACACATCCCTGACTGTTCCAGCCAATGGGCCGCACCGCCACGATCCTGATTATCAGAGAGTGGAAGACATTCTGCTGGATGTAACGGCGCTCAGTGCGAGCCAGGATCATCTTGTAAGCAGCAGCGAGGAAAGTGATGAAGACATGCCTACACCTCCCTATGCCGATGTGCGCCGTTTGCTCGCTGAAGGCGATGATGCATTGGCTACCCCTCGGTTGCCACCACGCAACTACGATGCTACCTTGTGGTCCAATGATACCCACCAGGTAAAACCAGACACCGATCAACTTGAGAGCCAACACGCTCATGGTGAAGAGACCTTGGAAGCAGCAGTCGCCGCCAGCCAACACGTGACGCCACGTGACCGTCGCACCCGGCCTCGCTCCTCTCAAGTGCGATCCAGTCCGCGCCGATTGCCGCGCCCCCCTGGAGCCAGCCCAGGCAGCGGAGCCCCAACCCCCAAAGGTGGGACCATGCAGCGGCAGCAAGCCGTGCAGACCAAGGGCGATTTGGATCAGGCCTCGACGCCGTCCGCACCGTCGCCGTTGTCCTCGAAAGCAGCAGCCACCCTTGCGTTGAAAACACCACCAGTTGGAGGATCACACTCACCTCGAGATATCGCTCCTAGCATGAGTGGAGTCCGCGATCGCATTCGTGAGCTCAATTCTCGTGTTGATCAAGCAAGTAGTCCTTCATCGACCGCCCCAGCGCTTCCGCCACGCTCGGCACGCCCATTGATGCGCTCAGACAACAACACCATCCAACCTGCAACTGCAAGCATGGATCAAGTAGGTGTATTTGTCTCTCTGTTTGTCATTCTGGACTGAAATGTTGCTTCGTCTCACGTCCAGACCAACCTTTGCAGGGGCTCGTCTCAGCGCGTGCTCAGCTGCGGCGGGTGTCGAAGCGACGGCTCCCAGTGCCTCTCAACATCAAGTCCATGCGCCGTCGTAAGTTTACTCCCTTGTGTTTTATATCCGACACGCCAAGCTTTCTGACTCCCCCAAGAGCGGCTTTCCTGGCCTGAAAATTTGATGGCCGCTTCTTATTCTCCTTCGCCTCGACTTTAATAGCGTCAGAGCCCGTGGGCCCTGGCCGAACGATGCCCCCAGCACCCACGACCGTCGCCCCCGATCCGGTTCCAACCAAGCGTGGGCCACGCATGCGCTTGCGTCGTTTCCGTTCAAAGGCTTCCATGGAGCCCGTGCCCGAGGCGACGCCCGTTACCAAGCCCGCCAACAAGGCCCCCAAACTCGGCAAGAATGATCGTCAGGCAGGCAAGACCTCTGGCAGTCAAGGAAACCTGGCCACTCAAGCTTCAAAACAAACTTCTCCGCCCCAGACGAGCTCAGTGGACGCTGGCCAAGGGTCAACGGCTCGGTCCGTCCCCTCCGGGCCGAATAAAGGCCCAGCAGCGTTTGCGACAACGCCCGCAGCGGACAACCAGCCAACTGCAGCCGTGGTGGGAGACGTCCGTGCGCGCTTCACCGAATTTTTGGATGCCGGTGATTTGCCAGAGATGATGGCGGGCTTTCAGGCCGTGCTGCAAGCGCTGGGCGCACAGTCGTGGCTCGATCAGCCAAACTTTTACCTTCGCTTTCGCACTGCTGTCACGCCTCATCTCAATTATAAGCAGAAATCTGTATTCAAGGTGAGTAGCGGGTGGTGAACGCCCAGGTCAGCGACAGACCTTAATCGCTGGGATGCACCAGCGCTAATGCCTGCCTGCCTACTTGCGCATGTCTGAACCTCCTCGTGATAGACCATGGACCAACAATTTCACCATTGCGGTTCGCACTTCAACGATTGTTCGCGGCTATCTGTGGTGGTGATCGGTGCTGGGCCTGTGGGCTTGCGCACCGCAATCGGCATGGCATTTCTTGGTGCCCGCGTGCGCATCCTGGAGAAGCGGCGCACGTTTGGTCGGCACAACATTTTGCATCTTTGGGAATGGGTCTGCAACGATCTCCTGAAGCTAGGTGCCAATGGCGCGGAGATCTTGGGCAAGGTATGGCCTGTGACCGCTCACCCTTGCGCCTACACCCTGGGATCAGGCCCGATTCTCGTCCTTGTGGTGTTCTTCATCACAACTGACCGCGGACGTCATTAATTGCGATAGAGCTTCTTTCACATTGGCACAAGACGTCTGCAACTCATGCTGGCGCGCATGGCGTTCCTTGCGGGCGTGGTCTTCCATGTGAACATGGAAGCTGTGCAGTTGGAGGCGCCCTCTGCCACCGATCCGAATTCCGTCAAGCTCTATCGCCTGGAATGCCGACCGCGCCACGCAGATAAGCGAGCGCCGCGACTGTATCTGCCATGCCACGTTCTTTTGGACGCGTCTGGTGCCAGCGACGGTGTGACTGACGGGTTGGGTTTCAAGCGCAATGTCATGTCCACGAGCGCAGCTTTGGGCTTGGTGGCTCATTGGACCAAGGGGCGATCCCAGCAGGAGCGCGACATGGAAGAGTTTTCCTGGTCACGACAATACAACCAGGCTTTGTTCGGCAAGCTGCGTGCCCTTGGTGCTGATCTCGAGAATTGCGTCTATTATTGCAGTAGCACGCATTACTTTATCATGACGCCCAAGCGGCAGAGCCTGCTTGACTTTGGCGTGCTGCGGGAGCCCCGTAGTTCATCCTCCGAGCTTGTCAAGTCGGACAATCTTGACCAAGCCAAGCTGCGCGAGTATGCGCGCATGGTTGCTGCCTTCTTTCAGCTACCCAACACCTGTCCCTTTGCGGAGGAAACTGGCGGGGCAATGCTGTTTGACTTTAGCAGCCGACGGGCGGTGACACGGGCCTGTCAAGTCCTGACCGACTCAAACAGTGGTCAACAGGTCGTTGTCATGCCGGTTGGAGATGCGCTCTTGGAGCCCTTTTGGCCCGAGGGTCTGGGCATCAACCGTGGTTTTCATTCGGCGCTCGATGCGGTACGGAAACACCTTTGTCAAGGCCTTGCCAGTCCCGGGTTCCACACCCGCTTGCACGTACACACACACGCACACACACACACGCAGACACACACGCACACACGTTGATTTTGTTTTCTCCTCATGCGCATGCGATCGTCGGCTCTTGGGTAGATTTGGGTGATTCAAGAGTACTTTGCTTCCGGTCATTCGCAAGATACAGAGGCCTTGATCTCCGCACGAGATGACCTGTTTGCCATTCTCAAAGGGCTATCAGCGTTCACGAAGGCAAACATCGTGGCTCCCAACGTCCGGGCCTATGATTTGCAGCCAGAGACACGCTACAAGGTTTGGGCAGCCCGCAGTCGGCCAGACACAGACAGCGCTATGCTTCTTAAGCAGCAATCGCTCGCCCGGCCCTATAGCGTGGCGATTACAGGCTCCGTGGCTGACAGTTTTGATGCATAAGGTGCTTACAGGCACGGCTTTTTCGAGCCTCGATTGAAATTGATGACATTGTGTTGTAGGGATTTTGTCATGTGAATTTCGATTCACCACACCAGCTGCAGTGGGTTTGCGGGCTCTTGGTCGGTTTTCTGCACGCAGAAATCATCTTAAAGCTTAAGAACTTTGCCCTGAGAGGTAGGGGGTAGGTAGCGCAGAAACCAGGCCAAGGTGCGCTCGTCACGGTCACGTCGGTGTTGGGGTTGAGTAAAGCCGTGTCCTTCACCAGGGTAAACCACGAGTTCCGTGGGCGTGCGCTGCAGGCGAAGCTGTCGATGTGCAACGATCGAGTTGGACACCATGCAGATGTCGTCCTCTTTGCCATGGAGCAGCAGCTGTGGCGGGGCGGAGGCAAACAAAAAAGTGCGGGCTTGGTGAGAGAGCCGGCGCTGAGAACAGGCAAAAGGATCATGGGAATACAGGGATGCGGCGAGGCAGGTCTCAAACCGTCGGCGTCTTGATTTTGTGCAACAGGGGAAAGACGTCGCTGTGCGTATGGCGTTCTTGCAGGGGCCAGCTGAGGTCACCCGAATACTCAAGTTCCCAGGTGAAATCACCACCTGTTTGTGATCATCAGAGCGCGGGCACACACGGAACAAGAGCGCGAGTCAAGTTCAAACCAGTGCTCGATGGGTTTGCAACTGGAGTGAGGATCATACCTTCAAGGCTCATGTAGCGTCCAAAGACAAATCCGTACATAGCGACGGCGCACTTGAAAGCATCGCAGGTAGCTGAGGCACGGAGGCTCATGAAGCCACCGTATGAGCCGCCAAAGATGCCCACACGGTCTTCAAAGTTGAGACTTTGTTGTGAGCGCAACGCTTCAATGCCTGGGCGGTCACCGTCATGCGCAACAGTAAGCTGGGTCAAGGTTCAGGCATGGGGGTGGTACAGATGCCGAGGCTGCATCAGACAGACAAACCAGCCAGAATGTCTCCGAGATCAGCGTCCAATTGGCCTTGGCATTGAATATTAGCCTGCCAGTTTTAGCAATAAAAATAGCAGGGTCAGGCTGGGAAGTGATGCTCGCAAGCAGAGCATGAGGTGTGATGATGAATGACTTCACGAAAGGCATTAGGAAAGAGTATCTCATACTTGCGAAAACTCGTTGCCAAAGCCCAGCGTGCCGCGGAAGAGGGGCATGAAGACCCGGTAGCCACCCTTGATCAAGTGGCTGTGGCCGAGAAAAGCAGGAAAGAGAAAACAATGCACAAGGAAGACCACCGCGCATGAAGACAGGCGCCGCGCAGGCAACTGACGAGCCTCGAAAAGATTGAGCATGCGCGGCACTGGGATTTACCGATAGGGGTAGCGCGTGGGATCGGCTGCAATGCTGCGACGTTGTGTGAAGCCCACGGCGGGACCACCGTGCGCGTGCACCAGCAGCGCAGCGTCGCGGCGGGTCGCTGACCGCAATGGCAGTGGAGTAGCAAGACAATCGGCGTGAGTGCAGCGGCTCATGAAATTGGGAGGATCCATGGCCAATCCGGGCGCAGTGCTTACAGTTTGAGAAACAGACGAGGCCTTGCACGTCGCGACCCTGAGGACCCTTCCACTGCACAATTTGCACGTGCAGATCAGAAAAGTCGTCGGGCTGGGGCAAAGGCACCGCCAATGGCTCGGTATCAGGTGCCGTTTGCAGAACAAGGCGGGGGTAGCTACAGAAGGTGAGGGCAGCGAGCAGGGGCGCCCGAGGCGATGTGTGCGGTGAGGTTTTAGGTGAAAAAAAAAACCCAAGAAAACAAATACCAAAAACCTCAAAAAAAAAAAAAAAAAAAAAAAGAAGAAATTAGAAAAAGAAAACACAAACACAACAACCACTCAAAAGCTCTCACTTGTCAATATCTTCAGTCTCATAGGCCAGACCATGTTGGCTAGAGGCCATAGCAGCGCAAATGGGAAGCGGCAACGGAATGCGCTCTTGCGAGGCGAGGTCAATCCAGCTGGAGATTTCTTGGGTGCCTTGGAGCACAGTCAACGCAACTTTGTTCTCCTCCGGCACCCATCCAAAGGTCTGAAGCGGGCAGGGTCAGGCAGAGCGTCAGCGCACGGGCAGAGCGAGAAGACTTAAAACGCGGCCACGGGGCCGAACATGGCTCATTTGTACGTTATTCGCACCTGAATATGCTCGTCTTCACCCGTTAGTGGGGTTTTGGGCCAGTGCTGACCTTGGCGGTGTGCGTGAAAGAGACGGCAATGGGTTGTGATGGGGCGCTTGGTCTCATAATTGGCCTACCACAGAGAAAAAGAAAGTCTAGTTCAGCACCCAGTAGCAGGCACAGTGGCTGGGTCCCGCCAAGGGTTTCCATCGCCATGCCAGCAAGCTGCGCACCGTGTACAAGACATCGTCCGCTGTGGCGCCAAACTTGAGTTCGCCCACCCGGCCAGCGTCAAAAGTGATCTAGGTCCGGCAATAGGAACGACCGGGACAAGGGTGAGGTCCGGATGTTTGATGTTATTTAGTTTGGAAAGATGAGGCATATGCGCTGAGACTTTAAGCCGCGGAGGGAGGTGCACGTGGTCCGCTCTCATGGTTTGGTCTCACGCACCATGTGTGGCTGTGCTTCGGGTTCAAGATCGCAGGTAAACCATTCACCACGTTCGGCTTCTTCAGGAATGATGCTCTTCATCACCGCATAGGCCACACGACGCCCACAAGCTATAAAGACGGGGCGATACGTTGTTTGTGCAAGCACAGGACATTGTCAAGGAGCGTGCGAGCGCGAGGCGCAAAGATGTAGGCCTTCACCTACCAGAGATGGCCAAGCGCTCAGCCTTGCCGGAGACCGCAGCAATGGGGGTCCAAGTGTTGGTGATGGACGAGTACATGCTGAGTTGCAGGTCATGGATGACGGGTGGGTACACCTCAATGCCTCCCTCCTCTGGAGCAACGCCAGGACCAGACATGAAATGGTTTGGGTGAGACAGAGCAGCGCAAGGACAGCGAGATGTTGACAGCCGTGGAATGACCACCCAATCCTAACCAATGGGTTTGCCAGAGAGGCAGGCCAGAAGAGGTGCGCCGGCCTTGGTCACGGTGGCCACAACCTCGCGGCATTGGGCTGGAAGCGTGGTGAGAGCTTCCAGCGCGCCCATGGCACCTGCATGTAGCTTGAAGAGCTCCTAGACGCCGAGTAAGGAACAAAAAAGTGCAGCTCAGCAACCCTAAGCCGTCTTCTTTTTTTCTTTTTTGAGGCGGGGGGGTGGGGGGGGGAGCACGCCGTGGGTCGGGGCAGGGTTTCAAGTGCGCACCTGACCACGTTTGACAATGCTGAGGCCAGCAGCGGCACTGGTGGTAAGAAAGGTGAGATCTTTGAGTTCATCGCGGGCAGTCATTCGCAGATCGCCAGCACGCAGCGAAGCATGCTGGCCGTTGGAGAGATACTATGGATGGCCAAAAAAAAGAAAGTGAATTGGACTTGGGGTTTGGAGGAGGTTCCGAGCCATGCCTTTGCCTCGGTACGCCGCGGGTGATTTACTACGAACCGCCTCCAACTCGCTCTGGCCGGTCCAGAGGATAGCCTTGACATGTGTGAGCGCCAAGTCAGCGCCACAATATGCCTTGAGCTTGGCCGGCAAAGGCCCAACTGCCTGCTTGGCTGCCATGCTATCGCTTCAATCTACGACAATTCGGTCCGACAAATGCAATCTTGGATCAAGCAAGACCCAAGTCGTCTGGTCTGATGATTGTCACTGACAGCTCCCGAAAAAAAAAAATAAAAAAAAAAAAAAAAATCTCTCTCTCTCTATATTTCTCTCTCTCTCTCGACTCCTTGTTGCTTTGTCAGACTTTTTGCTACGACATCATCGTATGGATGAAGGTGTGTGCTATGGCGCCATGGCACATGGCATGGCGGGCTGATGGGGGAGGGGGAAAGAGGAGGCGGGGGGAGGGTTGGGCGAAAAGCCTGAGTCAATTTGGTATGGACATGAACATGGGAAGGCTCGCAGTCTCGCACTGCACAAAGGGTCCCGCATGGTGCTTGGTCGAGGGGCTCAGAGCTGGACGTCACGGTGCACCCAATCGGTCCAGCGATGGGCCACTGGTGAATCGTGGGGCATGGCAATGAGCGGGGCGACATGGCAATGGGTATCACGAGTCTTGTCATCACGTGGTACTTGGTGGTGAAGCTGTCGTTCGAGGTGTTGCACGTCGTGGCGTTCGGCCTGGGTACGGAAGCGGTGCAAGGGGATGGCCACGTCGACAGCGTGTTGGACCAGCATGCCCTGGTCCTGGAAAGCTTTGATCAGGGAGGTTGTGTCGGTGCACAGCAGGGGAAAGAGGATGAAGAGCGGTGGCGCACGTCCGCTCTTGGCAAAGCAGTGCATAATGTTTTGGAGGACCTCACTCGTGACGCTGCCCATGGGCTCGGTGGCCAGGATAATGTCGCTGTGAGCGATGATGCTTTCTTCCTCGGCAAGCAGTTTGCCGTGTGCCAAGTCGAGCTCGAGGATCTTGTCAAAAAGGTGCATGTTGAGTCCATAGGCGAGGGCCTGTGCATTGGTGTCCAGACCCACGACCAGAGGCAAGGGGCCACGCTTCTGATGGCGGCTAAAGTAGACGGCGTCGGCGTGGTCGTCGCGGTCGGGCTGCTCGAAATGTTGGTACAAGTCAAACGAAGCCATATTGAATTTGATGGGAGCAGCAGTCAGACCAAAGCCGGCGGCCAGCTCCAGCACCTGCAGCGGATGGGTGGTGTGAGCGCCGAGGTCGCGCAGCGCCCCCTCGATGATGGGGGCAGTCAGCTCCGTGGGACAGTATCCAATCTCATCTAGTTGTCGCATGTACGTGGCAAAATCATCGCCCTCCAGTGGCACGAGGTTATCCGTGCTGCCGGCCGTCGTCGCAGGACTGTCCTTGTTGTCCACGGGCGAACTCAGATCGGCCAGCTGCTGGCCGTGATTACTGCTTGACATCATGATGAAGTGTTCGGTGTGACTGTGCAAGTTGTTGCCGTTGCTGATGGGTCCCTTGAAATTGTGAAGCAAGTCGAGAACAAGTTGAGTGTGCGAGCAGGAGGTGGGGCGCAAGGGCAGCCAGGCTTGTCGTCACCGACGAGTCGAGTCGCGAGTCACACACTGCAGAGAAAAAGCGAAAAAATAAAAAAGATAAAAATAACACACAAAGTGTGTGTGAGAGATGTAACTGTCAAGATGGGGCGTGTAGGAGCCCATCATAGGAACGCGCTACTGCTTCCGAACCGCGCAAGCGGCAAGCGTACCACCCCGACCATCGCGCCCCATTGCACACCAACACGACGGCTGACCCATTACCCGTTGCCGTTTGACCAAACATGACCATTGGGCCCATCACAATCACAAGAGCAGAGAGACAGCAGAGAGAGAGCAGAGAGAGGAGCTCTCCAGCTTTTCGGGGCATATGGGACATTGACGCTCACAAACGCTTTTTCGCTTATGCGCTTATGCGCTTATCCGTGATGAAAGGTGTGTGGGGGTGCAGCGGCAAGGTGTGATGAAAAGGGGTTAAAGTGAGACATCATGTCACACTTGGATATCTCGTCTGATGACAATGATGAATCCGGATGTGTGAAGAATGAATTGTGTATTCTTGCATCTTCTTCATCTGCTTCTCTATCGTCTTCTGCGCTGCAAGTGCTGGTTGGCCTCCATCCAGGTATGGGCGGGTGCCTCTGTTAAAGCAGATGCAGGCGGATGGATGTGTTGGGCTTTAGTTACCCCGCACCTTGGTGTCCTTGCGAACAACAAAGCAGTTGAGACTCAGGCCGTCGCAAATGTCCAGCACGGCGCAAAAGGCATAAATCACTAAGGAAGATGGTCGCCAAGGGGCGGGTGAAGGACGGCGGGTGAGAGAGCACAAGGGTAGCAGAACCAGGGTTTCGTGCCAGTGCTTTGTCATCTCCTTTCTAAAACGCCAACTTTGCTATCCTCATTTGGGCTGTGAAATGACCAACGCACAAAAATCGATACACCAAAAGGCGATGGCAGCACCACAGCGCGCTTGATGGCTCAGGCCCGTAAACTCGGTCATCATAAAGACCACAGGCACCAAGTGGGCAGGATCAAATTGCGCCACGGGTACCTAGTGGCAGAGAGGACAACAAGGGTCAGTGTGGCGTTGAATCCTAAACACCCGAGCCACACAAAGACTAGCAATGCACCTTGGCCATATGGGCCACGATGAGCTTGCAAGTGAGCTTGGCGGAGGCACAACCCCAGCCTAGGTTGAAGAGGGCCGGCATCTGCACGCCGTGACAAGAGCAGGTTGCGTGAGTATCACTGCCCAAGTGGGCCATTGGGTTCTCGATGGGCGAGGCCAACGTCTCTTGCACCCTGCTACGCACGCACGCACCGAGGCATAACTGGGATAGCTTTGCATGTTGTGCACGCCAAGCATGAGGGCAAACATGGGCATCAGCGGCGACAAAATGCTTGTTTCCGCGATAGTAGTTCCCTCTGGTCCTGCAAGAGCAGAATGCAGCCACCATGCAGCCAGGCAGGCACACACACAGGCACCGACGCAGGAAAAATAAAAACAAAAACGAAAAAAAAAAAGTCGCGTAGGTGGGTCAGCATAGACAAAGGAATTCAATGTGGGGCCAAGAGGCATCGGGGATCCGCCATGTACACGCACCGGGGCCGCCCTCAAAGATGCTGAGCACGAGGGTGATGGCAGTGCCAAAGATGGCAATGTACGGCACAAAGAGGTAGAAGAAGCGAAAGCTCAGACCACCCACAGTCCAGTCCCAAAACTCCTCGCCAAAGTAAGCCGTCAAAAGCATGGCTCCGATAATGACATAATGCGTCTCCGTCACATCCACCCTGGAAGCAGCAAAGTGGATCCATTTGGAGAGAACATTCCAAATGTGAGCAAACCGTCTCGCTCGCAAAACATGCGTCATGGCACAGCGTCTTTTAACACGGCGTACTCGTGAAATTTGAGGCGGCCCTTGACATAGCATTCCCAGTGCGTGGCATAGTAGATCGCAGCCGCGACCACAACCAAGATAAAGCCAGCATAGCTGTCATGCGTCTAAAGCCAGCATAAAATCAAGGCCACCAAGCCCAATTACACCAACATGTCAGGTTGTGTCGCGAGAGAGAAAAAAAGGAGGGAGAGAGAGGGAGAGAGGGAGGGAGGGAGGGAGGAAGGAATGAGCAAGCACGACAAGCAAAAAACACCTCACCTGTAGCATGACGGTCACGCCAACAACGACAACGACGGTGGACACGGCATCACAACCATGGTCAAAGAGTTCTCCCAATGGAGATGCATTGCCTGTGCGTCGCGCCTGCTTGCCATCCAAGTTATCCATGGTTTGATAAAAGAATAGTCCCAGCGCCGTCAAGACGTAGGCCCAACTGGGGACCTGTGGGACACAGAGCACACACGTCACTGAGCCTGGTGCTACACGATGAAGGAGGGACATGGCAACGGAAGTGCAGCAATAAAAAGCCTACCGCGACGGCAGATTGGACAACCCCCAACTTGGCGTGTAGAAGCGTAAGGTGGGGCTAGATGCTGAACAGCGGCGAACCGAGTTTTGCCATGTGGCAAACAAGTGCTCTTACCTGCAGTTGGCGATCCAAAAAGGAGCGACCTTCAACGCTATATTGGTGCTCTGCCAGGCTACGCATATGTGGCACGGGCCACGTGATTCGACATGTAACAGGTTTTGAAGCTGAAAACACCAGGGCAAGAGAGAAGAAAGGGCGAGTCAAAGAAGCAACAGGGTCGGCTTACCCGCGCAGAACCTCGGGCTTGAATAGCCGGAGCTTGGGTTTTGTTGATGCAGCCATGGTCTTGAGGTGGGAAGGTGTCAAATTTTTCGATAATAGTGCCCTGCTGGGTCGGTAAAAGGGACGTGCTGTTCTTGAGCCGACAAACGGGCCTGAACCAGTTCAGTCTGAAGCACGAGCCCGACAAGGTTGCAGATGGTGGAGCACAACCCCCCAAAAGCAAGGCAAAAAAGCAACAGCCGGGCAGCATGTGAGCGCGCCGCAGGCGCTTGCTGGTTTCTCGAAATAGCCTTCACAGCGCAAGCCCCTCTTCTTCGATCCCGACACGAGGGCACGAGGGTACCTGGCAACCAGAAGACTATAATGCACAAGACAATTGGTCCATTCACTCGTAACCAAGCCGCACAGCAAGGCAACACTGCCCAAAGCCAGCCAAGTCTAGTGCGAGCTGCCAAAATAATCGGAGAGGAGGTTGCCGCTCTCTCAGAGCCTCGAAAGGTAAGAGGAAATGCAACAGCTGTTGTGGACACGAACAACTCCTTGCTTGTGCAAGACACACACGTCGTCTGCAGGTGTTGTCAGAATGTATTGTCATCATTTTATTTCCCATGACATTGTTTTTTTCACACAATTCAGATTTCATGATGAGGCTTAACAGAGGACTGGTCAATTGAAACACTTAGGGGGCGAGGGGATTGAGCTGGTGGAGGGATCAACTGGGGGCGGGTATTGAGCCTGCGCGTTTACACGAGACAAAGCCGACGACTTCTTCGAGAGTGAGGAGGATCGTGGTAGGCCAGCTGGTTGGTTGCTGCTTGGGGCTGCTGCCGTGCAGCGTTCCGGCCAGTCGAGCTGTGAGATCGGCGAGCGTCATCACCTACACAGGTGGCCGGCAATTGCGCGCAGCAGTGAGACCATGTACCATGTAACATGATGCCATCAGCCAGCGAGTGGGTCAAAGAAAGGAGGTTACGCACCGTTGATTGTTCAATGCTTGCAGTATTGGCTGGGTGAAATTCATACAAGCCCGACCCTGGTGTTGCGGGTTCAAGCAAGCCATGCAGCACAAACGTGCCGTCATCGCCGCCATCAACCATCAACCGTGTCTGATCCGCTTGCAACAGCCGCGCCAACACCTGCGTCTGTCGTCGCTGCGTACGCTGTCTAGAGTACGGGTATTGCTGTCGAGTAAAGGCGGGCAGAGGCTGGGTTGCGTTGGCACGTGTGCTGGAGCGGCAAGCCAAATCATCTTCCTGCCAAAAGCTGCTCTGCGACACCGACACCGAAACTGCACCGGGATTGGTTGAGCCCGCGGTGGCCGCAGGGGACGGGCGCCAGCGATCCACAAAACGGCCCAGCACACTAGGCTCACGCAAATCAGGGAAGCTGCTCCGTCGACCCAGCTCGCCGCTCGTCCCCACTGATAAACTGGCTTGTGACATTTGGCTCATGCTCTTGGGAATGGGTGATTGCGATGGTAAAAGTGGTCGCGAGGGTGGGGGCGGGGGTACGGGCGGGAGCGGCAATGCTGGCGCATCATGCATCACGGGGCTCGGGGGCAGCAAGGACGGACTCAAATCTGGAGTCCATGGCGGGGGGACGCTCTCCAATTGTGCTGGCATACTCATGGCCAATCGGGGGCTCATCAGCGCGAGCTCGTTGCCTGGCGCCGCTTCGGGTCGAGTCCAGGAGACAGTGGGGCCGTGGGTGCGGCGATGTTCTGGTTCGGCGCCCAGGGATGCGCGCGCAGCAGCTCGATGCCGGGCCGCCCAGCGAGCCGCACTCCAGCGGTACAAATGCCCACAAGCAGCCCCCACAGCAGTGCCAGCTGCCAGTGCCGCCTGCCGTAGGGCTCGGCCTCCTTGGCGCACCCTATGTGCCAAAAAGCAGTCAGATGCACGTATCACACTGCAGACTCAAGAACACACCAAGACGAAGCACAACCACAACATTCAACCACATGGCCTCATACCTCGAGGCCCGTGCATTGTGGGTTGCTGCATCTTCAGCGCCGTCTGGCGCGGGTCGGGGGTGTGGGGGGCTGGCATACAGCGCAGGAGAGGATGTGCCTTTGACAGGGCCAACGTAACCGGTTGCGGGCTCGCCGGTCGCGACGGCGGGCTCAGTCCAGGCATGGCGGTGCGAGCACATGCGCTCCGGACAGCACATGCGCATGAGATAGACAACAGCGCACAGCAGGATGAGCGAAATCAAGGACGAGAATAGGGCCAAGCCTGTGGCCCAGCTGAGATGCAGGGCATCAAAGAGGTCACCCAGGCCAAAGCCGCCGCCGGAGGTGACCTCGTCATCAATTTCAGGATTAAAGTCTTCCACACAGTCCTCCACAACGGTGTTGTTACAGTCACAGTCGCAGCCCCCCAGACAATAGCAGACGGCGGACGTGGAAAAGGTGACGCTTTTATTGACAACAAGGTAGCCGACGGCATCGAAGACCAGGACGTCACAAAAGTGATCGCCAGCTTCCTCGCTGACCACGTAAATGGGGAGCTGAAGCTGGATAAAGGACGTGATTTCGCGCTCATAGCTGGCTGAGCCTCGCGCGTTGCCATGACAAATGACGCTCACAGACACAAGGGCCGTCATGTTGGGACAGTTGGAATAGATGTTGGCCAATATAAAGCCGTTTCCAGAGAGAGCCTCGAAATTGGGTGAGCCGAGCGCCAGTGTCATGTCGCGGCACACAGCCGTGTAAACGGTGAGGTCATCAGCATTGACAGAGATGGTGATGCTGCTAATGTGCTGCTCCACTGGAAAGCGGATGCCATACCGGCTTTCCTCGTCATCCTCAACCTGGGCAAACCCATACGGATTGTAGGCAGAGAGAAGGTTAAAGGGTCGCTTACCAGCGTTGACCAGGGCCTGATCGGCGAGAAAGAAGTCGCGCGGCTGATTATTCAAGCACGTGCCCTCGCTGACGCCGCAGCCTCCGCCCTTGCCATGCAAGTAAAAGGCTAGGGGCTCCACGCCGATCTTGTCGCAGGTGGAACCCGTCATGTCAATGTCCGACTTGTCCACGACCAGGTAGGTGTCCATTCCATCCTTGGTCTGCTCGTGGGTATGCCAGTTGTCAACCGTCTCCAAAATGGGAGCCAGCAAGGTTTTGGAGCTCATGTCACGCAACTGCACAGGCGTGGCAAAGTCCCCGCCAAAGACGACGGACACTGCACCGTCGCTCGTTAGACCCCCGCGTAGATGTGGTCCCACCTCCAAGACGCCCTGACAGCGAAAGTCGGCGTACTCGTCTGGCAATTCCACGGTGCAATCCGGGCTGGCAGCCGGCACATCATCCTGTGTGGCATGGCTGTAGCCGGGACCCACAGCGTACTTGCGGTAGATGGAGACGTACACCTTGAAGCGGATGTGGCCCGGATCAAAATCATAGACGCCGTACCAAAGCTCATCCGAGTATCTGAAGCAATGCGCGCTTTGTTGGCCTTTGCCAAAGAGGCCGCAGTCCAAATTGGCCCGATAGCTGTCGGTGGGCATGCCAATGCCCAGCTGGTCTGCTGTGGAGCAGCGGCAGCAAAAGCCTTGGGAGCCTTCCACCTTGGGCGCGATCAAGGGACAGACAGGGCAGCAAAGTGAAAAAGAGAAAAAGAAAACAAAGAAATAGCATGATGAGGATGAGTGCAGGCTACCTGTTTGCAGACTCAAGGGGGCAAACACGAACAAGCACTTCAACAGGTCAAACCATTGATAGAGAGCCTTGACGGACGGCTGCGACCAGACTCACTTTCTTGCCACCCCCATCAATGAGCCAGCCACAGCTGGGACTGGAGTGGTACGGACTGTCTTTACATCCCGTCTTGTCTCCTGAGCCAAAGAGGCCACCCAGTAGGGTTTGAACGGGTTGAGCGATTTCGTAGGGTTTGTTGTTGACTACACCACGGTAACGCAGGGGGTATTCAATCTAACCAGACACACGCTGCTGTTAGCAAAAGGCTCTGGTTCGGTAAGCAAGCTGGCGCAGGCCGCACCGATACACTGGTTTTTTGCACCACAATGATAAACTCATTCTCGCTGTCGCTGATGGCCCCATCCTCCGTGCGAGACTGGGTGAGGTGATAATACTCGCCACCGCCCGTGCTGCCCAAGACGCCAAGATTGAGAACCATCTTACGCTCGCAATTGGGCTCCAGGCTTCCATCTCGCAAACACCGTTCAATCTGCCCAGCTGCTTTGATTTGGGCTTGAACAGCAGGGGATAAACCCATGATCGTGAAACAGGCCAGCAATGCAGTGAACCAGAGCATGGCGCTGGTGTGGCAGCGCCGAGGATGATGGCCGTGTCTCTCTAATGACGAGTCCACTGGAACCCGCTCGACCAAGTAGTGGCGGCAGAAAATGCGGCATGCCAACCTTGAGCGGAAAAGTTGCTTCGCGTTGCTATCTCCCTAACCAGGACAACCTTTCTTTCCAACGCCATCGCCACCAGGGTGGAGGCAGATCCCATTGCTACCACAACCGATCGAGTGAGAATGATCGCACCAGCCATCCCAGCCGCTTTTTTCATTGGGCAAGTTGGGGTCGGGCGCTGGTTCGGCACCCGTTCAAAATCCTGTCCGCAGTTTTTTTTCCGCAAGGGCCATCACGCTGACATATAAAACGCGACCAAAATCACACTTTAAATACATTTACTGCTTGTAATGGTCACTAGTTACGCTTGCTGTAAAGTGCGTGACATTGGGCTGTTGCCGTGCATGCAGGTATGCGCGGCGGACAGAGCCGTTCTCGGGTAACGACGAACAGTGGCACGACGATGGTATCACAACCATCGGCATGGCGAAGGAGTACAACGCACAACGCACAACGCAGAACAGGCTCCGCTCAGCTTGGCTTGGCTTGGCTTGGTGCACTGCCCGCTTGCGGACATTCAGATCCCATTGCCACCTGTCGTTGCGAATCCCATGCGTGCATTCGGTGAATCGTGCGTTGAATCTGGCAGCTTCCGCGTCACACTTTTCCCACTTGCGTTCACCACTTGACCCCACCGAGTGCAACAGGTTAGTCCAGCTGCCGCCGCCTCATTCCTCGACCCCAACGAGATACTCTCCAGTGGGCAGGAATTTCTCTGCTTCCATGCAGCTATTGTTTGAACGCTGTTGGCTCTTTCACGGGTGGTGATCCAACTACACCTGCAATTGCTCTCTGCCAGAGACACCCGAAGCTGCCTGCTCTCACGGGCACCCATCCTGTACTATAGCTTGCGCAGCCCATTTTCCGGATCGTCCGGATCCTCGTCGTGTGCTGCACCCAGTCCAAGGCAGCCCGACCCGTGCCCCCTTTGCCTTGCACCGAGCAGGCAAAGGTTGATATCACGAGGGCCTCGGTTTTCTCGTCCACTTGCAAGCCGCCTGCACACGAATCGCTCCAAAAGACATTGCTGCTTTTGTACGCGCGCACGGCCTGTTGTCGTGTCTGAAGCGACTTCCTCAAGCCGCCTGTTAGCTCGCCTCTTGACACCCTCGTCATGGCGACAACAACGCCGGCACAAAAGTTTCGTGCTGGAGTTGGCCGGCGAGCCGTCTTGATCTGTGCTTGCGCCTTACTCGGGGCTTTGGTTGCCCCGACTGCTGCCTACACAGACCTGGATCTCCTGGAGTACGCACCACTAGACGGCTCTCACACGCGCGATGGCCACGTCGGTGCCACCTTGCACTCGCGTTGGCAGGGCGTGCCTCGCGTGCGGCGAGCCGATGCTACTTATGATGCACACAGCCAAAACACTGACGAGACCCCTGATGCCCATTTGGCGCCGGCCCCACGTATTGCAGTGGATGCTTTGCTTCCGGGTGTGATGCCAGATGGCGTTTCTCACACCCACAACGCGCTGCTGCCCTACTTTGCCCTCTTTGTCAACCTTGATCTCCTGCAGCTGGCTGAACAGGAGCGGATTTGCCGAGTCAATGCCACTGCCACAAACTGCACCGTTGCTATCAACAACGCAAGCTCCGTGCTTGACGCCTCGCAGATCTACGGCGTCAATGCTGCTGATCATGCCCAAATCCGCACTGGAACCGATGGTACGATTCGCACCTTGCACACGGGGGCACTTGAGCATCTGACACGGTGCCAAGGGCTGGCCTGCGTGCTGGCCACCCACGTCCAATCGAGCACCCGTGGTCTGGTGACCGCCTTCAAGCTGATTTTCGAGCGCGAGCACAACCGCTGGTGCCGCACGCTGAAGCATGCCTTCCCCAGCTGGGGGGATCAGGAGCTCTTTGATGAGGCACGCAAGCATGTGATTGCCGTGTTGCAGTCAGTCACCTACGGCGAGCTTCTACCAGCACTCCTGGGTGAAACCTGCCCCCGCATGGATGGCAACTCCTTGGATACGGGCACCGAGTACATGCCGGAGGACGATAGCGCTCAGGTACGAGGGCTAGACACGCGCTCGACCATTGTCATCCCCGCGTCGTGCCACTGCCCGTGGTCTTAGACCTGTCCCATCTCACAGTAATTTGGATTGGTTTTGCTTTTGTTCGCTCGTGGCGCTTTGAACCTTGCTTTTAGGTGGGACCCGAATATGTTGCGGCGGCAGATCTGCTCATGGCCACGGTGCCTCAGCGAGTAGAGCGCCGTGCTGTACGCGACAGGCGCGTGGCCCGCGACGCTGAGGTGCACGATCTGTTGGAGAATCTACTTGACAACACCACCATAACCATTGAGGAAGTGGCCACGCTCATTCTTGGCGCCACCTACCAACCCGCCAACCTCTTTATGGGTGAAGCCAGCAACAGTGCCATTTCGCGCTTTGACATTGTTGAGAGTGCCATTGAACGGGCCCGTGCCCTGGGCGTAGTCCCGTACAACCAGCTGCGCCGCGCATACGGCCTGGATACGGCTGCCGACTTTGACGAAGTGACCACCGACGGCCGTATTGCTTACCTGTTGCGCACCAGCTATGGTGCCAACATTGAAGAGTTGGACGCATTTGTTGGAGCGGCTGCCGAGGAGCCCATTCGCGGCAGCATCTTTGGCGAAACACTCTCTCGCGTAATTTGCGGAACCTTTGCCCGCCTGCGCAAAAACGATCCTCTACACTACGAAAGCGGCGCCCACTTCAACGCGTCTGAGCTTGGCCGCCTGCATCGCATTAGCCTCGGCAACATCCTGCGTGCCAACGTGCCCGAGCTCGCGAGCATCAACCTCAATCGGGTCTTTTACCTGCCAGAGCCACAGAACACGGAAGCCGTCAACGTCGACTGCGTTGTTTCGGAGTGGATGACCACCGGTCCCTGCTCGCATTACTGCGGCGGTGGTTCCCGCCCGCAGGTGCGCAAGGTGCTTCGTGCGCCGCGCGGTGCTGGTCTTCCCTGCCCCGAACTGCGCCGCGCTGTTGGCTGCAACTTGAAGCGCTGCACGGATGATGACTTGAGCAACATTAGCGCCACGCGGTCCTGTGTTGTGGGATTCTGGGCCAACTATGGCCCATGCCTCAACGGGTCTCAAGTTCAGGGTCGCCCAGTGCTGCGCCCTCCCACCACGGGTGTGGATGACTGCCCCGACGTCGAGCGTCGCATCTCGTGCACAGACAATATGCTGACTGCTGCCGAATTGGAGGAGGCCGACGACGACGCCCAGCTTCTCGAGCCTACCGAGGAGCCTGACGAGGACGAGAACGAGGAGGACGAAGGAGAGACCGAGCCGGAGACGTGCGTCATGTCCGACTGGTCGGAGCTCTCTCCCTGCAGCCGTTCGTGTGGGGGTGGTGTACAAATGCAGCAACGGACCATCATCTCGCGCCCTTCGTACAAGACCAAATGCCCGAGCTTGGTCAAGGTGATGCAGTGCAATCTGCATCCCTGTGCTTCAACCCCGCCGACAGCGGGAGTTGGCACAACCACATCCACCGATGATGCAGGTACCGAGGCCAGTGCGGGCCAGGCATCTTGTGCCGGTCAGGTAGTTGTCCTTCAGGGTCGCCGTCAGCAGGCGTGCAGTGACTTGGCGCACGGCGCCACCTGCAGTTGGCTCACCGAAAACGAGATGCAGCGGTGCTCGGTACGTTTTGAAATAGCCTCCGTGCTCTTGCCTGCATGTTGCGACGGGTTGTCGTGCTTGTGTCGCGCGTCGGCATAGGGCCAGGAGCCTGCATCACCCTTTTTTTCAGTACCACGGGGCCTCACTCACACATCTTGGCGGACAATTCCATGCGCTTTTAGGTCTCGTGCTCCAATGGCACGCTCAGTGCGGCTGCCTGCATCACCGTGCAGAACGAAAACAAGGACCTCTCCGAGGCCGAGAATGGGTCAGGGGATAGCGGGTCGCAGGTGGGCGGTGATGACGCACGGGGCAAGTACGGTACCATCACCGCAATGTTGGTCGGCGTGGCCCTGGTCATTGGCCTTTTGGCTGCGGCATATACATGGCATCGCCACCGTAACTCGGCGCGTCAAGAGCTTTCGTCTTCGTTGGCCTCGTCCACCCTGACCATGTTATCAGATCCCACCATGTTGGATCCCGTGGCACCCATGACCGCGCCCACCAATGCTGGCCTGTCGCCGCCGGGTCGCCTGAAACGTCGCACGTCAGACCTATTGCCCGTTGGTGAGCACGAAAGCATGGGTGATTTTGACACAGAGCCCGAGGCAAGCACAGCGACGGCTGTGCGCGCCCCTGCTGGCCCGGGTCTGCATGGTCGCCACGGCTATGAACGGCGTGCCTCACTCAAGTACATTGGTGGTTTGGAGAACCCTCAGTCTGAGGCTTGAGACACGACAAGAGGCAAGCTATCCGCACCATTCTGCTGTGCTCTTCAAGCGTTTTTTCGGCCACTTCCCCCACAAACCCTATTTCCATTGTCCAAGTGTTGTCACGTCAACATTTTGGCCGGAGAGTCAACTCGCTTCGTCAGCCTGCAAATAATATGATCTACACCAAAAGTTCCACCTGAGCCTGCCATGGCGAGCCTGTTGGCGTTTGATGTGTCTCCGTGCCCTAGCATGCGGGATGCAAATACACGAAGCGCAGCGAAGCATCGGGGCTCGTTTGCTTTGAGCTTTGGCGACAGATCGATTCATATCAGACACGTGACATTTTCAATTGATTTGATGTATTGCAGTTTGACACCGCTGTAGCGCTTCCAGCCGCGTCTGGGCGGCCGACCCGCGACACGCCAGCCTAAAAAGGGGCCAGATGTTTGCAAAGAATGCAAGGATGTCCGTCAAGCATGCAAGCCGTCAAGCTCACACATGAAAAGTAATTGAGACATGCAACAGGAAACACATTCAAAGATGGGCGGGAGACATGACTAGACTTCATCATCCGAGTCAGGCGGAGTGACAATTCCATTGTCGTCCGAGCCTGGCGGGGTAGCCGGGTTGAAGCCACCCTCGTCCGAACCAGGCGGGGTTGGCACGTGATCGTCGTCTGCGTCGGGCGGCGGAGTTGTGGGATCGTGGAAGGTCTCTTCCTCGTCATCAGATCCAGGAGGGGTGGCAATTCCATCCGACCCCGGCGGGGTGCTAATTCCATCCGACCCGGGCGGGGTGGTGACAGTGTGACCAGCGCCCTCGGCATTTGTGCGCGACGCCACGGGAGTCATATCCACGTCGCGGGGATATTCAACAACATCAGCTCCAGGGTAGGCATAGGGGAGAGTTGAACCGAAATTGGCCATGGCCTCCTTTTGCTCCTCAAGATAGGCCTCCTCCTCTTCACTGTCAGACACGGGTGGCGGTGTGCCGGGTGGCGTGTGCGGACCACGTCGGCCTAGGCTCATGCCAACTGAGGCAGAAATCAAGATAATAGTATGGCACGGGAGAAGGGGGTGGGGGGAAGAGGGCGAACAGGTGAGCTCTCATCAGAGTCAATGGGGGGAGCGAACAAATGAACAAATGCAAAGGCACGAAAAAAAAAGCATAGAGGGAAGGAGTCAGCACGTACCAGCAGACGGGGCCGATGTGGTTTTTCGGGATTGCACAGTAGCTGGCGCGGGACGTCGCTGCTGTACGATGCCGTGTGACGGTGAAAGGCAAGTCATCGTGTCACAAAAGTATTGTACAAAAACAAACAAGCCAAACAAAACCAAACAAAGCAACGGTGTTGGCGAGCGAAGCAGTGTGAGAGCAACCAGGGCAGACGGGACAGTGGCTGGCGCAGGATAGAAGCATGTCTTTTGCGGAATGCATCCTGACCAACCTCGGGACTGATGGGTTGTACCACAAGATCCTCCACCTAGCCAAATGCGGGAGGGGAGGGATGCCATTGGATGAAAACGGTGACACCCACGGGTTGTGCCATTGAGGGGTGAATAATAGGAGTAAAGGGCAACAAGGTTGCGCGACTCACATCGTGATGATCGGTTGCTGCTCGCTTTTTGTGTTGACGCTTCGGCTTGTCTCCCTCGAGCTGCGGGGTGACGTATTGAGGGGTTGCAGGGAGTCAAGGTGGCGGATCGCTGGCGGGATGTCTGATGCGGGGTGCAAAGAACACGGGAGTGGCGTTGGCTGCAAGGGTACCTCGCGTTGCTGAGCCATGCGGGCCATGGCGATTTTGGCCTTTTCCTCGATGGAGGCGGTCTGGTCTTTGCTCAGCTTGACCTTGATGGTGACCTTGGAGGCAATGGCTTGATTACGGATGGCCTTGAGCTCTTCCATTCGACTTTGCAGCAGCTCTTCTGCCGTAGTCAGCGGCCCCGTGGCCCACTTGGCGCGCCCCATGTTGCAGTTTTGAATGGCTTGGAGCGACCGTGAGCACGCCAGCTGAGGGCCGGTCCACCGGCCCGACCTCTCCCTGAGAATTAAAAAAAAAAAGGAAGCAGCAGAACAAAACAAGAGAGAACGTCTCTAGCTCACAAGAGAAAGAGAGAGAGAGAGAAAAAGAACAAGAATGCCAGTCAAAACCCGCTGACACGAATCAAGCCGTCTTGACCCCGCGAAATCGCCGGTGCGGCCGGATCCAACAGCAGCAGCAGGAAGAGGAGAAAAAAAACAAAAAAACGGGCTGTTGATGGCTCTGAACGGTAGTGTAACTTTTATCACGCTTTTGAATGGGCTCTCTCTCTCTCTCTCTCTCTCTCTCATCAAACTCTCTCTCAAACTCTCTCTCGCTCTCTCTCTCTCTCAAACAAACGCGGCGCGTTTTTGATTGAGCTTTTGCTTTGCGACCTCGTGCAGATGGCTTCGGCGCTGCGGCAGCGGCTGCTGCGGGCAGTGATTTACGAGGTTAGGCAGATGTCTTGGTGTTGTTGGCGCGCTCAGAGCACAGGGTTGGCTTTTGACTCATGATTGCTTCGGCTCGCTGCCCCGTCCCGCCCTGGCTCACTTGCGGACGTTGGACGTTGATGACAGGATAACCACTTGGTGGCCTTGAACAAGTGGCGCGGCCTGGCCGTGCAGGATGCCGCGGGTTCACCATCAACCGTCCTAAGCAACGTGGACGTCTTTCAGCAGAATAAGGATGGCTTTGTGCCTCGGTACGAGACTACAACCGTGGCCTGCCCTTGTTGATCCTGCCGTTGCTCTGCTTCACACATATACCCGCCCTCAACGGAAACTGGCTTTTGGCACCACTCTTTATCCTCCCTCTAGGTTGGCGCATCGGCTGGATCAAAACACAACCGGCGTGCTGGTTCTGGCCAAAACGGCAGAGGCAGTCTTGCGCTTGAATCGCCTCTTCCAGCTTGGCGCCGTAGCCAAAACCTACGAGGCCGTGCTTGCAGGCCAAGTCACCAAGCCCACGGGCACCCTGAAGGGCATTCCCGAGCTGATCACGGAAGAAGAGGATGCGAATTCAGAGCTCACATCCAATCAGCCCCTGTTCAAGACATCAGCGAGCTGGAGCCATAGTACAGCCCAGAGCCACTACACCGTGCTGGCCTCAGCACAAGTCAATGATGGCCGGCCGAGTCGCACCAAGCCTTGGCTGACACGTGTGGAGCTGCGACCCACCACGGGCTACAAGCATCAGCTACGCATCCAATGTGCCGATGGACTGCGCGCGCCCGTGCTGGGGGACAAGCGCTATGGTGGAGGTCAGGAACAGGTCTCGCCCATCATTCTTCAACATCTTCAACGCCATGGTTTGCGCACCGCGGCCCACCCCTATGGCCTGGTCATGCACCTACACGCCAAACAGCTTGTTATCCCAGGCTACAATTGGGACGGCTCAGACCTGGTCCTTCGCGCCACGCTGCCAGACCACATGCAGCTGACCATCGACGCCTGCGGGCTGCATCCAGACCAGCAGTCAAGACCGACCCGACAGCCCACTCGACAGACAGCCTGATGAGTGTGAAGTGAAATGCACCTCTCCTTCCCTTTTTTTTATTATCATCATTTTTTTTGGCGGGGTTGTTGTTCACCACCCCCGCCTCGCTGGCCGTCGGGTGGAAGCGTCTGCGACGCGCACGAATTGAAGCAAGCTCGATCAGTTTTTTTTTTCTGTCTTTTTTCAGAGAAGCCGTTGATGTCAGACAACAACAACGGTAATAATTGTAAGACAAGTTGACTGCGTTGATCTCGGAGCGGTTTCCGGAGCGTGAGTTGGCTCCGTGGAGCTGCGTGGCTCCGTGGAGCCATGCACGTCGGCAGCGCTGGCAATCAACGGCCCGCCTGCCCTTCCAGCTCAACCAGGTCTCTCATTTTTCCTGCTGGTACCAGCCCGATACCTCTTCCTCCTCCTCCTACCTGCCCATCCAAAGGCGACTCACCAGACAGCACATCCCGACCACTGATCAATTCCCACACACACATCCCGCTGCCAGCTCCATCCAGCTCCTGCTCCTGTTCTCGTGGAGGGACGGGACGGTGGGTTCATTTTACAAATCACAACGCCCACAAAGAGTGTTGGCGTGTTGTCGCGACCATCACACCATGCAGCAGACGCTGAGTACGGACGCCATGCCAGCCGCAAACATGCCCTGTACCGCCAACGGCCCTGCCAACCAAAACCAGGGTCGCCCCCTCAAGCACAATGGTCAAGCTTTCAAGTCGGGCGATTGGATTTGCCCCGGCTGTGGCAATCACAACTTTTCCAAGGTACCAAGACACTGCTTTGCTCGCTTGTCTTTACCTCCTCCCCACATGCATGGCGTGTGTGCAGCTCCTCGTCGCTTCTTGCTCCAACGATCTCACCATTGGCGTGCGCTTGTGGCATTCTAGCGCCGTATCTGCCACAACGCCAAGTGCCGACATGATCGACAAAGGTAAGCTTCAACCCATTCAACGAGGTGCAATCAGCGCTTTGCTGATCACCAACATCAATCATTGCCATCCAAAGCCTCACTGAACCTGACCTTGTTCGTGCCAATGTTAGCACCCCGGGACTTGGAGTTGCCCCACCAAGTTCGGAAGAACTGCAGCAAGCCACCTCCACATTCAACAACGCCGCAGCAACCAACAACACAGCGCCCGCTTTAAGATTGCCCACGCCAAATCCGCACCAAACCCAACCGTCCTTGACACACCCATTGGCACAGAGCCAAGCTGAACTTTTGCCCCAGCTTCGGGCCCTCACGGGCTTGCCAGCCGACGCCTCGGAAGAAACCATTCTGACTGCCCTCCTCATCCAACGCACCCAGGCTCTGCACGGGCAAGCCCCGCAATCGCAACAGCAGCAACAACAACAGCAACAACAGCGTCATCAGCAGCATCAGATCCGCCAGCGCTCGGCATCGCCATCACAATCTGTGCGACACCGCCCCAACCCGGCTGCCCCGAGCGCCTGGTCCTCTTGGAGCAATCCTGGACTAGACCACCCCACCTACCATCATGGCGCCATGACCCCTGAACCTCACCCTTCATGGGATACCAACAGTCGTTCTCAATCCGCACCCAAGCATGCGGCCCGCAACATCTTTGACTGGGCTTCCAGCGAAAATGAGCCGTCGGGCCCCTCCCCACTACTCGAGCAACATGGCGATCTGTCTATTGAAAATGACTCACCATTGCCCGCCGACCTACTGCGCGCCCTTTCCCCATGGCCTGACACCGGAAGCATCACCAACACGCCATGGTCACCCTCGTAAGTCCAATCCCGCCCCTTTCAGGGGTTGGTCCATGATTCGCATAAAATGCGGAATTGCGCGCGCATGCCCATGGGGGGACAGCTCATTTGTTTCCCTGTCTCTTGTTTGATTGCGATGGCCAATCATAGCTTGCCATCGGACATGGCATCACCACTCAAATGGAATAGTGAAGCATCCGTACCCTATGCCACGGATCCCACAGACTCTTGGAACCGACCCGAGTCACCTACATTGCGTGTTGCAAATCCAAGCCCACTCGACATGGGCCTGCACTTTACGGCACAGCCCGTTCAAGCAGGTTTGGCTCAGCCCGCTACAAGCTCCCACTCGTCTTCTGAGAAGGCGCTTCAAATGAATGCCAGCAGCGTGCCCTTCTACCCGAGCCCAAATCTCGGGCAACTGGCCTCGCGGCGACCATATCGAACAAGCCATTGCGCTGCCTTCCCCGTGCACCAAACATATTCCTGGAGCGCCGTGGCTTAAGACCCCGTAATCCATGAGGAGAGTCTTGGATTTTATTTTCAAATGGTCTGGCATGAACGTATTCCATAAGGATGTGCCTCTTTGTGCCATATTCATATCTTCGCTTTGGTACTGCGTATCTTGAAGAGCTTCGTGGCAATGACGCCGCGCACTCTTCTCAAAACTTTGGATCACACAAAATTGATCATAAATCGCGTTTCAGAATTTCTGTTGTTCCTTTTCTGTCAACTGTTTGGTTTGTGCATGAAACCTGGACCATGCTCATGGATAAACAAGAGGTGAAAATTAAATTGCAACTCAGTTGCATGTGAACCCGCACACAGATAGGTAAGCTCAGACCGCCCCTTCATGAAACAACGACAGCAACAAGAAAGGCTGCAAACGAGCTCAAAAAGGAGCCTAGCGAAATGACTTTTTGCGGCGGACCGGGGAGCCAAGTGCCGCCTCGTGTGCTGCCGCTGTGTGCCCGGTGTCCGACAGGCTAGACGGCGGTGGTTGCGCTGCAGAAGAAGGCACGGGCTCGCTGCTGCCACCACCGCTCGTGGATTCATGAGGAGCGGCATCTCCAGGCGCTGCCGTAGTTGGGCTAGAAGTCGAAGGGGTGACCCCAACAGATGGTAAATTGGCCATGGAAGCGCTGCCAGAGGCCACTACACCCCGAAGACCACCCTCACGTCGTGGACGGTCGGGACGGGAAAATGCAAACACTTCCAGGCTAGCCATGCTGCTCGCACGCGTTGGCACGCGCGCTGAACCAGCACGCTTCTGCCGCTGCTGTTGCGAGTAGAGTGAAGGCTGACTCGCCTCCTCGCTTGTCGTCGAGCCAATGGCCCGTGCTTCCTCCTCGTCCTCTGAAGAGTCTGAACTCAGCACGTCTGCAGGGCGACTAGACGAAGGCTGCACCGTTTCCTCCTCGGGCGTGGCCAAAACTTCTTGCGTAATTTTGGCTCTCTTGGCAGCCACATGTCGCATTGAAGGTGCAAAATCTGAATCCGAGTCTTCCTCTAGCACTGCGTCCAATTCAGCGTCCTCCTCCTCATCCCTATTCCCATGGTCGTCCTCACCCCCCTCACGGGCCTCCGAGTCAGGTCTTCCTTGCTCTTGATCTCTTTGAGCGGCAGCAGATAATCCAACAGCGCTTGCATTTCGAGATTGACGTTGCTGGGCTCGCTCCAAGCGCTTCGCCTTGACCCGGCTGAGTGTGGCAGCTTGACTGAAAAACATGTAGCCTGCTTGTGTGGGGTGAGGCCCTTGATTCTGCCCAGCAGAGTCTTCGCCAAGAACCCCGTCAAGGCTTTGGGAAGAAGTATTGCCAGCATTAGTCGGGCTGTGCGGGCCATGTGGAGCATTATTCCCAGGGCCAGGGCCCCCTTCACCGCTCCCATCACTGGGTTTGATTGGACCCCGCGAGGTTGCCCAGCCTTGATTGGTTTGTAGCCGCGTCGTGCCAAGCAGGTCAGGAAAGCCCAGCTTTTCCAGAACGAGCGCCTCTTGAGCAAGGTACTCGGCCTCGGCATCGTCTGGAAAGCATGAATGCAGCGGACTACATGCCCCCAAAAGGGAGGCACCCTAAGCAGCGGCAAGGTAAATCAGACGTACGCCCAAGAATGGACGCAGCATCATCGGCAGGGTTGTCAAGCTGAAAGAAAAAAAAGAAGAAGAAAAAGAAAAGACACATAGCAAATTCACAAATGAAGAGGGCCTACCTGCATGGAAGACTCGATGATGGTCACGGCCACAACAGCATCCATAAGCGTGACCTCGCCGTGGCACATGATGCGCGCATGCGCCTGGGCCAAGCGCACCAACGATTCCAACAGGCGAATGGTCGTTCGAGCTGTTAGGGAGGTGTCGGCCATGCGTTGCAGCTGTCGAACCAAGAGTTAAAATAAGGATGGAAGAAGGTGAGTCAGAAGCCTTCGCTTGCGCGCGTTGCACTACCCCATGTCCGGCTCATGACCCTGGCGCTGCCTCGAGTCCTTGACGCGTTGCAGCCAGTTTACACACCTGGTAATAACGAGATAGAACCCGCTCAGCGGGTTTTGACAGACCAGGATCGAAAGACTTGATGTATGCCAAGTAGGCCTTGAGCTTGTTCATGCCCCACAGGTCTGTCGCTCCGCCATTGAGATCACGCGATGGCTGCTGAGTCCCCGGGTTCGATGTTCGCTCCGAACACTCGCCAAGGATAAAGTCTGACACGACCGTATCCCACTCGGCGTTCTTCACGTCCAGAAGTACCATGATAATGTCAAAACGGGAGAGGAGTGGCGAGGCCATGGCGACATTGATGCTAAGGGATGACTCGACGTCGTAGGAGCCTACCACACATGAGAGGTGAGTATTGCAAACGCAAGGTCCACTCGGAAAACGCGGATGACTGAGTTAGGTCCCTAACCCTTGGCCTGACCTTTAGGGTTGGTAGCAGCAAGAACAGAGGTGCGCGTTTTGAGCTTGCAAACAAGGCCTGCCTTGGCCACGCTAAGGGTCTGTTGTTCCATGGCCTAGAGGAGGAGAAATATACAAGGACGTTTGAATTGAGTCCTGAGTCCTGGGTTATTGGGGGCGTGAGAGGCGCAAGCTTACCTCATGAATGGCACCACGGTCGTGCTCGCGAATGCCGTTGAATTCGTCAATGCAACAGAGGCCCCCGTCGGCCAAAACGAGGGCACCCGCCTCAAGAGTCCATTCGCCTGGTGCCGGCCGAAATTCGAAGCTTGAGAAGGAGGCAAGTATGGCGGCATTGGCAGCAGCAGCAGCAACAACAACACCATCACCAACAATAACAACAATGACAACAATGACAACAACGGAACATATAAAACAAAAAGAGAAAGACTACCAGACGAAAAAATAGGTGAAGACAGGAACTTGGTCGAGGAAAAACAAAGCTGTTCTTTGCACACCGAATCAACTTGCCATCTTCCTTGACAGCCGTCACGGTGAGACCGGCACTGGTCGATCCCACGCCCGTTGTAAGGACGGAGCGAGGAATGAGCTTGGCCGCATACTTGAGAAATTGGCTTTTCCCGGTACCAGGGTCTCCAACGAGCAGAAGGTGAGACTCGCCCCGTGTCCGCGTGCCCGTCGCATCGACATGTGGCACGCCACCCGTCATGACCAACATCACGGCAATCTTCACCACGTAGAGTCCATAGACCTGGGGGCAAAAAGAAGCGATAATTTCGTTGCGCTGGGACAGTGGACGCTCGGGCCGTAGGGACCAATGCCGCTCAAACTGCTGCCGCAGATCATCTGACACACCGGCAGCCATGAGTCAAGGCTAGCACGCACGGCAGGTTCAGTTGAGCAGTGCAGGCAAGAGAGGGCGCAAACCGGTGATGTTAACGGCGGCAACTTTGTCGTTGGTAATGACGACGCTATTGGCTTCGAGAACAAGTTCCGTGACGCAGCTGCATGGGTTTGGGGAGCGGCGCCAAGTGGACAAGCGTACCATGAACACGACCACCGAGGCTGACAGCGCCAAACATGTGCTGGGAAGAATTTTACTGCTGTGAGCGCCACGGACCGCTCATCAGGCTTCTCAGCGAGCCAGCGTTGGCGGACCACGGCCGACACATCAACGTCGTCTCCCGCCTTGCAGCTGTCCACCAAGTCATGCTGCATTGATTGGGCCGCAAGCCAGGGAGGGGGAGGAGATGCACGACCACATATCATGAGTGTTTGGTAAACAGGCCCCGAGTTGGACAGCGCATGCCATGGGAGGCTGAAGATGACTGCGAACCAGCAAGATGACATGAATCGACTGTGGAATTGTACCAAACTCCAGACTGTTCATGCATTGCTGCATCTATACCAATAAGCAAACGAATGTTGGGTCAGGGCCAGGAAGCGGTAGACAAACGGCCAGCAGTTGAACACAGCGTTGCTTGCTCGAGGCAGAGACGAACCTTGATATCTTGGTAGTCGCAGCAGAGGTGGGGCTGGATCGTGCCGACGGATTTGAATTTTCGACCATCACAAGCCCCAGTGGGGCAGGAGGTTGGAGTACGAATGGCAAAGTTTTGTTCAATCTCAGCTTGTTGTAGAAAAACCGTGCCGCACTGCATGCATGTGTATTCGCGTTTGAGCTCTAGGGTGCGCACGCTGCTCACGCGTACCACCGTACCTAGCCATGCGCGTGGGTGGACAAGAGAAGTGTCATCTGTGATCGACATTCAAAGCTCTGCGCGACAAGGATCGGTAGTGATGACATCCTGGGTGATGAGCCAAGAGGACCAACCGCGAACCCAGCAGAGTTTATTGAGGTCGGTAGCCGAGGGCAGCTGGTCGTTGATGCAAGTAGTGGGAAATCGGATGCGAGGTTGCACCTGCTTCTTTAAGCTCTGCCCATGGAAGATAAGGGTGTTGAAGCGTGGTGAGGGGACACGCGAGCAGCCAAATCAATGGCAAGACCTCGGCCCAAAGCCAAAGCCAAAGCCAATACGGCTGATCAAGTCCACTTTTCCACGTCTCGCTTTGCCCTGAGGTGTCCATGCTCTCCGCGACGTACCATGTCGCGTTCGAGCGGATGCTCGTTCTTGATGCGGCGCTGAGCACCAATTAGAACTTGCTGAAGACGAGCAAGCTCACGGTCCGGCTGCTCACGCAGCATCTCGCAATAGCCACTAATGTCCAGTACCTCATTGCTACCATGCCCGAGACAGAGACGGCAGAGCGGGTCAAGAGAAAGATAGACGACGCCCCTCAGCTGGCGCAAGGACCGTTTTTTGCAGTGCAAGATGTCAGGCAGTACGTACTCAAAGTAAAAGGGGATCATCTCATCCGTGGGCGGAAGCAGGAGCATGTTCTCTCTCTCTCTCTCTCTTTAAAACTCTGATTCTTTCACTGCCTTCGTTGTCTGTAATTTGGTTCTTCTTTTTTTTTTGTTTTTTTTCTCTGTTACTGTGCTTCCTTTTGACTTGTGGCTTTGCTGGCTTCACTCGACTGACATGTGAGAACCAGTACATTACGTCTTTTAGCGGCCATTCACTTTGCTCGGCTCTTTTCCCCGTGTCCCATGCACGACCGGACGATCAAATCCGTCGGATTCGCCGCCCTCACACTGTGATTGCATCAAGGAGAACTTTACAGATGCAACGATGCGTGCTCCGACGCCCTATTGTCTGACATTTCCGAACTGCAGCATGCGGGTGGTCCAACGGTTATCGTAGCAAATATCAGACTTTTCGTACTTTCAAACGTAACTTATGTGCAACTTAATGTCGTTAATAAGTCTATCATTGCAGCTGACGATTGGGTATTTTTTTTTTTTTTTTGGGAACGACAACGACGACGACGACGACGACGACGACGACGACGACGACGACGCGGTCATCATCTTGTCGCATCGCTGAAACGCCAGCAGCGATCCGACCGGAAGCGCACTCTGGTCAGCAGGTTGAAAGGCCGTGCATTCAAGAAGTACACTGGCTTGATATCATCTGGACTTTGGACGTGCCCACGGCAAGCTCTTCTCAAGATTGCCGCTGGGATTTGAGTGGCGACCAGATCTTGGCTTTGCACTGCCTGACGAGAGGCAGCGGCGACATGTTTCACGGACCCCAAAGAGGTCTGTTCCTGCGTGCACCGCGCCGCGACTGGCTCGTGGCCGCTCTCTCTGCAGTGGTTATATTGATGGTGCATGGCACCGTGGTACGCGCCCAAACCATCACCGCTGCCGAGACTACCCAACCTGCCTCCATCACTGCCGCCTCGACCACGCTCGCAGCCACGACGCGAACCAAGGCACCCCACCGATGTGATGAGCGCGTATGTGAAGTGTTGCACCGAGAAGTCTGTCATGACAAGACAACGGCTGATTGCGGCCCATGCAAGGCTCTCTACATGAGCGAGACCTCACCCAACATCGGCAACACGCCCTGCGGTACGCCCCGTTGTTCTCCATCCCACTTTTATTTGTGATCGTTCTTCTTTTTTTTTTTTTCACATCCCCCTTTCTCTGGCCCTCCTTGGCTTTGTTTGCTCGCCAATGTACAGTCCGTCTTGTGCCAGACAACCAAGGCAATGAACAAAGCACTGCCGACCTGGACTGGCCTGAACTGCCTGATGAACATCAAGACAAAGGTGACAGCAACAGCAGTAATGGGAATAAATCCCGCTCACCGACTTTTCTTGCCGGCATGGTGGGTTCCGTGCGCAATACAATCCGACATGCCTTATTTCCAGCTCTGAACTTGGCCCTTTTTGCTCATCATTCCGATCCACCTGTCACAGCTCTTGGTTGTCATGTGCGTGGTGGGCACCATCGCCTTTGTGTTTTATCGCCTCAATCGGAACTCTCGTCGCATCTTTGAGGTAAGCGATACCGCTCTGGGCTGGTCTCAGGAGTTGCAAGCAAATACTTAGGGATGGCATACATGCTGCACCTGTGGGCTAAGAATCTCCTGTTGGTCCACATAGCTTCGGCACGACCTGAATGCAGGGGATGATGACGACCAAGAAACCCTGATTGATGAGGAAGGGCGCGTCATGGGTTTCCACCGCTACAAGGCCAAGAAGCAGAAGAATCGCTTTGCATCTCTTGACCTCTCGGACGATGACGACGACGACGACGAGCAGAGTGACTTGGATGAAGATTTCGCCGAAGAGGCGCAACACCTCGTCTAGCCTGCACCTTCATCTTTCCGTTCTCTGACCACAGCGTTTGCGCCTCGGCAAGCAGGGACCAAGGGCGTCTGCTCTACCTGCTGCCTGTGACATTTTATTTCATCTTGGAGTGTTCTGCGAATGGAGAAAAAGAGCAGGACACGCACGTCCTGAACACCGCCTTCCATCTTCAGCAAAGTTCTTCCATTGTGAGATTTGTATTTGTTTGTTTTTATTTTCTTTAATTTTTTTTTTTTTTTTCGGGGAAGCCCTGACCTGCTGGCGGGTCAGGCCACACAGTGGCCATTGTGACATTTTCGTTCCAAGGCCCTACTCATTGTTCACGAGGCACAACGCACACGTGCTGCCCTCTTGGGCCCTCCTGCTGCCCCTCTGCCTCGCTTTCACTTCGCCTTGTAATCGATGCTCTGGTACTGCAACCAAGCAAAATCAGTCGCTGCCGCGTTCCGAACCTTTTTTTTTTTTTTTTTAATTCGGAGTAAAACAAAAAGAAAGGTGCAAGAGAGTTGGGGCTTATTTGCCAGCCAATACCCCATCACTTGTCATGTCGACCTCAATCCCATTTCTCAAAAAGATCAAACTTGCTAGCAAGCTAGCTTGCACCCCACATTTCCCCCTCCGATCCCAGACGTCTGGTTCCCAAGTTTACTTTATGCGTAGACGAGCTGACATCTATCAAGTTCATAGGGGCCGGCAGTGTCTGCGCTTTGCAGGTGACCCCGCTAATCAAAACAAGAGTACACCCAGACCCGTGGCTGCTATAACAAACAATGTCGCCACAATAGCCAGTTTCCGGGGCTCTTGATACCACGGCGGTGCCACCTCTGGCGCCTCACTCTCTTCTATCAAAATTAAAAAGACGAATTGAGCCGCGATGTGAGAAACTTTGGGCCGTGCTATCCAACAGCTTTTATAACTACTGGCTTGCAAGCATGAAGGCAGTCAACTAACCAGCGCGAGACGGGCGCTTGCGCCGCCGGCGACCTCGATTTCGAAAGGCTTCCAGCTCGGCTTGATCCTTGGCTCGCTGCGCTGCCTCCTCTGCTTCAATGCGCTGTGCTTCCTCCGCCGCACTGGCAGCCTGTCGTTCACGACAAGCTGCGTCACAAGCCACATGTTCGAGCTGTTCGGCCTGCACGCGCTGGCAGGGGATCCTCTACAGGCGCACGCACATCGCCACCCATCATTGTTGGCATGAACATTACCACCATGTCTGTCAACGCACGCGCAGCGCTAAAGAGTGCAAAGAGAGAGTGTGTGCCAAAACGAAGGACCAAGGCTCATGTCCAAGAGTCAAGTCTGCTCAAGCGATCCACAAACCTCTTTGCGTCGCTTGCAAGGACATCGAAGCGACACGAGCTTGGTACATGAAGAGGCAGGCGAACACGCACCCGGATGGCAATCTTTGGTACACTGATGCCCGCAGGACAGCAACCGTGGGCACCTGATAGCCACATGCGATAGCACTGTGAGTAAAACCAGATGGCATGTCTCCTCCGCCCTCGAGCCCTTATTCCCAGCTGCACAGGCATAGCGCACATACAGCCAAAGCCAGCTGCTGCAGACAAAGCCGAACGTACCGGTGATGGCAGCTGAGGAGGGCATCACGATCCCCAGGAAGCTTCCGCGTCCACTCGTCGCAGTCGAGCGCCAAAACAAGTGCTTCGCAGTGACATGGGTGGGAAATAATGTGCTTGCAGGGCGGACACAGCCCCGGGTGACACCATTCCCGCGCACACGTGTGCGGACAACCTGGCGGGCGCGGGAGCTCGCATCGCCGTGGGCAGGCCCCACATCCAGCCGTCAGGCCACTCAACTCAGCTCCCTCACCCGACGCCATCCCCCCATCTGACGGCGAAGCCATATGAGCTCGCAGTAGCGGCTCACATGTTGCGTACGCGAGGCTATCCAAAGCCACCGGTACGCTCGTCGCACCCAGCTCGCGGCGCAGCAACAAGTCTTGCTCGTGCCAGCTCGTACCAGCACGCAAAGGGAGGTGACACGGTTGCGCGCAACGATGGCGGGTGCATGCCAAAAGACGATCGCAGGTTTGATCACAACCAAAGGGCGCATTTGCTGCACAAGGTAGATCACGCACGGTGTGTGCACCCTTGCATGCTCGCGGCACGGGTACTTGACAAGGTGGACACGGCGTGAGCTGCTTGATTTCGCGCACCGGATTGCTCTTGAGTTTCTGCTTTTTGCGCTCAGTTTTGGTGAGCTCAATCTCCTCCCGGCGTGGGCGTTTGTCATGACAGGGCGCCTGACAAGCGTGGCCACAGGACAGTTCTGTGGCGCATGTTTGTCGACACTGCGGACAATTGCCATCGTGACAAGTGTGCGGCCGCTGCGTTGGGTGTCGACAATAGGGAGGTACTCTACACGGCTCTCGACAGCGGGGCTTGCGTCGACTCGCGTCACGCCCACAGGGGACCGTTACGGTGGAGGCCCCGCAGGCGCAGCTGCGCGTCATTGTTTGCGAGCATGGGTAGCACGGGCCCGCATGGCACGGGTCTTGACAAGTGTGCTGGTTGCACTGCAAGCGCTTGCCGCACACGCGCTCGCATGGTGGACACACGTCACAACACTTGCGCTTGCAGGGGTGGCCACAGGGAAGGATGCGTCCACACTTTCGGGTGCACGTTAACGAAGTTCCACACGCCAGCTCCTTGGTTTGGGCACCACAGCGACAGGAGACCTGTTGTGTCTGCATGCAAGCACCACAATCGCCGTAGTGACACTGGCGCACACACCGGTGTTCACCACAGGCCAACATTCGATCACAAGTACTGCCACAAGTGGGCACCGTTTCCGTGCATGGCAGGTCTGGATACGTGGACTTGCCGCACGGACATGCGCGTTGGAGCTGACCCGCACAGGGCGCACATGGTCCAGAATGACAGGTCACCTCGCATCGGTGAAACCCACAGGCCAAAGGCTGCCCACACACTGTTTCACACGACCACTCCAGCTTAGCACAGGGCTGATCGGCCACGACCCGGCCACAGCGGCAGGCTCGTTGAGAACGGCGCGGACAAGGCGGGCAGGGTCCTTCGTGGCAAGTCAACTCGCATGCGTGACCGCACGGCAGCTTTTGACCACAGCGTTCACCACAGCTGTAAGCTACGTTCCCACAGCGACGCGAGGTACGCTGCCGCCCACAAAAGCAAGGGGTGTCCGGCAGGAGTCGCGGGCACTTTAAGCACTTGCCTGGGTGGCAAAGCATCAGGCATCGGTGCTGACCGCAACTGAGTAAACGGTCACACGCCTCACCACAAGAATGCGGGGTCAACCAGGGATCGAAGCGGGGCTCAACCTCCTTGGTACAGAAGCAGCGATACACGCGGGGCGCCTCTTTGCGGCTGTAGTTGGTATGGCATTTAGGACAAAACCAGGGAATCTCAGCCTCGGGAAACAATTCGGGGGTCAGGCCGTTGGTGCGGACCACGCCATCCTTCACCCAGCGCTGGATGCAAATCAAATGAAAGGAGCAGCAGCACTCCTGACACGTCCAGATAGCGTCTTCCTGTTGATTCGGCCGGGCAAGGAGGTATGAAAGCTTGGCCGATGCGTGCAGCCAAGCCACGAGGTACAAAAGCAAAGCGTTGGCCTGGGAAACGCACCTTGTTGATATCATCGATGCAAATGAGGCATGGGTTGCTGTTGGGATCCAAACAGTCCTCTACTAGCTCTCGTAGCCGCGCAAGATTGGCATCGGCTGAGCAGCGCACAGCAGAAATGAGACATGCCTCGCTTCCATCACTTTGAGCGCTCGGCAAAACAGGCTGAGCCACGCTCCTGACTCAAGGCGCACCTACCATCGTCTGTGCCAAAAGAGTGGTACTTGGCCAGGATCTTGGCCACAATCTCGTCGCTGGGTGGATCATCTTTACTTATGTCGGGAGCGGCCTGTGTCTCAACATCCTCGTCTGCGTCGAGCACACGAGGCGGTGTTTTGCGTGCCGGCCGCTGATGCTGTAACGAATCGAGGGTGGGTGGCGGCGTAGTTTTTGGCACCATTGTGGCCAAGTCTCTCTCTCGCTCTGTCTGTCTGTCCGTCTGTCTGTCTCGCTCTGTCTCTCTGTCCGTCTGTCTGTCTCGCTCTGTCTGTCTGTCCGTCTGTCTGTCTCTGTGACTCTCTGAGTCACACACACACACACACACACACACACACACATAACTGCACTGTCAATGCCCGATGCAAGAGAGCTCCTTTGACATTCAAGGCGTGCAAAAAGGCGCACCAGGTTGCTTGGCCATAAAAATTCGTTTTGTGTCTTCGGGGGAAGCCAACAACTCTACGTCACAGGGTCGACTCTTGAAGACGACGACTTGGGCTTCCTATACAATCTTGGTGTCAAAGACTGAATCCGCCGTTTCAGGCGAAGCCTTGGCATGTACGGCATTTGGTTGATACAAGTCGCGGTTCAGGCAATAGCCAAGCTCTTCGATGAAGAACACGACAACGGCGATGATCAGACACGCTGCAGGAGCCAGGAATGCATGTGCAGGTCGTGTTGAGTCCATGCCGCCTTGTTAGCATATTCTCAGACGCTCCCATCATGTGCGTACCCGCGCTGAGAAAGACGACGACCCGCTGCGCTTCAAGAAAGTCGGAGCCCGAACACCCCACCAACGTTGAGTAAAAGCTGAGCGTCAAAGGGAGGCAAACACGAAGCCTGATTGAGCCGTCCTTCTGTGCAGCTAGCGCCTTTTCATTGTCGTGGGTGACCTTAAGCACACGACCAGCAGATGGGAACGACCTACATGAGAGCAATGGCAAAATAGAGAATGTTGAAGATGTGGGCTAAGCGGCGTGGGGACCGATTCTGTGTCGTAATGGCATCCTCGTTATCCTCCTCGTCCGTTACCTGCACCCAGTTTGCAACACGGATCATAGCATGAAGTGACATTCACACCATCCCAAAATCAAGAAAGTGCTACGACCGGCAAAAGAGCGAGGCGAGGGGTCCAAACTCAAGGAGCAGTAGGCTATCGGTTGGCTCTGATGTGTGCTTGGCATACCTCGGCGAAATAGATGATGAGAAGGCCGAATAACAAGAAGCAAAAGGTTGAGATGTAAAACGTGCAAAAGACCTGTGATAGCCAAAGAGTCGATGTGAGAGGCTGAAGCCGCGACCCCCAGGGCATGCCAATGGCAAAGGTGTGTGGGACACAATGACCCATGATGACAGCCAGCCACGCACTTTGCCAGAATTCTCCTGAATACAGTTGCAAAAGTCCACAAAGGGAGACAGCTCGACGGCGAGCTGGGCCGTTACTTCGTCTTGCGGATCTGTAAGATCACTCATGAAGGAGAGCTAGACCCGTGCCCGCATCATGCCCAAGCCGCCGCCAATGCAAAGTGAGGATCTTGGGTCCCAATGATCCCCGAAAGTGTTGTCTGCACCAACTAGAAAAGAGCAAGCGACATGGTAGCACACCATGGCAGCTGACACACACACACACACACACACACACACACACACACACCTCACAGGCTCGGTGCATCTGGCCACACGAGGCAAAAGGAAAGTCCGGCTCGACATCACCGCCGGCACTGCAGCGCGTGTTTTTAATGCATGCACAGTAATTTTATTTCAGGTCAAGGGTGAGCCACAGCAGGGTACAGTCAGGGTACGATGTCACAGGGCCGTGCAGATGCACAAGAGTCGTACTCGATGAAGATTTGCAAGCAGGGACCCATTGTATCGCATTCTGTGCAACCGAAAGGCGAAAATTAAGCGGGAGATAGCCAGGAAGAAAAGTTCAGAATTCACCTTGATGAGGCCAGCGGGCCGTTGCTACCACCGTGCCTTTACGATTGCATGTAGAGTCAAACGGACTTACCCTTGGGGATGTTGTTGAGGGCCACAATAATGTACAGGGCAAGCAATGTGACGCAAATTTCAATGGCCTTGTTTCCCATGGATTTGGCATCCTATCATTGGGCATCAAGCCGGCAAGCAGTGAGCACAGATTGGGGAATGGTGGGCGATGCGATTGGGCTTGACGGCGCTAGACCAACCCGAAGCAAGCGTTTGAGCTTTTGCCCACAATTGACGTGTTTGACCATGGACATTGATGCAGATTGCAAGCGCTTGAGCTGGGTGACGGTCTAAAGGGTAACCACAGGAAGTGGTGTCAGCTGTGTGCTGACACTCGGCGGCACTTGTGGGCGGTTCTGGCTGGGCGAGGGTGGACCGGTTTAAACGTGCCTTGTTATCATGCGAGGAACTCTCGGCTACTCAAAATGAAGAGAGAGCACAACGCAGCAAACGAGGGCGTGAGTGATGGATGACTGGGTGCATTGAGGCAAGGTTGCCATTCACCTACTGCTCGTGTCGCTGGGCGGCGCCACGATGTGCACCGCCGGATGAATGCCGTCATTTGCTCCACTCATGGTGCCAGTCCTTGGATACAGCACCAACAGGCCCTCCTTTCCTCGTTCAAACAGCACCTATACACCTTCTCCCCCCTGTCTACCTGCGCCTTCAACTCCCCGCCCCCTGACCAGCCCCGCCAGCAAAGGACCGAGTCGTGCGCGTGCACTTTGTGGTCAACAAGAGAGAGAGAGAAAAGAGAGAGAGAGAGAGACATTCCTTTCTTACATTTGTTGAGCTCTCTTTCTGTTGAGCTCTCTCTCTCTCTCTCTCTAAAGCTCTCTCTCTCTCTCTCTCTCTCTCTCTCTCTCTCTCTCTCTCTCTCTCTCAAGCTCCCCTCAAGTTCTCTCACTTAAGCTCTCACTCAAGCTTTCAATCTCTCTCAAGCTCTCACAGCTCTCTCTTTCAAGAGCTCTCTCTCTCACAAGCTCTCAAGCTCTCTCTGCCTCATAGCAACTACAACGGAAAAGGAAAACGGTGGTTGGATATGTGTTGTGATCTTGCCACAGGGCTTGGACTGAAGAAGCAGAAGACCTGGTCGTGCGGCCAGCTAACACCAAATTCAATATTGAGAAAGAGAAGAACAGTAACAGACTCCACACAGCTTGGGTTGCAGCGCGCAAGTGACCCTAATACATCATGCTAGGGGCGAGAGAGAAGCGGGGGTTGGGCCCATATGCCGTATTCGAGATGCTGGGATACCATATCAAAAGCCGTGAGCACGAGCACCCGGATCGCACACGCAAACCGGCAAGCGATTGCAGCCAGGTTTCAGCTAGCTCACCGGCTCAAAATGTCAAAGATATCATGCATGTGGATGGTGGCCAGATAGAAGACGCCCTGGCCACATTCGGCCGAGCGGCCGCACTCAAAGGCTAGCACGCCCGTATCTTTGCCAAAACTATTCAATGCACCAGCCACAATTGAGACAAAATGGACTTGTGAGACACATGTATCAGCACGTTGAGCGAGCCACTTGGGTCAACAGTCTGCCCAGCAGCTGTCCTGCCACAAAACACGGGCTTTGCTCGCATGACAAGAGTACCTACCGACGAATGTTGTTATACGAGCACTCCATAAGAAGATTGTGGTTGAAACGATCCAGGAGCATAACGCCCGTGGGCGTCAAACAAAGCCACACTGGGGTGTGCTCGAGCGCCAGAGCGCTGGCCAACCGGGAGGCCTGCACATTGACGGGAAACGCGTAGGTGCCAGTTTCCATCTGAGGCACAGGGTACGCCTGGCCACCCCAGTTGCCAAAGGCATCGTTGCGGTAGCGCATCGACTTGGTCGTGTTGGGAAACAAGTGCTCCTGGGCCTGGACCGTCAGCGGGGGCGACGTGGCCATGGCACTACCATGGCCGTCGTCCCAACGATAGCTTGGTGCGGCCTGCTGCTGTTGCTGCTGTTGCTGTTGCTGCCAATACTCCGAATCACGGCCCTGCTCCTGGCGCGAGAGTCCAGCTGTCGAGAAGCGTTGGGCACTTGCGTTGGCATTGAGATTGGTGCCCTCCGTGTCTTGACGCTGCAGCACGGTCGGCTCGGCATACAAGGCACGTGCATGCGCCGCCCGCTCGCCAACCCGTGCCTCATTCAGCTCCTCAATGACCTCATTGTAATCTGTCTGCAGCTGATCGTAGTCGCTCTGCAAGTACACAACAGGATAAACCAAGACGCCGGGGAAGAATGAAGGTGAGAAATCGCGACCCGATGCCCCGCGCGAGCTGGGATTCTACGAGCGGGCCGCCCGACTCCTCTGAGCAAGCACCTGAAGCATTTCATAGCGCTGGCGAAGTTCCTGCGCTTCCTCTGACACCATCGTCTGCGAGGTGGCCAGCTGCTCCACGCGCTGAACCAGGGATTCTTCCATATCCCGCTGTGACAATGCGCGTGCAACGTGAGCCCATACGTAGCCGCAGCGTCGTACAAGTCTGTTTTGATAGGAGGCGCTTGGGACCGGCAAGTACGCACTGCACTCGTGGTATGCTCTTCAGTCTCGCGGCGCAGCTCTTGGAGCTCTCGGATGACGCGCTCGTACTCTTCTTGCGACACATGCGCCCCACGGCCTTGACCACCATTTTGGCGCCAATGCATCACCTAAACAGGCAAGTTCGGGCAGTCAGCTACAGTTGTAGGCACTATCATGCACGGTCAGCAAGCGGCATACCTCACGGTCCAGGCGTTCCACCTCACTATCACGATTGCGAAGCAGTTCCTTGTAGTACTCCACCGTTTGGGAGGAGGCGCCAGCGCCATCCCGATCCCGCAACTGTGCTTTGAGCTACACAGCAAAAGCCAGGAGTTGAGCGCAGTACTGGTATTGGAAGTACCTTCCAAAAGTGCTTGGAGAGAAGAGCAGTCTTCGAGGGGTGGTAAAATACCGCAAGCGGCGCAGGGCACAGCAGGAAGCTCACCCACCTCAGAAAGGCGAGATAGCAGGCTGTCGCGTTCGACCTTGAGCGTCTGGATCTGGCTCTTGCAGAGCTCGACTTGATGAACGGAACGGTCACGCTCGTAGGCTAGGCCACGCTGCTCGACGCGCTCCTGCTTGAGCAACGACTCGAGGCGCTTGATTTCCTCGGCCATGAAATCGTGACGCTCCTCGGCCATGCTCAAACGCGTGCGCATGGCCTGGGTGAGTAGCGTGGCATTGGGGTTCCCTATATTTCCAGATGGGCACGAGCAGGCCCAGATCCCGTGAGCAAACAAGGCCATGGACAAGCAGGGTTGGTCAATGAGCCAAACTAATCGAGGTAGAAAGTAGGTAAGGAGCAATGGAGATTACGCCGCTTCGAATGAGTTTGTCGTACCCCGTGTGTAGGAGGCTTCGTACTCTTGCAGCTCGCGGTTGAGGGTACCCTGCTGTCGCTGCAAGCGCTCGAGTTGCTCGCGGCACAGTGACACCTCTTCCTGTTCTTCCTTCAGCGCGTACTCCAGACGACGATTCTGCACATTGAGATGCTCCACCTGTAGAATGAGCTCGCGCTTGTTCATGTGGGACCATTGAATGCGGTCGTCAGCATGCGAATCGTTGTAAAGATCATCCACATCCGCATCCCCGGCACCAGCTCCCTCTGTATCCCGACGCCCGGGATTACGACGAGCGGCTTCAGCACGCTTCGGTGGCCCTGCCATGGGGCCGGGACTGTAATGCATTTGACCATCCGTCTCCCTTGAACGGTATCGTGACGCGGTGGCGGCAGCCATTGTAAAGGCGATTTGCGTGAAGTAAGCTCACGGATTTGGCGACCGTCAAAAGACAAGCACGGCACCACCGTGCCCAATCAAGTTTGGGTGAGGCACGTGATCAGGCCGCAGGGCCGAGGTCAAGCTGAGCGACTTGCTGCGATCGGATGCGGGGAAAAGGTGCGGCAGGGGCAGCCACAGCGGTTCGAAACCTCTGAAAGCAACCGGGACACGCTCTTGGTGTCGCGGTTTTACTCTCGCGCGCGCCAAAAAGTTGCAGGCACTATTAAAAAAAAAAAAGAACACACACACAGAGGAACCACCATGGCCATCGCCTAGCTCCTCATACTCCACCAGCTTTGAACCTACCGGCACTCGTCGCCTTGAGCCCTTTCCCACATTTCACACTCAGCATCCCAGCGTTGTCGAGCAAGCTGGTCGGTACCTGTTACCCTTTCGAGCGGTTGCCCCTGTCACCGACTCGGCTACCGGGGCAACGGCTCCAGTGCCCCCCCCCAGCTACATGCATGCACGCATCTGCCCTGTATTGTCAGCATGATTTCAGTCCGCGCGGAGACTCAATGTGAGTCTCCGCGCGGACCCGGCGATGGATGTTCCAGTTTCCAGGTCTCCCTTGCGACTGAGAGACTGACCGGCGCAGAAAAAAAAAAACAGACGAGAGACGATGGCAGCGGCAGGTGCGGAGTCAACGGCAGCCACTGCAGCGGCGGACGGCAGCGAAGTGACCGCAACCGGGGCTTCAGCATATGGACGTGATGCGACAACGTTGCAAGGTTGGTTGGCTGGAGATTTGTTGACTTTCCCCCCCCCCCCCCTGCCTGGGGTCCTCCAGACTTGGCCATGCTGGTGCTCATGAGAATCCTGCTCGCTGCACGGCGCCGGTGTGCGCGGATGGATGGGGCGGGGGTTAGAGTCGTTTGAGACTGTGCGCGATGTAGCTGAGCGAACCATCCTGGAGAACCCGCGCCCCACCAATGGATCGGGTGTTTGGGGTGCGCTACGCGCCGCCATTGGCAAGGTCTGCTGCACCGGGCCCAGCCCCTGCCGCCGCCCCACCTTTGGCGGCCCTCACAACCCATTATGACCCACCACATGCCGATAAAAGCTCATGCGTATGATTGACCACCCCCTCGGCGGCTTTGTACGCCTTGCGAGCTAGGATCTGTCTCGTATCGCCATGCCTGTGCACTTTAACGAGCCCACCAGCTTCACCCAGCGTCTCGTGGAGGACTTGGAGTACAGCAGTGTGCTCGACCGCGCCGCTGGTACGCCTTGCTCCGCGCCTGTGCACCTCACCATTGACGTTGCCGACAGTGAACAGCGTTGAATACACGCCATTCATGTCAACTTGGCCCACCCGATCAACTCCACCCTCACCGCCCATCCCTTATGCCTTGCCTGGGGACTGCAGCCGAGTCTGACTCGCTCCGCCGACTTGCCATTGTCAGCGCCTTCGCCAATGCCATGTATGCCTCCTCAGCGCCTGGCATCCGGTAAGAAGCCCCCACTCCGTCACCCCTCTGCCAAATCACTGGTCGACACGAGTACCGGGTCATGCGCCGCTCATTGAGGCGTGCCCTGTGTGCCGGTGTTTTGGAAAGAACCTACAAGGCCTTCAATCCTTTGCTTGGTGAAACTTACGAGCTGATTCGCCCCGACGATGGCTACCGCGTCGTCACTGAGCAGGCAAGCTGCCTTGATTCGACCCATTGACCGACCCACCGACCTTCATTTAGGTCGCCCTGTGTTTTTTTTGTTTTGTTTTTTTTTGTTTTTGTTTTTTTGGTAAAATTTTTTCTGATCAAGCCACAACTGATGCATCATGTCAGGTGTCGCACCATCCGCCCGTAACGGCACTGCATGCCGAGTCGGAGCGTGGCTGGGTTTATCGCCAGCATTATGCCTGCGACCTCAAGTTTCGTGGAACGTTGCGTGTACGTTACTGGACCCGCCCTTTGCCCTCGCATCAAATGCTTTCCAGCTCTGACCCTGGACTCTATGCTTGTCCCTCTCGAGCGCTGCCTCGCTGCCTCGCGCTCCCACTCGCTGTTTCTGTCTTTGCATCGAAATCTGCTTGCTTTCTCACCATTTGTCGCGGTTTGCTTGCTCGCGCTTTCAGTTGGATCCCTACGGTATCGCCGTCGTGGAATTTCCCAATGGTGACCGTTTTAGCTGGGTTAAGCCTACCACCGTCGTGCACAACATCCTTCTCGGCCGCCTCTGGGTAGAACAGGTGCGAAACCTGTTGGGTCCTTGCGCAGCGATGCCGCATCGATCACGGATCTTGGGGCTCTCCTACTTGGTCTCTGACCCTGTATTCTCCTTTATGCCTCGCGGCTTCTTGTTCAGTCTGGCACTGTTGTGGTGACCAATCATCGCACTGGCGAGACTTGCGACATGATCTGGCGCAACTACTCCGAAAGCGGCAGCGCCTACATGGACCTCACGGGTACGACCTGAGCCTGCGCGATGGCCCTGTTGCAACGGCGTGACTGTTCTTCCAATATTCAAGCATTGTTCGTCATCCTCTTTTGTTTTCCTGCAGGCTACGTGAAAGATGCAGATGGCGTGATCCGTTACACGCTCCACGGACGCTGGGATGAAGGCCTGGTCCTTTTGCCTGGCGAAGTGCCGCTCAAAAAGCTCCCCGCCGGCCTCAAGGTCTTGCAAGATACGCATGCCGATCATGTCTGGAGCGCCAACCCGCTGCCCGCCTCCCACAAACCCTTTTATGGCATGACAACCTTTGCCATGGGCCTGAATCAAAAGCTGGTATGCAATGACCACATGTCCACCTCTGAAGCGGCTCACGGTGTTTGTTCCAATAGTCGAAGGAAAGGCAACCTGACGCCCTTTCGCGGTTTTCTACCACATCTTTAGGATAACGTGTGCCCGACCGACTCCCGTCTGCGACCGGATCAACGGCTGCTAGAGGACGGTGATTTCATGAGGTCGACCGCAGAGAAGGAGCGACTTGAGGTTAAGCAGCGTGCTGCTCGTGCCGCCCGCGAAGAGCAACAGGTACGCAAGATGATGAAGAGCCTCAAAATTAGCATCAATGCTTCATGCGAATCTGCTTCTTCTGGTCAAACAAGAGGCCGGTCTCTCATTATCGCTTGCCCCGCAGGCTGAATGGCAACCTCGGTGGTTTTCCAAGGTCATGGACCCTCAGCTAGGCCGTGAACTCTGGTCTTATCAAGGCGGCTACTGGGATGCCAAGGCTGATGGCTCCTTCAAGGATGCCTCCCGCTTTCCAGACATCTTTTAAATTCCTTGCCCCGCGTTTTATCCCACACGTGTGTCACCGCCATTCACGTGACTTGTGGCATGTAAATTGAGTTTTTTTTTTGGTTGGTCCCTTCCTTGCAACAATGCGAACCGACTTCGTGGAACGACGTGTCAATCGTGAGTTCGATTATCGCAGCAAACGGATGCCATCGAGAAAAAGACAAATCAAGCGTGATGGCTCTTCAAAAAGCAGAGGCGGGTCCCCACAGCGACAGGTGGAGAGCCTGCAAGAAAACAAAGTAGGGTCTGGAAAAGTGCGTTGAAACTTGACTGGAAGGTTACTAACATTTAAAAAACATGATCGGGGCACCACAGGTGGGGGCGTGTCGCATATACATTGACATATGAAAACGAAAAAATAGAACCTAAGAAACATGGCAGAAGCACGACAACGTCGACAGGAAAACAAACTGACATCTGATGTAAATAAAAAAAATGAAAAAAAGGAGGGGGAACCAAAAGAAAAACTCAAAAAGATCTGCTGATGCGCAGATGAACAGAGAGGTCTGGTGTGTGCCTAAACCTCAAAACCATCGTCTTCGTCAGAAGACAAATCGTTGGCTGACGGCGAAAATGGTGTGGATACCGAGTGTGCGCGCTGAATAAAGCTCAAGCGCTGGCGGCGATCACGCCACAAATCCCAAAGCGAGGATCGTGATGCAGGCCGCGTCGTAACACGTGAAGAATTGTTGTGAAACGTGGAACTTTCGTCAGCTTCCGCCACGCCCTCACTCCAAGGCCGACTCAGGGCCGGTGGCAGCACGGCATTTGGCCCACTGTTGTTCTCACCGGCGCCGTCATTCGTCTGACCATCCAAAAAGACATCATTCTCGCCACTGTTGGCCTCATCATAGACGGCAGCCCAATGCGTCTCACCGCTAGGCCGTTCAATTGGCTCTGCTAGCCCAAGGCGTCCATCACGCCCTACGACCGGCACGGGCTCGCCTCGGGCCACCTCATTGGCAAACAATGTGGACTTTCGGCGACTCCGGGCGCTGAAAGGACGTGGAGCGCCGCCTGCAGCAAAAGCAGCCATGGCGCTATCAAGCTCTTGAAACGCGGCGCGTTCGGGCGTGGCAAAGTCGGAGTAGCTCTCTCGCCCGTGCCCTTTGACGGGCACGGTGGAACCAAAGAGCCGATCCGGCGAGGTTTGCGGCAGGGCAGCACCATCATATGACTGTTGTCTGCTGGCCCTGGGAATGGCTTGAGCAATGGGCGTCGAGTGCGCCTCAGGGACCATGCCAGGCGCTTCTGCCACACTGACCGTCTGAGGCTCAGATGGACGCCGTGTAGATGTGGGTAGCTCTGCTGCCCACGCTCGTGCCACGGGCTCGGTCAAGCTCTCGGAAGCAGCTGGCAGAATTGTAGGACGTAGTGCTTTTCGCTTGGCATAGAGAGTGGCACTACGACCACTATTGATGCTCAAGAAATCATCCACCATAACGCTTGTCGGTCGTTGGCGAGCATGGAAACGCTGCAGGCGATCCTCCAGCATTTGGCGGGCTTCGGCGCGACGGGCTTGCTGGCGCAGTGATTCGCTGGGCGCGCTGGCAGCCACCACATGTCGCAACGCAGGCCATAGACTGTGAGGTGCCGTTGTGTTTGTCGGCGATGGAGGTGACTCGGAGCTGACAGAGACTGGTAAAGATGAGCCCACTGTCGTTGATTGCGTGTTGCTACTCCATGCACGAACGCGGCCATGCAAGGGCTGTTTCGGTTGCTGCTGATGTTGATGCTGTTGCTGTTTTGCAAAGTTGGCACTTGCTCCTGAACTTGCAAAAACAGAACCCTCCTCATCGGATAAGCTCGAGGCATCCGATGGGATGAGCTCGCTGAAGCTGGCGCTTCGAATTTGAATCCGCTGCAAATTGGCTGGAATTGTCCGCTCCGCCTCGGCGCGTGCCCAGCCCCTGGCACCACTGGCTCTGAGTTCGAGCGAGGACACCGATGTCGTTGGCTGGTAATGCCGGCTGCGCCCCTGCAGGTGGCCTGGCATATCTGACTGAACGGAGAGTGTGCGCGTTGTGGGCATTCGGGGGCGCGCAGCGTCGGAGGGCGCGGCCGGCCATGCACTTGCTGAAGGAGACAGCTCTGTGGCTAGCACGCTTGTGGGCTCTTGGGCTGATGTCGGTGGCGGCGGAATATTCAAGAAGGGTGGTACCAAACTGGCTGGCGACACGCCCACCTCGCTACCGCGTCGCTGTGTGGTTGAGAAATGGTGTGATGGCGAGGAAACAAAGGCAAGCTTGTTGTGCACCCGTACCGTGGAAGGCACCGCTAATGCTCGCTCTTCCGGCGCAGATGCATCAGATCTTGCCAGAGTGCTATGATCCAGCACGTATGTTTCTTCGCGGCGGCGCCCTCGGGAATAGATCAATGCCACGATGACGGCAACCAAAAGCAGGACTGCCAAGACAGAAACCACGGCAACCCAAATGACATTGCTGTCATCGTTGGCACCTTCCCTACTCGGATTGGGATCTGAAGTGCTGGCGCCGGTCCCAGTCAAAGTGTAGCCAAAACCGTCCAGCTGAGCGGCGCCTGCATCACTGACATACGACTCGACGTCCACCCCAGCCAAAATCTGGTCACCAAAGGTGGAGTAACCGCGCACTGTAGTGGTACTTTGTGGGTCTGATTCGGACCGCGTGATACTCGTAACCACGGTTTGCACCACACTGCGCCGACCGGAGAGCGCGGCATTGACAATGGCCGATACCGTATCTTCAACCTGCTGCCCAAATCCCTCGGGAACGTCCTCGAGTGCAACCCCAAAGTGAAGCTGAAAATAACGATCGTCTGCTAGAGATGTGTTGCTCATGATTGTCGTGTTGATGACTATGCTGTCTGACGTCGTGATTGCCTCCGTCGTGGTCGTGTCCGGCGTCGTAGTGTCTGCTGGCGTCGTAGTGTCTGCTGGCGTCGTAGTGTCTGCTGGCGTCGTAGTGTCGGTTGACGTCGTGTCCAGCGTCGTCGTGCCCGTGGCCGTCGTGCCCGCGGTCGTGGTCGTCGTGCCCGTGGTCGTCGTGCCCGTGGTCGTCGTGGCTTTGGAGCTCACTTCTGCAAAAGTCGTGCTCGATGAAGGCCTAGGGCTTGAGCTTGGTGATGATGCAATTGTCGTATTGAGCGCGGATAGTGTGCTTGTGTCTGTCTCGGCCGTCGTACTTGTTGTCGTGACGCTCAAACTCGTGGTTGCTGGGCTCGCACTTGTTGTGGTACGAACAGAGGTGGTAAGCTCGCCTGAGCCGCTGGCAGACGGCGTCGAAGTAGGAACTGTACTAAACGAAGTGCTTGCGGTGGTCCATGTGTCGTCGCCGCTGCCTGTATTCGAGTCTGTTGAGAGGACCGTGGTAGTATGGGGCGTTGTCGAGGAGGCCGATGTCGTTCGTGGCGTTGAATCAACGAAAGATGAGGTCGTGGCTGCAATCGTCGACGTAGGCGTTGTTGTGCCCGCTGCCGTGGTTGTCCCAGTTGATGACTTAGAAGAGCCCGTAGTGAGCTCAGTGGTTGTGGAGGGAAGCAAGGTTGTGGTCAGCACCTCCTCACCGCTACCCGACTGCTCCAGGGGCGTCGTGGTGGCCTGTGCTGTAGTTGGGTTGGACGATGTGACAGTATCGGGCGAGGTGGTCTCAGTCCTGGATGTTGAGGGTGCGCTAGAGGACGTGGTCGTGGGCAAGGTCGTAGCTGTCGAGAAAGAAGTGGAGCCAGGCACGAAGGGAGTGCTCGAACTGGTCAAAGTTGAGAGAATGGAGGTTGTGGATGCAGCACCGCTTCCATCTCCTGATGTCGATAGTTCTCCACTACCAATCACAGTCGTGGTTGTTGGCACTGGAGATGTGGATGTGACACTTGTTGTTCGTGGCAGCATGGTTGTTGCTGTCGTTGTTGCTGTCGTCGTTGCTGTCGTCGTTGCTGTCGTCGTTGCTGTCGTCGTTGCTGTCGTTGCTGTCGTCGTTGCTGTCGTTGTTGTCGTTGCTGTCGTTGTTGCTGCCGTTGTTGCTGTCGTTGCTAGCGTCGTTGCTGGCGTCGTTAACATGGTGCCACTTCCGCTTTCGCCCTCGCCCTCGCCGTCGCCCGACGCAGTGGTACTTGCAGTCGAAACCAAGGACGCACTTGCTGACTCCGATGGAGTCAGAGGCTGTGTCACGGTGGTCACGGCCAAAGTAGCTTGAGAGGTTGTTGGCATTGGCGTGCTTCGCAGTGTCGTCGATTGCAGGTCGGTATCCCCGCTACCGCTTTCTTCAGAATCGGTGGTCGACGCTGCGGTCCAGGCCCCCGTGGACGTGAGAGTGGTAGATGGCAGTAAAGTGGTTGGCGTTGTGAGCAGCACAGCTGACGCCGTGGTCGTTGTAACGTCTAAATCAGCCGTGACGGTGGTAGACTGCAGATTACCTTCGCCGCTACCTGAGGCCGCATCAGACGTCGAGGGGGGAGTTGTTGTGCTTGCCGTTACAACATATGCATCTGTGGTGGTTGCCGTCGTGACAACGGAGATTGGTGCAGCTGTGGTGGTCCTAGGAGCGGCCGACGTTGTAGGCGGAAGGGTTGAGGTTTGTTGGTCTGATTGAGTGGAAAGGCTTGTGGAAAAGATGGGCAGAGTCGACGTCCCTGACCCACTCTCACTAGTGGTGCTTGTCTGCCACATGGTGGTTGACGTAGACATGTCACCGCTTCCCTGACCACTGCCAGGGTCCTCAGTTTGCCCTTGGGTAGACGTCGTGGTTGTTGATGCGGAATCGCTCGAGCTCAGGCTTGTGCTTGCCGATGTCACAGTGGCAGTCGTGCTGCTGGCCGTCGATGAGGTGGCTGAGCTAGTCGTAAGCGTCGACACTCCCGCATCCCCGCTGCTGTCACCGCTTCCACTTTCATTTTCGTCCACCATCGACGTGGTCGGAACGCCCGTTGACCCAACCAGCGTGCTAGTACTCTCCATCGGACTATGTGAAGTGGTAGCAGTTGGCATGGTGGTGGTAGGAAACGCTGGGGTCGGAACAGGACTGTTTGTTGTGGCTGGCAAAGAGGTCACGGCCTCGGTAGACGTGACAGCCGTTGTCGAGGTCATTGTTACATCACCACTACCAGCGTCAGTAGTCTCGCGGTTCGCAATCGTCGTCGAAGTCCAAGCATGGTCACCACTGCCGTTGGCCCCACCGGTTGTGGTCGATGACGCCAAAGTGCTTGCTGTTACCACCGTTGAGGAGAAGTTCATATCGCCGCTGCCTGCATCGGTGGGCGTCGTCGATGTTGTCAAGGGGCTAGATGAATAAGGGGTGGACAAGCCGTCGTCTCCACTACCAGTAACCGGCTCCGTCGAAATCGGCCCTGTCGAGCTTGAGACAGTGGAAAGCTGTTCGCCGCTGCCACCTGAGCCGGCGTCTGATGTCGCCACAGTCGATGAGGTTGGAGCGACAGTGTCGCTGACACTGCCATCTGCGGTCGTGCTCGCTGCTGGCGTGGTTTCGGACGTTTCCGTCACAACCGTTGTAGTCGTTCCAGCCGTCGACGTTGTCGGCGGCCCAACCGTGGGCACCGTGGCCCTGGTGGACGTTGTCGTAGCGTCATTGGTCGATGGGGCGGCTGTCGTACTCGTACTTGTGCTGTGTGCCGCTGTGCTCACTTCTGGGCTGTTACTCGGACTGACCGGGAGCGTGGAGGTTGACCCACTGCCTGCATCCGGTTCTGTCGTTGTCGCTGGCCCCAGAGTGGTCACCGGAGTCATCACCGGCGTCGTCACCGGCGTCGTCACCGGCGTTGTCACCAGAGTTGTCTCTTCCCTGCTACTTGTGGTTGAGGGCACGGTCGAACCCAAGCCGACATCGCCACTTCCCGAGCCAAAGTCCGAGGTGGAAGCTGATGTCACAAAACTCGAGGTTGTTCTCGCTGCGTCCGTGCTGGGTGCTGCTGAGGATGAGGATACTAAAGTGGCTGTCGTCGGCAGCGCTGTGCGTGTGGGGCGTAGAGTTGCGGTTGAAGAAAGGCTGGCATCACCACTGCCTGCGCTGGTCGCTGCTGTTGTTGTTGTTGTTGTTGAAGTTGAAGTTGACGATAGGCCAGCATCGCCGCTACTTGTGTCCGAGCCTGTCGTCGTACTTGACATCGTGGTCGACCTTTCCCCATTGCTCCGCGTGGTGCTTGGGGTTGTTGCATCCGTGGAAGGAGAGGAAGGCCCTGTTGAAGTCAATATTGTCGGGCTGACTGCATCGGTACCACTGCTTGTACTTGTCTCAGTCGATACCGGCGCTGTGCTTGGTGACACACTGCCACCAGCACCGCTGCCGATGCTCGAAGTGACCTCTACTGTGCTCGCTGCAGGCAAACTCGTCGAGGAGAGCGAACCATCTCCACTTGCCGTGCTGCTCACACCTTGTGGCGCCGTGCTTGTCGTCACGATCAGAGGAGAGGTCGGCTTGGGAGTAATTGTTGAGGGTGTCGCACTCGCCGAGCCTGAGCTCGAAGCAGGTGTGCTTGGCGGTGTCGAGGACATGCTTGTTGTCCCGGGCGTCGTTGAGGCCACACCTGAAGTTGAGAAATGTGGCATAGAGGACGTCGGCTCTCTGCTTGCAGCCACAGTGGTTGAAGGCTGGGTAGTCGCAGCGCCCCGTGTTGTAGATGTCGTCGCTGGCAGATCGGAAACGAAAGATGTGGAGAACGCAGAAGTCGGTTCTGCCGTCGCCCCAACCGTGCTGTCGGTACTGCCTGACCCGACACCAGATGAATCACTGCTGCTGGTGCTGGTCGCACTGCTACTTGCCTCGCTCATAGTTGAAAAAGAAGTCGTGGTTACTGCGAGTGTGGGCACTGTAGTTGCCAATACCGTGGTCGTGCTTTGATCCTCACCACTTCCCGGCCATGTCGTGGATGAAGTCAAGGTCGCTGACCCATCATCTTGCTGGGTCGACACGGATGTGAATGCTGAATTTGTGTGGCTGGCAGGGTGCGTGAAACTCGGAGGTTGCGTGCCAGTTTCCGATGCGGAAGTGGTTGCAGAAGAAAGAGTTCTGGTGCTGGTTGATGCAGTCATTGTGGTTGATGAGAGCCCCTCTCCGGAGGCGTCTGACCCTGTGGTAGTGCCGATGGTACTTGAAGAAGTTTGAGGAACAGAAGTCTGGACTAGAGTCGTAGATGTGGCATCGAGCCCACTACCATCATCCGTTTCGGGCGTGGTGGTAGCCTCAGGCGTGGTGGTAGCCTCGCGCGTGGGCATCGAGCTAGTTGAGGCAGGCAGGAGCGCAATGTTGTACAACGCGGCGTGGTGCAGCGTAACATTGGCATAGTAAGGCGAGCCCAAGGCGCTGGAACGCCCTCCCAAAACCAGCTGAACAAATCCGGGTCGATTAATATTGATCGAAGCCGTGGCCTCAAGCGTGCCATTCACGAAAAGGGTTAGCTGATGTTGAGCGTGATCGTATGTCACGAGCACGGCATGGGGCTGTGCCAGAGGCAAACGAACACTGCTCCAGTGCACATCCTGGCTGACTGAGTCTCGCACGTAGAGTGCAGGAATGCCGTCGATCACGTAGAGAGCCACAACATCTGTCTGGCCATCAGAGAGCGCAAAGAGAGCCTGGTTTCCTGATACAGTTTGTGGGGTAAACACTAGATCCATGGCAAAGGAGAGGTAGGCATTTGAGGGTAAGGCAGTGGCCAGCTCGCCAGCGCCGGCTAGATACAGGCCCTGGCGAAACGATGAGTCCCATACGGCACCCGGCGGTGTAAGCAAGTGCAGATTTAGCCCGCTGCTGTCCAGGACTAAATTGCCCGAGGTCTGTTCAAAGCGCCACATCCCTGCCACTCGAGTGTCATTGACAGAAACTGGAAAGTCGACAAACAGAGGAGTGGGAAGCTCTTGGGTTACGCGGGCTAGCGCAGCCACCGCAGGAGCTGAAATGGCTGTGTCGTAGAGGCGCACGCCGTCCAGCAGGCCCTCATACGCAAGTGTGGTATCCCCATTGGGACGGCCACCAAGAGACAGAGTAGACCAAGCGGGGATCGCTGGCATGCTTCCCGTTGCCACAAGCTCGCCGTCCAGGAACAAGGTGACGGTGGTCCCGTTGATGCGAGCAGCGATGTGCTGCCAAGTATTTGCAGAAAGCTGGCGAGTGCTGACGACGCTCGCAGCGATGGATCCCCCATCTGCGCTCATGCCAAGAACAAGATAGCCATAAACGATGCGGAGCTCAACAATAGCAATCTCGGCGTGGCTACCGCGCGAAAACGCGAGCAGACTGTGCGCCAGCAAAGCGGAAGGTTTGATCCAGAGAGTCATGGTGTATGCAGCCGGCAGAGGCTGGGGCACCAAAGATGCACTCAAGGCTGTATTCGTGAGTTGCACGGCCCGCTGACCAGTCTGAGCATCGGTGGAGAAGGCAACACGTGCACGCTCCTTGAACGTTAGATGTGCAGGAGCGAGAGCTGTGTCAAAAGCGTAGCCTGTGATGTTATTTTCAAAGTCGTAGTGGTGCCACAGGTGATCATTCCAGGCAGAAATTTGGGCCAATTGCGTCTCAATGCTCGGTGGGGCCGTAGTAGACAGAAGGTCCTCCAAAGTCGTGGCTGGCTCGGATGTTGAGATTGGTTCTGCAACCATGGCCGTCGTCTGGCTCGAGGACATTGGCGCCACCGTAGTAGGATGTGCCGTTGAGGGCATGGTATTCGTCGCTACGGTTGCTGTTGTAGATGATGCTTCAGACGTGACGAGCTCGTTTGTTGTCGCCATCGTTGTCGGCACGGCCGTCGTTGTTGGTATGTCTGTCGTTGACGTTGGCTCGGCCGCCATCGTTGACTCGTCTGTCATTGACGTTGGCTCGGCCGTCGTCGTTGGCTCGTCTGTCATTGACGTTGGCTCGGCCGTCGTCGTTGGCTCGGCCGCCATCGTTGACTCGTCTGTCATTGACGTTGGCTCGGCCGTCGTCGTTGGCTTGGCCGTCGTCGTTGGCTCGTCTGCCGTTGTCGTTGGCTCGTCTGCCGTTGTCGTTGGCTCGGCCATCGTTGTTGACACGTCCGTCGTCGATGGTTTGGGCGTGAACATAGGCGTTGTCGTTTCGATTGAGGACATCTCCGTAGTCGTCAGCACTTTCTCTGTCGTGAAGACAGCAGGCGACTCGGTTGTGGTGGACCAGGACGAGTTGTAGACGAATATGTCATCCAGATACCCATGGAAACCATAGACGAGGGGCTCCAGCGGGCAGCAACCACCAAGCACTAGCGCATCAGGCGCCAGTGTGCCTTCGACGCTGCCTGATACGATGGCTTCGCCATCGATCGAGACGAGAAAGTTCAAGTTCGACTCGATCTGCTGCAGCTCCAACTCCAGCTGATGCCATGTCCCATCGGCCAAATTACGATCTTCTGCCCCCGATATGGTGTTTGTAGCGCCGTTACGCGTTGTTGTGACGACGAGGCCACGCGTTGGAAGAAGGATGGCCACGCGCACAGCGCCGTCTACAGACAGCACATAGCTGGCATCGTTTGAGGAGGTAAGGAAACGAACACTCACACGCATGTACGTGTCTTCCGGGCTTGGCAACCAGATTGTGGGTGCAAACTGGCCCGTCAGATAAAGGAGGCCGTCGGCCGTGGCGAGCGCCCCTGGTTGGAGCAAGGCGTGCCTTTGATGGCCGCTTCGATCCAGGAGAAGGTTACCGCCATCACGGTCGACAGGCGCAAAGACGATTCGTCCAAACCAAGGCTGGGTGGGCGGCTCAGTGAACAGTCCTGGAGCTAGCCCGCGATCGGCGACCAAAAGTTGCACGTCGTTGTTGGTGAGGGCGGAATCCCAAATCCGAACATCATCGAGGAGGCCTGGAAAGACATAAGAAGATGCACCAGAGTTGCGGTCTAGGCGGCCACCCAGAAGAAGACGGTCGCAGTTGCGGGGAAGAGCCAGCTCGGTCTTGGAGGCCAGGGGCGCGCCATCGAGATATAAGGTCACCGTGCCCTGGTTGGCGGTCACGGCCAGATGGTGCCAACCATCGTCGTGGGCGGCCTCATCATCGCTTGCCGCGTCGGTGGGCCAGGCAGCAGAGATTGTTGCAGACTGCACGCCGGCAACGCCCTCGAGGGCGGTGATGTGCACTTGGACCAGGGTGTAGACAAAGCGGAGCTCCATCATGGTATCTGCGATGCCGTCATCAAAGTGCACCAGGATTTCTGGCGCTGGCGCGGTGGACGTGGGGCGTTGTACCCAGGCAGCCCAGCTGAGTTGGGAGGCAGGGACGAGGGATGACGCATTGGTCCAAAACACCTGGGCGATGCCACGACGCGTAGCATTAAAGGCATAATTTCCCGAGGCCCCTGGGCCAACAGGCTCGGCGCGGTCGAGTGTGGGTTCAAATCCGACACAGCCACCATGCAGATTTTGCTGACCCGCCGAATCGAGTGCGAGGTGCAAGAAGGGGAAGGATTCCTCAAAGTCGTAACGAGCGAGCAGAGCCTCGGGCTGGGCTGGAGCCACCAACAGGGCCAGCAGGAGCAGGCAGGCATAGGCTGGGGCCAGGAGCCCGCCACCAGGCACCAGACAAGACTCTGGCATGGTGGAAAGTTTGGTCTAGTGGGCGCGCCCAGAGACCCGACTCGAGGCGGGTGGAAGGAGTTATTGGGGAAGGAAGCCGGTGCAGAAGGGCATGATGGAGATGTGAATGGCTGCTAGTGGAACGCAAGAGGGGGCGGGACCGGGCGAGGTCAGCTCATGCCGGGTTGACTCGGGCCACGCAGTGCACCTAGGTCGTGGGTGGTTCGATGGCTACGCGCAGCCCAGGAGCAGATTGCCTTGATGGCGCACGGGGGCCGATGGGCCTTACCAAAGACCAGAGCACCGGCAGTTCTCAAAGCTTGATTCTAGGCGCGATTGTGTGAGGCGCGATCTATAACAGCCGCGCAGGAAGGTGATCGACAACGCCTGTCAACTCGGGAGGAAGAGGCAGGAAGAAGCAAAACAAAACAGAAAAAAAAACGTGATGGCTGAGTGAGTAGGGTTTGTGTGTGCCTGTGTGGGCACTGCAACGACTGATGGAAGTATGTGCCACCTCCCCTTTGAACGCGTGCTGTGGGAGCGCCTCGCTGCGTGTTTGAATGCATGTGTGCAGAGGAAGCGTCGTCCAAGGAGCGAAAACTCGATCGTACCTCACGTCATGTGGATGAAAGGTATTGAGCTGTGGTCGTGCACGTTGTTCAAGGACATGAATTGCATTCACAGTCATGGAGGTAAGAGAGCGGACAAGCGAGACCGAGGAAGAAGAAGAAGAGAGAGAGAGAGAGAGCGGGGGCGCGGGTAGAGAGGGAGCGGCGTACCCGGGGCAGAGCGGGAAACGGAGCCCAGAGCAGGGTTGCAGAGCAGGGAATTGATCGCTCGTCGCACACACTTCAAGTGTCACGCGGCAGAGCAGAGGGGGGGTTAGAGGTTGAGTGACGAACAGGTGTGTGAGGCAGAGATGTGGTAAAGGCTGTGCGTCGTGGGAAGGGCAATTGCAAGGCATAATCAGAGATACGAAGTAGATTGGGAGGGCAGAATAGAGATGACGTGATCAGCAGAACAGAGCCGGAGCGTCGAACAGAGAAACAATCAACACAAAAGATTACTCGAGACCCGAGGAGACTGGGAGACTGGTTGATCTGCGTCATCGTTTATTTGTCAGATTGTCAGATTGTCAGAATTTGATGCGAGCAGATGAAGTTGCGGGACGAGGCACCGTGCGCTGCGCTGCAGGCGGCGTTGAGGGACCATGATGAGCTTTTGGCAGCGAGGCGGGGGGTTTCTCTGGTGTGTACATGACAATGACATTGAGATCATCATCATCATCAGAGTCTGTCTGTGACTGTTTGCGTACACTTGCCGACAACAGCGCCATGCGTGTGAGGTCCTTGTGGAATGTGCGTCAGTGACGTTAGCGGACAAGTTCGCGGCCGCCATCGAACCCATCTTGGATGGGACTGGCCTCGGTTGAGTGATATGTGCGCTGTGCACCCGTGGGGATGATCGCGTGCAAGTCGCCTTTCTTGTGCACATGAGACAAACAGGGGAATCACCGGGTCACAAGTTTGCAAATTGCTGCTGAATGGCATGTTCAGCCTGCCACAAAACCCTCCAGCCCACAGCATTGCTGCTACTGGAACGGAACCTGTGAGTGACAGAGTATGCTTTGGAGAAGAACCCACAGATGTGCGCGATTGCCTCCTAGAGCATCGCAGCTCCTCAGCCACGACATGGTCAATATTCATGTAGTCTGGCAGCGCAAACTGCAGCACCACACAACCACACGATACCCACCGACACCAGCGTGACGGATGCTCACCGACGCCCTTTTGAATCGCAACGAGATCATTTTTCTTAACCGGCCCGGGCTTCCCACCACCCGTTCCCTCAACCCGACTCCCCCTTTTTGGTGACCCCGCCGCCAAGCCACAACCAGATGACAAATCGATGGGCACTGTTTACTGCGGTCACGCGAGCCAGCCTCGGGCCAACCCGTTGCCTCTGACTTGAAGCCGAAGCAATCCTCCCTGCCATGGGCCTTCAACCTAGATTACCAGGCCGTCTGGCCGCGCTGGCGCTGCTGCTCGGCCTCCTGCTGGCCGTCGCTCGTGCCGCTGATTTTCCAACCAACTGTACGAACGTTCCTCGTCGCCCCGAACCTCTTTCGACTTTCAGCCACCATACCATCGACCGACCGCTCACCTCACGACTTGAACCACCTGCCCCAACAGGGATCTTTTCCGGAGACACGGCCCTCCTTCCATCCACCAACGCCCAGCTACCTGATGCGGGATGGGAGCAAGCTCGTGACACCTGCGAAGGGCTAGGTGCCATCTTGGCGACCCTGGACGATGCCGCAGACCTCGAACTCGTGTCCAACCTTCTTGCCCCGCTTGGCCTCACCTCTACCAACCTCTGGCTGGGTAAGCCTACGCCAGACACCAGCAGTCCCAACCCTTTGCACACGCCTGGTGCCACATACTACACACGCACACACACACACACAAAGTAGCCACAATTAGAACTGGACGAGCGCGACCTCAGAGCGGCCTCTCTCACCCATCGGTGACTGCGCCTTTTTATTCTTTTTTTTTTTTTTTTTTTTTTTTTTTTGTAATAATTTTCATGGCCAAACTTTGCAGGCGGCCAGGGCACCGGCAGCCAAGCACCCTACACTTGGACCTGGTCCGACGGCTCGGGGCTCTCCGTGCTGACAGATCCCCTCTTTTCCCTCTTTTGCAACCCTTTGCCTCTGCCCTTGCTTTGCCCTCTTTTTGGCAGCCAGGACAGCGATGCTCGCTGCCTTGGTCTGCTGGGTGACATTCTTCAGCCGGCCACCTGCGGCTCCCAGAAGCCCTTTCTCTGTCGTGCACCAGGTCTGTCCTTCCACACGCGACCCGACCTTGCTTTTTCCAAACCCCGACCAGTCTTCGCGCCAAGCTGCGCCATCAACATCGCTTGGACTCATCACAATTAACGCTCTGCACGGCTTTTGGCACCGCTTGCTCGCAGCAAACTTAATCCGAGATATATTGGCCTCCCTTACATGTGATGAGGGCTGTCCCGATGACGCCGACTGTATACTGGGCACCTGTGTCTGCCGAGCACCATTTTTTGAAAGTGATGGCCAAGGCGGATGCCGAGCCCGTTGCGGCTCCAATGACCTCCTCAGCCTGTTGCTGCAAGTGCCGTGTGGTAATCATCGCGTAGGTAATCAAAGCCTCAGCTGTGCTGGCACCGACCTCGTGCGTGACACAGCCGCGTGCCTCCTCGAGCCCGTCGAGCGCATCCTCGATCTGGCTCTCGAGGTGATTCCCCTCAACGACTGGCTCGAAGCCGCCGAAGCCCTGGCCTTCCCTCTGCTGGAGACCCTGACCGAGTCTGAGCTAAATGCGCTGGCTCAAATCTGGGATTTGCCCATCGTCTCGGCCGTGGGCTTGGACGACGCCGCCGTTGCCGTGCTTCGCGTCACCGCCAACCTCCTCAATCAAACGATGCTGGCCGCCTCGGAATCGGTTTTTCAACCCTTCCTCCTCCCCCTGGACCTGCCTCTCAAGAGCCTGATATACATCATCGAGCACACCCTCAACAGCCTCAGCAAGCTGCTTCTTGGTGAATACCTGTGGATTGAGTATGGCAATGGCTACATCCTCACTCAGTTTGCTCAAACGAGCATGTGGAACACCTCCACCTCCTGGCAAGTCTTGTACCCGGAACTCGACGGTGTCGTGCGTGCCGACGTGGTGCTGCCCTTTGAAGCCTTCCAGCTCGCACACCAGGCCTACCTCCTCACTCTGCCCAACGGTACCGAAGCTCCAGCCGCGGGTGAAGGCACCGACGAGGGTGACGGCCATGGCGAGGCTGCAGCCACCTGGATTCCCACGGCCACCATCATCTATTTCGAGGACGCCCGCATGTTTCCACTCTTGCCCACCCTAGCCAACTTTAGCATGAGCAATCACAGCATCACAACCAACAGCACCACCGGCACGAACAACACCATCAATGGTACCTCCCCGACGGCCAACGCCACAAGTGAGCCCGCCGTAGACTACTCGGCCCTCGAGCTCGTGCGCTCCCCAATTCTGAGCATCACGCTGATGGACCTGCCTGCGGACAGCGACCTCTCTGCCAGCCCCGTCAAAATGCACTTTACTGGCTTCAACTCATCAGATTTCTTCCCTATCTGTGCCTGGTGGGATGCCGGCCGCTGGAATACCTCGGGCTGCACCACCATTGTCTTATCCGACCATGACATTGACTGTGTCTGCACCCATCTGACCTCCTTCGCCGTCCTGACGGGGGCCCCGACCACTGGCGCCTCACGCGGTGGTGGGCGAGGCGGTAGCACCGAGGACAAGATGGCCGAGGAAATCGGCGCTAGCGGCGGTGCGGATTCCACCACCGCGCTCTCGGCCGCAGAGGCCCGGGCCATGGGCGTGCTCAGCCTCGTGCTGGTATCCCTCTCAATGCTAGGTGCCATTGCTGCTCTGGCCGTGATTGTCTTTGGGTGGCATGCCGCGCGTCCCTACCATCACAACCTCGTCCTCCTTTCCCTCGTCCTCCTTGGAGTCTATGTCCTCTTCTTCGTGGTCGCCCTCGCGGCGCCCAGTGACGACACCAATTGCACCGCCGTGGCCTGGCTCTTGCATTTTGCTGTTGTGCTGCTCATGTTTGCCTCAACGTGCCAGGCCTACCAATTCCGACAAGACTTTGTCGTGGTGTTTGCCAACACGCAGCGGACCGCAATCATGCGGCGCTTCGGTCTAGCCCTGGCCCTGGCCCTCGTTGTGTGCGGCCTATCGGCCGCCGTGGCGCCCAGGGACTACGGTTCAGACCAAGCCTGCTTTCTGTCGCCGGGTGGCTTGGCCATTTGGTTTCTGTGGGGGCCTTGCGCTCTGGCCTTGTTGATCAACATTGTCATTTTTCTGGCCGTCCTGCAAAGCATCGCTCGTGAGTCGCGGGACGTGAGCCGCTCCAAGGCCATTTGGGTGGCCATGGGCGCCTTCCCCATTGCCCTCAGCCTGGGTTGGCTCCTTGCAGTCTGGCTCATCCTCTACCCATCCCTGACGGCCGAGGTGGCCTTTATCGTCGTCAATTGTCCCCAGGGCCTGCTTCTCTTCTTTGTCTTTGTCTTTCGCGACGACCGACTCTGGAAACAGGCCCGGCACCAACTTGTGCGCTGGTGGACTGATAGCGAGCACTCGTCTTCCCTACCTTACACAGAGAAACCACCCTCCTCCACAGGATCTACTCGCGTCAGTCGCGCGTCCACGCCGACGCTTCACACCGACGAGCAAGGCCCGCTGAGCCGCCGTTCCAGCGTCAGCAGTAGCGGAAGCCGCTTTGTCCTCACGCGTCCCCACTTTAAAAAGGGCCCCATGATGAGCATGATCTCTGAGGCCCGTTTGTACGAGTTGGACGATTCCGATGAAGAACATCAGGAAGTGCGCGTGTGCCAAGCCTACGATGTCTGACCAGCTCAAAAGTCTCGGCAATATCGCTGAGATTGCCGCAGGCGGAAGGGGAACCCTGCTTGCTGCCTGCGCTTTGAATAAATGTACTCATCATATCCTGTTCTGCTATCAAGAAATCGTCGAGCGCATCGTCGCTCTGTGTCGTCTCGCCGTTGTTTGTATCGCTTTGCTCTGCTTTTGACACGTGCTGATGAATGATATTATGCCCGGACATGTTCATGTGCCGAACCATCAAAGCACCTGTGTGCGCGCGCGAGACGTGAACCAAGTTTACCGAAGCACCGCCGCCCTCAATACTTTTATGCAATTCATAGGAGAGTTGTGCTCTCAATCCCCAATTGATTCGATTTGTATTTGACGAATGTGATTGAGCATCATTCGCATGCATGTCACTCCCGAATAAAAATGCCTCTAAAAAAATTATGCGTAAAAGTTTGTGAAACGCCAACAAACGGGGATTGAACCGGATTCAAGGCGTCAAAGGCGCGGCATGCGCTTGCCCGTTAGAACGAGCCATAAAACTGACCTTTTCATTCACGAGGCTTACGGTGTTCAAGCTGCTCGTGGCAGAATCAGTGTTTAAAAGCGATTTAAAGACTTTGCAGAAAGTTTTCACTCAGGCTGAAATGAAATGGCAGAAGCAGACGAAGTTCGAGTTCACAATTTATTTGGAATATTTTAGGATGGTTTTTATCGACATGTGGAGCAGCATAGATCTGATCTGATCTGATCAAAGTCGCAACAGTGGCCTTGGCAGACTCCTTGCACACAGGCGCAGTACTTCAAATCAGAGCTTTCACATTGCCAGCGCTCCTGGCACACAATATCAACACAAGTAGAAGGGCAGCTAGCTCCAGTCTGGCGACTGTTACTCAATCGTGGCAGGTCGGCTCTCTCTCGACACACAACTCCATCTTGACATGCTCAATGGCCTGACTTGGATGGAGCGTTTAAGATGTGTGTTCGAATCAAGTTGGCACCCGTGACCATAAAAGTGGTTTGCCAAATGCCCAAGAAGATGCGCGGCACCACACCCTATGGAACAAAAAGCAAAGGTACGGTACATGAGGGTTGCTAGGGTAAACTACACGCAACGGCATTACCGAGGGCGACAGGCCAATTGCCCGGTTCAAGCCACATACCTTGAATAGGCCTCCAAAGCCGTGGCCGTCCACGACGTGACGCATTGTAGCCAGCATCGAAAGGCTGGGTTCATTCGCGGCTGCGCGGGCCTGGGCCTCAATGCGCGCCACCTCAAAAGGGTGATTCCAGCAGGCCAGGGTACCGCCAATGACACCGGCACAGACTTCTTGAAAGACAGTCAAACGGGCCGTAGCTGGGTTATCATAGTTGACCTTTTTGATAATCTCTCGCACGGCATCGGTAAAGCCCTGGCGCGAGGCCCAATTGGTGGCCTGGCGGAATGCGATGGCTGTTCCACCCGGGTAGAAGCCACGGAAGCCCTGGTGTGTAGCAAGCCACACACATACACACACGCGCGCCCAAAACACAACAAAAAGATGTGAAGGTGTGTGTGTGTGGATGAAGATTATAGGGTCAAGCCTCGCCGCGGGCAAAGACGTTTGCGCGGAAACAACTTTATGGGATCGCAGTCCCTACCTTGGCTTGCCAAGTGGCCCGGATCTGCTCAGTGAGGGAGATTTGTTTGTTGGTGACAGCGCTCGTTACCAAGAACGTGCAGGGCCCCATCACAGAGACCTGGCACACACCACCACCGGCACCTGCCAAAAAGCCAGCTGCAGTGGGCGACACGCCCATGCCCAATGCCGAGTCCTTGATAAACTCCTTTGAGAACATCAGCACGGAGCTAATTGAAACACATCCCAGCCAGACACAACAGGCGTGCATACGGTTGACCATGAGCCAGCGAATGGGCCCAGAACGCAGTCCTCTCTAAACAAGAAGAGCCGTTCATACCCTTTGCTGGCCGATTCCACCATCTTGGCCGAGGTGCCTCGCCAAAAGGCACGGGCCCCAGCAAAGCCACCCCCGTTGCTTCGGTAAATGGCCATGAGACCCTGTGTAAGAGCATGACCGGGCACATGGTGCGGGGCTTTGAGTATTCGCTTTCATGCCATGCGGGTTGGCTGGTCAGGAGGTCGGTCAGGTGCTCAGGTGGCATCACCAACCTCAATGGTCCCCTGGTTACGGTATCGACCCAAATGGGTCTTCCACACCTCCAGAGGCATACCTGCCGGGGACATCACAAAGGCGTCATACAGGCGCAGTCTGAAGTTGAGACCTCGGAGCATTCTACTCAGCCTGTGCTTGCTGCTCTGACTTGTCTGGAAAGGCGTGTGATGGAGCAGGCAAAGATACCAAGACTCACCGAGGCTGGCAGCTTCGACCATCTGGAGGATGGCGCCATTGCGCGCATCCACAATTTTCTTTTGTGTAGTGGATTCTTTTGGGCGCGGTGTCTACATGGTGGGCAGGGCAAGGGTGGACATGAGCTGGGTTGATTGAGGGAGGGGCCAGGAAGTCCAAGCTCATCGAGAACACAGATGATCGTGGCACGGTGCGGAGAAGCAGACGCCTTACGCCTTGGAGAACGGCAAGCGTCGATTGGATGCTCTCAATCTCTTGGCGGGCTTCCTCGGCAAAGCGCGACTGCTGAGACTCTGTAAAATTGCCGTAACTGTTGGTCATGATTTGAAGTTGACCGTTGGCTTCGCGCAGCTTGGAGATGACGATGTCTGGCATGTGTCGATACCGACGCTGCTGTCTGGCAAAGGGCACACGTGGGTAAAATCTGGTTTACAGAGGTTGGACTAGAGTGGAGGGGGACCAGAGTGGAGGGGCCAAAGTGGCCGATCTGGCTCTTACTCGAGGAGATATTGGCGTTCGAGGTCGTCTGCGCACACTACCAAAGGCTCATGCGACACGAGAGGCTCGCCATAACCCGGGCGAAGGGACAGGATGGGGCTTGAGTCGGCCGGGGCATCCTGTGCGTTGCTGTCGGCAACTTCGACATTGCTAGCCACGAGAGCCGGGGAATCGGCCGGGTTGGCCATGTTGGCTACCTGCGGCGTCAGTGGCGCAAAGAGTGAATACAAAAAGAATGTCGGATCCACAGCGAACTCAAAAGCAGAGGTAACGATCGATAACAAAGCAAAACATCAGGAGTCAAGGCACTGCACACCAGATTAAAAGCAGACATGAAGCATCCGCGCCAGGTGCTCGAGAACACTGGAAAGGTCCAAGGCCGGCGAGCTAAGGTGTGCAGCACAGTCCGCAGCTCACCTCACCTGAGCCCAAAAAAGCGTAGCGCCTCAACCAGCAGCCGCCACACAGCACCCCTGATTTTTCCTAACACCCTCACACGCACACCACGTATGCATCAGTCAGCCAAAGCCACTACCCAGCCCAGAACCCGACATCCCAAGCACCACCCCCCCCCACCCACCACCAACCGGGTCGTCGCACGATAGAGAAAAAAAAAAATAAAGAGAGAGAGGAGAGAGAGAGATTTTTGGGAAAAAGTGGCGCAGTGCGCAGCCATGAAATGTCAGACAGAACCGGACAACTTGGAATTGTGACTCACTCACCTTTGGACCTTTGGGTGAACAAAAGCAAGGGAGAAGAAAATGAACAGAGAGAGAGAGAGAGAGAGAATACTGAAGGATGTCGCAACACGACAACGTCATGAGGCGGTTGCTCAACAACAACAAAGCCAAACATCAGTGAGAGAGAGAGAGAGTCACACCACTCCACCTCAATGCAGAGTGGGAATAACACTTACTAAAGGCGTCGCCTCATAAATCTGACATTGGATTTGGTTAAGGTCACTCACTGCCTTCGTGGTCATTTTGCCTGGAAGCAAGGGGATAAAAAAACTGCACCAACCACTATATTTAGGCGCAAGATTTATGAGATTTGAACTCTGCTCAGCGATACTTTTCTTTGGGTGTGGATCGGCAGGTGAGCAACTTGAAGATGGAAAAAAAATTTGTCGGCGCGTTGTCGATGCAAATGGCAGCCACCTGGGCTGGACTTGTTGGCGCTGGTGGACTTCTTGTTGTGGAGGGGCTGTGAAAGACAATGACAGTGAGGATGGTGGTTGCGGCGGTCGCGAGGACCTGCCAGCAGACGGAGCATGTTTGCCGCTTGCGTCGTTCCAGCGAGACACACAAGGGGCGTCGGTGACCTCACGAGTCATGGCTCGTCTCTTCAGCCCCTGTGGTGCTCGCTGGTCCGCGGTCGCGATTTCATGAGCTTGATGCGATATCCTGCGATGTCCTGTCCCATCCTCCTGAACATTGGCTTGCATGGCCAACTAAATGGCCTCGCCTGAGTTGGTCTTTCCAGCTCTGCCCCTGAGCCATGTGTCATTGAGCTTGCCCCATCCAGTTCCCTGTCAGTCCCTGAGCCAGCGCTCGTGCTCATCTGCCTTGCTTGGCTTCATTGCTCCCGTTTGCGTCTCCCAGAATGAAGTTCTCCACCAAGACCTCTAGCCGCCGGAAGGCCCGCAAGGCTCACTTCACCGCTCCTTCCAGGTACTAGTTATATTTTTGTTGCTTTTGAACCGGTCTTGTGGTTTGACACGGGTTGGCAAAGGTTGCTGGGGCATGCGGCTCTGTAGCCGTCGTCTTGTCAGCTCAATCCCGAATCCCGAGCCAACTTGGCTGGCTGTCGACTTCGGTCAATTTACTCGAGTGTCCTCACTTGATGCCTCGTCATTGGTCGTGTTTTCTTAGCGAGCGCCGCAAGCTGATGAGCGCTCCTCTGAGCAAGGAGCTCCGTCAGAAGCACAACGTGCGCCATGTCCCCGTCCGCAAGGACGATGAGGTTAGTTTTTGTTGGAGTCTTACCTTTGTTTTGTGCCGTCCATGAAATGAGGCGTGGCGAGGACATCGGTTTTTTTTCTCGATGTGGCTTTTGGACTTGTTGCCCGGCAATCCTTGTTGCGATTCTGGTGATGGAGTTTTTCACATCAGATTCCGTATGCACACGCTCGCATTTACCATTCCTCATGTTGTGGTTTTTTTTTTTTTGCTCTGTGACAGGTCAAGATTGTCCGTGGTGCCAACAAGGGCCAGACCGGCAAGATTGTCGATGTCTACCGTAAGAAGTGGATCATCCACATCGCTGGCTTGACCGTTGACAAGGCCAACGGTGCCACCTCCTTCCTGGGCTTTGACCCCTCGAAGGTTGAGATCACCAAGCTGCACATTGACAAGAACCGCCAGCAGCTCCTCAACCGCCGTGACAAGACCAAGCAGTCTGATGCCGCCAAGGGCAAGCACCAGGAGGGCGAGCTGTCTGCGTAAATTCAAATCCCATACCCCTCGGTGACTTGTTTGGACTCTTGTCAATCAGGTTTTCTAAAGTGATCCCTAAAGCCCTCATCACACACTCCAGCATCTAGTCAAGCATTTGCCTTTACGAGAAGGTTTCAGATGACGGGAACCATTCAGGGGATTCAAAAACCCAGACACGGCATGACTGAACAGCACGCTGGGTAGGCTCAAAGAAAGACCTTGGGGCTCATGCATGCGTTGAACCTGCGCACCGTTTGCACATCCCCTTCCCGATCACGATCGAGTCTAGAGAGAAGAGCAAGAGGAGGGCCCAACCACTACAAGCTGAAAAACACGTTCACAGTAAAACCCGAAAGGCAAAGACAACCAGCACGAGTAGCCGACAGAACTACTGTTGTCAACATCAAATATTCTAAAATTAGCGCCTGAAAATTTTTGGGTGAAAATTGAATTTTTTTCTTTCTTCTCTCTAGTGTGTGTGTTTTTCAACGGTCGCGCCGTTGAAGTTGCAAGGCGAAGGGATCGACCCCGGGTGGTGGCACACACACCCTCGTTCGTCTCGTTCGTCTGTGCTGGGGTGCCCTTGCGCACTCGCTGCGCACTTGCTGCTGTCGGTGCAAAGACGACACCGCTGTTGAGTCAGCTGGGTGGGTTCCACAACTCGAAGCTGGACGGGTTCTGGCGTTGCGGGGGGTAATTTGACCCGTGTTTCACAGACTCCCCCCTCGAGCTCTGAATTACCTAGCATCGCGCAGCATGAGTTCAAGGTTGGTGTTGGCGCGCTCTGCATAGCACGGTGCCCCCAGACTGTTTTGCTTTCCGCATGGCTCATGCCATGTTATTTTGGCAGATTCCGCAGCTCGTTTCGGGGTGGGGCAGGTGCCCAGCCGGCAAATGGAGCCGGCGGTGTATCCTTCTCGTCTTCGACGTCCTCTGGCATTCGCACTCAGCGCGATCAAGATGACCTCATCGCCGACCTTCGCAAAGAAAATTTTGCCCTGAAGTTACGCATCTATGAAATGGAAGAAAATCTGGGGCGCCTGGCCCCAGGTGACATTGCACAAGCCATCAAGCTTGTACGTGCCTGCTTTTGCCTGCCCTAGCCTCCCGAGCCCACGGCCTGCGATTTCATGC